TTTTGTTTGGGAGATGCCACTGCTGGCCTCTCCACCAGGTGGCGCTGTGGACGCGGATTCGGCTTCCCCGCCTTTTGTGTTTGGGAGAGGCCACTGTTGGCCTCTCCACCAGGTGGCGCTGTGGACGCGGATTCGGCTTCCCCGCCTTTTGTGTTTGGGAGAGGCCACTGTTGGCCTCTCCACCAGGTGGCGCTGTGGACGCGGATTCGGCTTCCCCGCCTTTTGTGTTTGGGAGAGGCCACTGCCGGCCTCCACCAGGTGGCGCTGTGGACGCGGATCCGGCTTCCCCGCCTTTTGTGTTTGGGAGAGGCCACTGCCGGCCTCTCCACCAGGTGGCGCTGTGGAAGCGGATCCGGCTTCCCCGCCTTTTGTGTTTGGGAGATGCCACTGGTGGCCTCTCCACCAGGTGGCGCTGTGGAAGCGGATCCGGCTTCCCTGCCTTTTGTGTTTGGGAGATGCCACTGGTGGCCTCTCCACCAGGTGGCGCTGTGGAAGCGGATCTGGCTGCCCTGCCTTTTGTGTTTGGGAGAGGCCACTGCTGGCCTCTCCACCAGGTGGCGCTGTGGACGCGGATCCGGCTTCCCCGCCTTTTGTGTTTGGGAGAGGCCACTGCCGGCCTCCACCAGGTGGCGCTGTGGAAGCGGATCCGGCTTCCCTGCCTTTTGTGTTTGGGAGAGGCCACTGCCGGCCTCCACCAGGTGGCGCCGTGGAAGCGGATCCAGCTTCCCCGCCTTTTGTCTGCACCCTGCTGGGAGCTCTCTTCCCTGGTTACCAAGTAGCAGGTGGAGGAAGGAGGAACGGAATACTAGAGAACTCACTGCGTGCCACGTGCCACCTCTGGGAAGAGCTGGAGCTGTGAGGGGCAGCTGCTAAGGGCTGGGCTCTGTGGCAGGCTTGGGGGAGAGAGGTCGCACCCCGCACCCCAGCTGTGTGCCCCTCACCACGTCTCGGCACCTCCATTCTCGCACCTACAAAGCGCAGATCATCTCTTGGGGTGGCTGGGGAATGAATGATAGCAGCTGTGGCGCTTTGCACGAAGCGAGAGCGCCTGAAGGGCGTACCTGGATGGCATACCCAGCAACTGCAGGAGGCACGGCTGGCCTCTCCGTTTTAAACATCTGGGCACTGTGCCCTGCCCAAGGTCACAGACCTGCTCGTGACAGAGCCAGGATTCAAACCCGGGCGGCGGGTGGTGGACCTCTAGGTGGGCGGTCTGTGCGTCTTCCTCTGGGAACCAGGAGGCTCGCCGCCACCCCACCCTCCGTCTCCTCCCTCCCCACCGCAGGGCGCCGGCTGTGCCTGGGCGAGTCGCTGGCGCGCATGGAACTCTTCCTCTTCCTCACCGCCATCCTGCAGAGTTTCTCGCTGCAGCCGCTGGTGGCCCCCGAGGACATCGACCTGACCCCGCTCAGCTCGGGTCTCGGGCACGTGCCGCGGCCGTTCCAGCTGTGTGCGCGCGCGCGCTGAGCGCGGCCGCCGCCTCTCCTGCCCCCGAGCGGCTCGGTCGCGCTGTGATGTCTCGCCTGCACCTGTCACCTGCATGGCCCCCTTCCTCCCACCTCTGCCTGGTCTGACACGTCTTCTTGTACCCACAGAACGCGGCCCCTGCCCTGATGCGGCCTTTTAGGGGCCTTTTGTATCGTTTCCTAGTAAAGTATCTTTATAATAAGATTCAAATCTGTCTTGGCTGAATGAGCCGGAGGGGAGGGGCCGGCATTCCGTGTGAGCGCCGGTTCGCCCGTCAGCCACTCCGCTCCAATCCGACCCAGCTCCCTGCTGGCGGCCTGGGAAAGCAGCTGAGGCCCCAGTGCCTGGGCCCCTGCACCCACGTGAGGACCTGGGTGGAGTTCTGGGCTCCTGGCTTCCACCTAGACCAGCCCTGGCCACTGTGGCCTTTTAGAGAATGAACCAGCTTATGGGAGATCTCTCTCTCCCTCTAACTCTTTCAAATAAATAAATATTTTTTGAAAACCTAAGTTCGGGGAGAGGGGAGCGCCGAGAGAGACAGGAGAGATGGGAGGTGCAGGGCGCTGGGCAGGGGCGCGGGCAGGGAGACACCAGATACTGACCCCGGCGCCTCCTGCTCACTGCTCTACATGCCCCATCCAGCATCCTTTATCCAGAGCCAAAACGCCTGCTCCTGGAAGTATTGTGGATCCCAGGTTTGTCCAGATTCTGGACTATTTGCATACATATAATGAGGCATCTTGGGAGCTGAAGCCAAGTCTAAACATGAAATTAGTTTGTTTCATGCACACCTTGTGCACAGCCTGAAGGGAACATTACACAATATGGTTAGTGCACCTGCTTTCTGACTGCAATCCATCCTGTGAGGTTAGGGTGCGGGATTTTCCACCGTGGCATCACGCCCATCCTCAGAAAGTTCCAATTTTGGAACATCTCGAATTCTGAATTAGATGTGTTGAGCCTGTATAAGCCCACTTCACAGATGAGCAGACTGAGGCTCAGGGAGGCGAGGTGACACACAAAGAGGCAGAGCTGGGATCTGGCTCCCAGCTCTGAGCTGGGCACCACCGGCTTTCAGTCACACAAGTCAGAGACCCCAGGAGCCCAAAGACAGGAAAAGCAAGAGCTGCTGGGCTGAGAAGTGGGGTGCAGGGGGGGGATAGAAACCACCAGAAAAAGGACAAGCGGGGGGGGGGGAGGGATGCCCACCCCACCCCCACCCTCTCAGTCAGTGCACTATTCCTTTGTGCTGTAGCCCCTGCCTTTGGGGTGGGGACAGCAGACCCTGGCATGGGGTCTCCCAGCCTGCGACTGCCCCCAGCATCCTGATAGCCTGCCAGCAGGGCAGGCGCCCATGCCCATCCAGGCTGCGCCTCCCTCGTGCAGCCCAGCTGACGGGGCCCTCCCAGGACCACCCCCTGGCTGGGCTTACAGGCCGTCCAGGCCCAGTCTGCCCCAGGGCCCAGCCAGGGATGCAGAGGGGAAGGAGAGAGCGGGAGGCAAAGACGGAGGCATTGAGAAGGAGACAAAGAGGACAGCGGAGGGACATGAAGAACAAAGACCGCGAGAGGAGGAGGAGGAAGAGGCGCTGAGATACAGATGCAAGGCAAGGACAGGCGCTTCCCCGGGAGCCAGGAATCCGACCTGGTGGCTAAGGCCCCGCCCTCCACAGCAGGGCTCCCAGGGTTCCTCCCTGTCTCTGGCTCCTGAGTCCAGCTTCCTGCCAGCCCTGGGAGGGTCCTGGGGGGGGATCCAGATTAAGGCCCCAGCTCCCAGCTTAGCTGCCCCGCCACTGAGCCACTGGGGAATGAACCAGCAGATGAGAGTGTTCTCCCTCTCGCTCACTCAAATTCTCTGCCTCGCAAATTTTTCAGAAAATAAGAAATGAAGAGAGGAAGAGAGATGAAGAGAGACGAGAGAGAAAGAAACAGGGAGGTAGAGGGACTGAGAGTAACCAAATCAGAGTCAGAGACAGAAATCTGAGGGAGAACTGTGCGGTCACTCCACAGACACGTCCTTGTGCACCTGCTGTGTGCCACGCACTATCCTAGGCGCTGGAAATAGATGTAAACAAGACAAAATCTGCTCTTAAAGAGCTGGCATTCCAGAAGGGCACCCCGCTGCACCCCTGCCGCCCCGAGTCAGCTCCTCTGACCTCGGGCCCTGAGCCCCGGCCCTGCCAGTCACCAGGATCCTGGACACAGAAAGGTAAGGAAGACCTGCCGCCAGAAAGAGGCAGAGAGAACTAGAGAGAGACAGAAAACAGAGGGGTGGGCATTTGGCGGAGCCATTAAGATGCCACTTGGAGGGGCCGGCGCTGTGGTGTAGTGGGTAAAGCCGCCGCCTGCAGTGCCGGCATCCCCTATGGGCACCAGTTCAAGTCCCAGCTGCTCCACTTCCAATCTAGCTCTCTGCTATGGCCTGGGAAAGCAGCAGAAGACGGGCCAAGTCCTTGGGCCTCTGCACCCATGTGGGAGACCTGGAAGAAGCTCCTGGCTCCTGGCTTTGGATTGGCCCAACCCTGGTCATTGCAGCCATTCGGGGAGTGAACCAGCAGATGGAAGGACCTCTGTCTTCTATGTCTGTCTTTCTCTGTCTTGCTGCCTTTCAAATAAAATGAAAATTCATTAACAAATAAGTCAGTGCTTGAAAAAAAGAGACATGAACAGAGGCAAAGACAGCGAAGTGGAGTCCGGAGAGCAGCAGCTGGGACGCAGTGCGGGGGCGGAGGAGCAGGATCAGAGGAGGGAAGCGCCGAGAGAGGAGACGCAGACGCTGCCTGACCAAGCTCCTCCTCAGGCCCCGCGTGGCCCCCACTTCTCCCCAGGCTGGGCCCAGAGCCAGGCACCTGGAGGAACACTGGCGCTGGCAAGGCAGGGAGGGCGGGCTGCATTCCATAACAATCTACATCCCGCTCAGCCCCACCTCCACCCCGGGTCCGGCCTGGGCCTCTAGGGTCTGGGCTACCCGAGGCCTGAGCCTGCCTGCCCTCGGCTAGGGGTGCCCACTGTGGGGCTTTGAGACCAGGGGTGCAGAGGCATGGACGTGGGACATCCGGGGCTCAACTGGGAGCAGAGATGGCAGGAGTCAAGGCCGGGTCTGAAGGCACAGGGGCCAACCTAGGGGAAGGCATCCAGCAGTCCTAAGGCCAGAAACGAAGTCCCAGGCTGATGGCACCAAGAGGCTGGTGGGTTTGCGCAGGCCCTGCAGGGCAGGTGCAGCACACAGGGTTCCCAGGGCAACAAGCGGCACGGGCTCAGGTGTGAGGCCCCGGGAGTCCCGGGCCTGGGGCGGAGTGGGGGGGTTCTAGAGGGTGCCGAGGCGTCAGGAGGCAGAGGTGGGCAGCCTACTGCGCGTACAGGCCCACGGGCCAGCCAGATGGGCTAGGGCTCAAGAGGGCACCCCTACCAGCCAGCCGTATGCATGTGCTCCAATTGCCAGGCACACACGGGCAAGCTGAGGCAGGCATGGGCAAGCCAGGGGGAGCCAGGCCTTAAGAGCAGCATGGCTTGAGGGGTGGGGTGGAGCTGGGAACCCACCACTCCCGCGTGGGCTCTCCGCCCCTGCTCCGCCCAAGACCCCGTGGAAATCAAATAGGCATGAAGGGATGCACACAGGGTCACAGGCAGCATGCTCACCTGTGTCACAGCACTGCTGCTCCTGGCGCTGGTGCTGGCGCTGGCATGGTGGGGCTGCGGTACGCGCCGCGCTCGGACGCCGGGGCCCCTACCTCCGGGGCCCACACCTCTCCCACTGCTGGGAAACTTGCTGCAGCTGGAGTCTGGGCGCCTGGACCGTGCACTCATGGAGGTAGCCCGGACAGATTCCTGGGGTGCTGGAAGTGGGGCCAGGAGCTAGGACTGCTGGTGCCCTGAACTAAGTTGAGGGCTCCGACCCCGTTCTTCCTGGAGACTGGGGTGGGGGGTGCAGCTGGTGGGCCTGAACACCTGGGCTGTGATGGACAAGGAGCCCGGGGTGGTTAATTCAGGTGGAGAAAGAAAGCGAGGTGGGGGGGCAAAGGCTGAGGGCCCGGTTCTGCGGGTGCAGGGTGTTGGGGGCCTGACTTCAAGGTTCAGAAGAAGAGGGGTCGGGGAGCTGGGATCAGGAGCCGCTGAGCCCTGGTTCCCTGTAGCTCTCCGGCCGCTGGGGCCCGGTGTTCACAGTGTGGCTGGGCCCGCGCCCTGCAGTAGTGCTGTGCAGCTACGCGGCACTGCGGGACGCGCTGGTGCTGCAGGCGGACACCTTCTCCGGCCGCGGGGCCATGGCCGTCTTTGAACGCTTCACTCGCAGAAACGGTGAGGCCACTGCGGTGCAAGGTGGAAGGGCGGGCCCATAAAGGGTGGAGTCAGGCAGACGCGGAGGGGCCTAAGAGAGCGCGGGTGGCGATCAGCCTAGGACGGAACCCAGCTTCCTCGTGCAGCCAGTAAGAGCCTAAGAGAGAGCCCGCACCAGGCAGGGATCAAAGTAGCAAAGGCGTGGTCAAGGCGGAGAAAGCCGCCAACCAAGCCGGGCGAGGGAGCAGAGCAAAGGATCCCAGAGCCGGCTCCGGGAGGTGGGGCCCAGGGGCGTGGCCAACGCAGGCCCGCCCCCTCCTGCCGCCCCGCCCCGCAGGTATCCTGTTCTCCAATGGGCAGCGCTGGCGGACCCTGCGCAATTTTACCCTCGGGGCCCTGAAGGAGTTCGGGGTGGGGACGCGGACCATCGAGGAGCGCGTCCTGGAGGAAGCAGTTTGTCTGCTTGATGAATTTCAAGCCACCGCAGGTGCAGCAGGGAAAACAAAACAAAGGGCCTGGGGTGGGCGGGCCCTAGGGTGGAACAAAGCTGGAAAGCACACGGAGGCTGGGTTCCGACCCCCCGCCCCGCCCTGTTCCCACCTTCCAGGGGCCCCGCTCAACCCCCGGCAGCTACTGGACAACGCTGTAGCCAACGTTATCTGTTCCGTGGTCTTCGGGCACCGCTATGGCTACACGGACCCGGAGTTCCGGCGGCTCCTGGACCTCTTCCATGACAACTTTCGCATCATGAGTTCCCGATGGGGCGAGGTGAGGGGGCTGGCCCCAAGCTCTCCCGCCAGTACCCACCGGAATGGGGCCTAGATTCTTTGATGAGCTCTAGAACCTGCAAAATCAAAGTCAAGGTCCATTCTCCAAGGTCATATTGGGATCCGCATCTGCCCAGATATACAATATCTTCCCCTCCCTGCTGGACTGGATCCCAGGCCCGCACCACCGAATCTTCGGAAACTTCACGGAGCTGCGGGTCTTCATCTCCGAGCAAATCCAGCGGCACCGGCAGACGCGGCAGCCCGAAGTCGCCCGCGATTTTATCGATTGCTTTCTCGCCCAGATGGATAAGGTTCAGGTCCCTGCTACCCTAAACCCTATTCATGCCGCCCACCAGCAGGTGTCTGGCCCAAGGCAGCGCCAGTTTCTTCTGCCCGCAGGAACAGCAGGATCCGGAGAGCCATTTTCAGAGAGAGACGCTGGTGATGACGACACATAACCTTTTCTTCGGCGGCACCGAGACCACCAGCACCACCCTGCGCTATGGGCTTCTCATTCTCGTCAAGTATCCAGAGGTGGCAGGTCTGCCAGCTAAGGCACTGGGGGGAAGACAGGGTGGAGGCGTGGGTCCGGGGCGTGCGCGGCTCACCACCTCAGCTGGCCCCAGCCAAGGTGCAGGCGGAGCTGGACGCCGTGGTAGGTCGGGCGCACGCCCCGCGCCTGGAGGACCGCGCGCGCCTTCCCTACACTAACGCCGTGCTGCACGAGATCCAGCGCTTCATCAGCGTGCTCCCGCTGGGGCTGCCTCGCGCCCTCACCCGCGACGCCCACCTGCACGGCCACTTCCTGCCCAAGGTTCCCACGAGCCCCGGGATCTGCGGGGTCGCCTTAGGCAGGGAATGGGCGCGCAGGGCACTGACGCACAATCCTGCTCCAGGAGCAGGAAGAGAGCCTTTGAAGAGGGTCCCAGCACCAGGAGGGGCGCCAGATCGCCAACTCTGCGAGTAACCCCATTGTGCACACCCCGCCAGGGCACGTTCGTGATTCCTCTGCTTGCGTCATCGCACAGAGACCCCACCCAATTCAAGGACCCGGACTGCTTCAACCCCACCAACTTCCTGGATGACAAGGGAGAGTTCCAAAGCAACGATGCCTTCATGCCCTTTGCCCTGGGTATGCGCCTGGAGGGAGAGGACCGGCCTGGCCTGTCCCAAGTGCATGGCAGGGAGGAGGGGGAGGGCCTCACTGTGCTCCTGCACCCCCAGGAAAGCGGATGTGCCTGGGCGCAGGCCTGGCGCGCTCGGAGATCTTCCTCTTCCTTACCGCCATCCTGCAAAGGTTCCACCTGCTCCCTGTGGGGAGCCCGGCCAATATCGACCTCACCCCGCAGTGCACTGGCCTGGGCAACGTGCCCCCAGTATTCCAGCTCCGCCTGGTGGCCCGCGGAGGCCTGTCCCCCGCCACACACACTCAATAAAAGCCCCTAACTGCATCCGGAGGTCTCCTGACCCAGGGCGAGGCAGACGTGTGCAGCTCTGAGGTAAACTTTATTTCTTGGCTGACAGGACTTCCACACCCATGCACCCCCAGGCACCTTCCCCTGCCCCAGCAGCCCAGTCCGAGGTGCCATGGCCAAAGGTATTGGGGAGTCACTTCACATTCCAGGCTGGAGGAGTGGGGGGAGGGGACTAGGGGATACCCCCCCCCAAAGCTCTGCCAGCAAGAGGCCATGACTCACTCCAACCCCAAATCCCGCGTCCTGGTGCAAGGTGGCAATGTCTCATCCTAGCTCTCACACCTAATGGGGACACAACCAGGCCCCAGCTTTCAACAGCGGCAGCTCCCAATGCTGGCCTCTGCCCAGGTCGCAACCCCAGCCCCCATGATGGGGCAGCAGAGGCCTCTCCTCCTTGGTCCACGACATCGGACAGAGCCAAGTCAGAAGCAGCAGTGGCGGGGAAGGAGCAGGCACCGAGGCTGGTGGGCTGCAGCAGGACCCAGGGCTCTCCAGAAGTCAGGGCAAGCTGTCCATGCAGCTTCGGGGCTGGTCCTAGGTGGGTGTGGGCGGCTGTGACACAGGAACCTGGACGCCTTTCTGTCCTGCCGCTGAGGGTGAGAAGGAACAAGACAGTGAATCGTCAGGAAAGGGACAGAGGGCAAGGATGTGGAGCCACGGAGCACACAGGCTCCATCCAGGGAGAGCGAAGAACGGAGCAGTGGGAGGCAGTAAGACACCGACGAGGCGCACACGTAACGGGAAGGGCACGAGGGAGGGGAGCAGGTACCTAGCTGATACTTGTCTTTGGCTGCTGCCCGTTCCTTGGCATCGAAATACCAGACAGTGATGGCGTACCTGGGAACCAATGCAGGTGATCAGTTTTCCGCGATTCCAGCCCCGTATGTGATGGCTCTCAACCTGCCCTTCTGAGCCACTGGGTTCAGCTCCCACCCAGGGCTCCCCCCAGCCCTTCACCTGTCCCAGTCACCCTGGGGGTCTGAGAAGACTCTGTTGGCACAAGGAACACCTGGGCACTGCCACAGAGTGTGACTCATACCTGGTGGCATAGGCTGGCTTCACCTCGTGGGGGTTTCGCCGGTCAGACCAGAAAATGAGCAAGCGGTCAAAGAGCGGCTCGATGTTGGCTACCACAGGGCGACCCTCAGGGAAAATCTGCAGCAGACCGCCATGCACCTGGGGGCAGGCCACAGGTTGAGGTGCCAGTCCTGCCCGGAGCCCACCCGGGTGCACAGCCTCCGCACACTGCCGTCCCACCCACCACGCAGGCTCTTACAGTGAATGACAGCCCAGAGTCTGCCTCACTATGGAGATGGACAGGAAGCTACTAAAGACAGGAAAAGGGGGAGCGTGCTCATTACAAGATCGGGTGGGGCTAGGCAGACAGCACCATTCCCGGAAAGGAAGGGGGGGTTCCCACCACAGTCTGCTAGAGGAGGAGGAGCCACATCCCAGGAAGCCTGCACACAGCACCGCCCCCCTGCGGATCGAGCAGAGGCACAGAACGCTCCAGTGTGAGCAGGAGTGGAGACGGAGTGGGTGTACGCCACCCACACACCCTACCTTAACGTCCCAATTCTGATTCAGGTAATAGATACAGGTGATGCAGCGCCCATCGCCGTGGGGATTGTCAACGTGCCTCACGTACCCCAGCCCATTGCCTGGGTAACACGCCACCATGGCCTGGCAGGGATGGAAGGAGGTGGGTTTACTGAGGCCAGGCACGGACATCTCCAGGAAGCAGCCATTGCCTCCTGGCTCACCCCTCCCTGCCCGGCTTCTGGAGTCCAAGGGTCCAGCCCCAAGAGCCCTACCCACAAGTCTGCCTCAAGAGCCCATGTCCCCAGTAGATCCCCAGGGCCAGTGAATACATACACACCCAGGTTGGGCTCTGTGAACAACTAAGGGTTTAAGTTTTTCGATACCTCAACCCCACCTCAGACATTTTAGTAAAGTAAAACCAGTTTCCGAGTGTTCAGGTGTGCAGCGACGTGGCCCCACAGCCCTAGAACACCGTGGCATCCCCTGGCTGCAGACAGGAATCCCCTGGGGATCTGAGACCCTGATGCCCAGGTCTGCTCACCCTCAGAAGGGCTACTAGCCTTGTCTAAAGGAGAGCCTGGATTTTTTTAAAGGTTCCCCAGCTAATTCCAATGGGCAGCAATGCTAAGAACCACTTCCTCTGACTACAAAGAATCCCATGAAATCATTTATCTGTCCCATCACCTTTGAAAAGGAACTGAAACCTAGAGTATGACTATAAAGTGAGATCTAACCCCAACTCCAAGGACAACCTGCTGGGTAACTCTGGATAATCCCATCACCTCATGGGCCTCAACTGCCTCACCTGTAAAATGGAGCTTAGAAAATACCTGTTTACAGCACTAGCATTATCGCCTGAGGACAAGCACCCAGCTAACTGCTAGCACGCACTCCGGCCTTGCTCCTGTGTGCACAGGTCTGGCTGCAGGGTTTTTGGCTCTGCAACCATAATCCCTGCCCATGCTGCAGCCAGGGCCCGGGGAAGTTTGCTAATACTGGGAAGCTGACAAAAAGGTGGCAGGTGTTAAAAAGGGGCACTTCTGCACACCCAGTTCCCAGGTTCGCGTCTCTGCTGTCATGACCTCAGGCAGATGACTCCACATCCTGTCTCGGGGTTCTCATCCCTGAAGCAGAGCTCGCAGCTCCTTCCCAAGTGGACAACAAACGTCTGGGAAGGAACTCAGCAAAGCACTGCCCCGTGCAGAACCTCAGCACAGGCTGAAACGCCATGAGAGAGGGAGGGAGAATGCGCGAGCCCCACCCATCTCAGCCCTCGCCCAAGGCCTCTAGGAGGGCTGGATGAGGCGGAATGCCAGTAAGGGGACTGGCAGGAAGACCCTGAGTGTCTTGCTAGCCAGAGACCACCTGCCTTGACCCCTCCCCACCAAGCTACACCTATGGACCAGGCCCAGCAAGACAGTCCCAAGATGAACATTCACCAGGGGACAGACCAGCGTCGGCCAGCAGACACGAGGCCTGTGAAGCACTTCAGGGCCGACAGGTTGACTCAGGATGGCTGACCCAGCGTGTTTTAAACTTTTCTGCATTAAACATGTGCACTTGAGGGGCTGGCGCCGTGGCATGCAGGTAAAGCCGCCTCCTGCGGTGCCGGCATCCCATATGTACGCTGGTTTGAGTCCCAGCTGCTCCACTTCCGAGCAGGCTCTCTGCTATGGCTTGGGAAAGAAGAAGAAGATGGCCCAGGTCCTTGGGCCCCTGCACCTGTATGGGAGACCCAGAAGAAGCTCCAGGCTCCTGGCTTCCGATTGGCACAGCTCTAGCTGTTGTGGCCATCTGGGGAGTGAACCACAGGATGGAAGATCGATCTCTCTCTCTCTGCCTCTCTGTAACTCTGCCTTTTAAATAAATAAATCTTTAAAAATACATAAATACTACCTTTTAAAAAAATGTGCACTTGATTCACCACGGAACCAACGCTGGGTTCTCCAGGCAGACTTCAGGAAGCCTGTGGCCATCGAAGGCCTTCTCTGGCACTAACGGGGTGCCGAGAAGGCCCCAGGACAAAGCCTGCCGCCCACACCTGCAGGAGGGAGGGCTCTGCAGATGGGTAAGCACTCTCAGCAAACATCTCCCTGGAAGGAGAGGCTGTGGCTGTGGCCACGGTGGCCTGGAATCAGTAAGTCACTGATTCTAGATGGGCAAGGTATCCCCAGTTAGGAATCCAACTAGAGACTATGCCCAGTACTGTACCCTCTTCCCCACAATCTACCCCCACACTACAGCTAAAGACCTTGGTTCCCAGCTCTCCACTGCATCCTGAGAAAATGCAAATGCCAGATCACAGTCTCCAGGGCCACCAACCTCACGCTGTCCCCACCACGGTGCCCGGAGCCTCAGCAGGCCGAGCTACGCCCACCTCAAGGCCTTTGCACCTGCCTGCCGCATTCTTCCCCACGCTCCTTGCTGTTCAGGACACAGGTCAAGGCTGCCTGGAGTACTTGTTGTCTGCTCTACTCCTCTCAATGTGAAATCAGCAGCGGTACCCTGTTTACCCGGTGTTGGTCTGAAAGCCAGCCCCGTGAAGTCCCTGGGGTCAGGTCTGTCTCCCCAGCGCCCCTCCGGTTCCCTCCTTCCCAGCAGCCCCAGGGAGCCTCACACGAAGCTTCACACAGGCAGGATCACGCATGAAGGCTGGGCACAGAAACAGGAACCTGCCCTTCCCCCAACAGACACACCTAGAGGGATAAGCACTCCCTGGGCCCAGGGAGTCATCTACTTCCTCCCTTCAGGAGGGAAAGCTTCAGTCCCCAGGGACAACAGAAGTGACGGGAAAACCTGCTCTCCACCCCTTCCATCTCAGGGAGAAAGCAGGTGGGATCAGAGCCAGGAGACGACACAGGCCATGGGTGACAACCTGCCCAGAGCCCTATCACCCACACACACCCCTGCAGGTGACAAGCAGATTCCGAGCCAATGTTGGCAAGGCCCACCACCAAGCTGCCCTTAAATGGGCCAATTAAGCCCTCCCTGGGGTCCCCTGGTGGCCCTTCCTGCCAGCACAATCAGCTCTCTCCCACATGTGGGTCAAGCGAGCAGGCAGAAGCAGCAGGACTCAGGGACGCTGAGCCTGTCCCCACTGCCACTGCCACTACCTCAGCAGCTCCCAGCCTTGCCCCAGGGCACAGGGAGGGAATGCAAAAGCTGCCCTCTGGGGTTGCTGTCTCGAGAGGAACTGCAGTGACCGGGCTGAATCCACAGCCCGGCTGTTCTCAGCTCGCCAGGGCAATAAATGTCACCTAGGGCTTGAAGAAGTCCCAACAACTCCCTCTGCTCAATCCTAGCAAGGGTTCAGTCCCCAAGGAGATCCAGGTCAGAGCCGGGGGCACCACAGGGGGAGCAATCCTCAACCTCGTCCCCTCCCAACCTGCCACAGACTAGCTGGGTACTTGACTTGGTTTTCCTATTCTGTGGGTGAGCAAATGCCCAGAGCAGTGCCCTGCCCTGGGCTACTCGGTTCTTCAAGACCCCTTCCCTGGCCCCCAGCCCGGGGCCCCAACCTCCTTCCTGCAAGGGGTGAAGGTGCCGAGCCAAGGAGGCCACGCTGATCTCGCCTACACAGGAGCCAAGCCCAGGGAGGGGCGGCGCTGGCTCCGGAGTGATCCAGTAACGGGAGGCACAGGGAAGTAGGACCCGTTCCAGCTGGGGCGGGGCGGAAACAGGCCGTGGCCCCGGGGGAGCCCTGCTCCCCAAGCCAGCTCCAGCCTGAGAGGAAAGGCACACAGTGGCAGAACCAAGGTGGGATCTGACAGAGGGAGGAGGGATCAGCCGTGCAGGCTGCTGACGGTGGGCAGAGGACAGCCCCTGGGGCCTGGGCCTCAAGCCCGGGGCCCTCACCCTCTTCCATGAAGAGAGGTGCAAACCCCATCAGGGTAACTGTCTTGTGCAGGGCTCCTGACCTCAGGCTCTTGAATGGGCAACCAGAAGCCTGTGAGGCCCTGACACCTGCCCATGAACTCCAACCAAATGAGCGCTTTTTCCAAGGAGAGTCGCTTTTGGCAGAGTCCCAAAAAACCCAGGTTCCAAAAAAAGACTAACAACTACTACTCGATATGGAAAAGAGGGAAGGGGACCAAGCAGAGACACAGAGGGGCAGGAGACCAGAGAGGGCCTGGGTGAGCGAGGGCAGGACAGAGGACTCCAGCACACGAAGCAGGGCACAGAGGCGAGGGAAAGGCTACCGGGCCCAGACACCTCAGTAAACACACGAGGCGGCCCAGGCCCAGGTGCTCAGCCAGGCCCCCTCAAGGCTCACTCCTCACTGTCATCTTCCTCTCCTGCTTCTGCCTGGGGGACAGGATGGACCGGACAGGCCAGCCAGACGGAAGGACAGGAGGACAGGAAAGACGACAGCCAAGTGCAGGAGGACAGAGGAAGAAGCGGGTGCCTGTCTGTGCTGCCCATTCTCCCTGACAGACAAAACACAGTCCACCCGCGGTGCGGGGCTGAGAGAATGTCAGCAGCTCTCATCAGATTCTTCAACAGAATCCTGGGAAGGGCAGGGGGGAAAATCACTGGGGCTCCAGGCCAAAGCCCCAGCTTACCGGTGCACAAAGCAAGGCCCACAAGACAGACCCCAGCGTCCACACAAGCGAGTGCACGCGCGTTGTCAAAGCTGCCCACACCTCTGAGCCCAGAAGCCCATCTCCCGCCCCACCGCGCCCAGCGCCCTAAGCACCCAACCACCACAGCTCGGCGAAGCCCCTCTACGAACGCGCCCGCTGGCCTTACCTTGGTGCGCCCATTGATGACGTAGCTGCCCAGCCGCCCGGCGCAGTGGCGGATGACGGCGTCCACGTGCGCCATGAGGGCCCCGATGCTTCGGCAGCCCGGCTCGTGGCCTTCCACCCAGGCGATCTGGTCCCCGCGGATGCTGCGCGGCGGGATAGCTCGCTGGCTCACCAGCTGCCCATCCCGCAGGCGCCCGCCGCGCTTCAGGGCCTCCACCTCGGCCAGCACGAGGCCCCCCAGCGCCGCCCCCAGGAAGCTGTCTTTCACGCAGATGCCGTAGTACCGCATGCAGGGCACAATGTAGTCCAGGGCCAGGCGCTCGGGCGCAGAGGGCAGAGCCTCCTCCCTCCGCCGGGCGCTTGGCTCCCCGCCGCCGCCGCTGCAGCCCACGCCACCCTCCCCCTCTGCCTCCTGGTTCTCTTGCCGGGCCCACGGCCGCTTGCCGGGCGAGGGGGCATCCCCCCCATCCTCTGCCCATTTCCGTTTGGGGGCCTCAGGTCGGGCACCCTGGGCTGCCAGCCGCTGGCACCCCTTGGTGACCAGCGCGGCGGCACCCTCACTCCGCAGCGGCCACAGCTCGCCACCATCCTGCGCGCCCAAGCCCTCCCGTAGCGGGCTGGCAGTGGTGGAGGTGGCGGTGGCTCTGGGGGTCCCACTCCCCACCGAGGCCTCCCCAGGCGCTCCTGGGCAATGGTAGGAGGGTAGCAGGGGGCAGGACAGGTAACTCTCCACTCCCATCCTGGCGCGGCCAGGCTCCGATGGCTCTGACACAGGCCCTGGCAACTGAGGGAGAGCCTGACTCAGGGGCTGCGGCTGGCACGGGCTGTCCATGGCAGCAGCGTCTTCATCCCCCGGGCATGGAGGGCACGGCCCGGGCCCATGGTGCCACCCTCCTCCACCTCCTCCGCCTCCTCCACTTGACGCAGCCGGAGGCCGCTGGGCCTGGCGTGGGGCAGGGCGAGGCAGCACAGGCAGCGGGGGTTCTTCTTAGGCCCTGGAGGTGCACGCTGGTCCCCAGGTCCACGGTTGTCCCTAGGGGCTTGGGAAGGGGCCCGTCAGGATGGCTGGAGAGAGACATAGAGAGATGAGACGGGAGCTGGAGAGGCGGCGAGACAGGTGCGGCCAAGTAGAAACCGTAGGGCGGAAGATGGGGCTCCGGGACCCCCACAGCCTGAGAGCGAGTTGGGGGGCAGCGGGGGAGGCTGGGTGGCGACAAGTGAGTATCCAGACAGGCCAAGAGGGACGGGGCCTGACACAGAACAGGAGTGGGAGGGGGAGGGACCGGCCTGGCGGCTCGGGAGAGATGCGGGGGTCTGCGGACAAGACAGAAGGGGAGCCAGAAAGTCCGAGCTGGGAGGAGGGGGGCCACAGGCAGAGGAAACCGGGGAGTCCAGAGACAAAGAGAACTGGGGGCCCAGGGGCAGAAATCAGACCGGAGGGAAGCTGGGAGGAAGGGCCCGAGGCGGCCGGACGGGACGCGCGGTGGGGTCGGCCGGGGCCGGGCCGGAGGAAGCCTGCTGGGGGCCGGCACACACCCAGACGGAAGGGAGGTCCCGAGACTGGGGGAAGGCGGACGCGGGAGCGGGGTCCGCCGCGACAGGACGCAGGCCCCCGGCTACGGGACCAAGGGAAAGGCGCCCCCTCACAAACCCCCTTGGTGCGGGCCCTGGCCCCCGGGAGCGTCAGAGCCGAGGCCCAGGGGCCGCTCGGACCCCGCGCCGCCCGCGCCCGGCCTCTCCCCCACGGCGCGCGCGCCCAGCGCCCACCCCGCCCCCCAACGGCCGGCACCCAACGTGCCCCGCGCGCGTTTCCTCCCCCACCCCACCCCCACCGCCTCCCCTCCCCCTCCCCGGGCGCCGCGGGCCGCCGCAGCGTTTCCCGGCTCGCGCCCCCACACGCGACCGGCCCGCGCCCGCGTCCCGACCCGGGCCCCCTTCTCCTCTCCACCCCCTCATCTCCCCGCGACCTCCTCACCGAGCTTTTTCCTCCGGCCTCGGCGCCGCCGTTTGTGCCAGCCGCCCTGCGCCGCACAGCGCGCCATACCCCGCCCCCACCCCCCGCGACGCTCCGCCCCCGCCTCGCCCGGAGGGCACGTGACCACGGGGCGAGCGGAGGAGACGGCGCGTGCGCAAGCGCGAGCCGCAGGGGGCGGGGCGAGGAAACTCAGAACGCCCGTGTCCAGAAAGGCGAAGCGGGTCCGCGGCCCTTACGAGCTCATTTGCATCCTAAGCTCCGCCCCTCCAGGTAGGCGGAGACACAGAGCTGGACGGGGAGGGGGCGTTTCTGAGCCTGTTAAAACGACTATGTGGGAGGAGCATGTAAATGAGGTAATCTACATGGACCAGCCCACTCCCTCGGAGCCGCAAGCGCTGCGGGTGACGAGTAGGCGGGTGGGGAGCGGCATGCAAATGACTTATTTACGTGGGAGACTCCTCGCAACTCCAGGAGCGGGATGAGATACTGGGAAATGGCTGCGCCCTGGGAAACGTATGTAAATTTGCACGTCAGTAATTTACACAAGTGCTTTTTATAACGGAGGGAGATGAGTGCGCGCCGTGCTAGAGACTGGAAGGGATGCGTCACGTTGGCTTTGACCCCGCGGGACAATTGCAGGAGTCACAGTAAAGCAGCCTGGGAAGGCTCCGCAGAGAAGACATTTGCATGGCCAGCCTCGCCTCTCTGAATATTCAAAGACCTGCCTGGGAGGGCTTTGCAAATCAGGCTATTTGAATGCCCCGCCCCCTGGGCCATCGCCCCGGGCTCCGCGAAGGCTCAGGCCTCTGAGGGGTCCGGAGGGCAGTGTGCAGCCCAGTTGTACCCTCTGGGGGATGCACCTATGGCTATCGGGTTTCCTGGAGGTGTCAGGCATTCACCTGGCACAAGGAGATACCACTGGTATCAAGAACGCATGAGTCAGGGTTGGACAAAGGCCCACAGTGTTCAGGAGCACACACAGGTGTATGGGGAGGAGCCAAACATACACCACACACGGAGCTGCAGCAGCACACGTGCACAAGTGCACACACAGTAATGAGTCACTGCCTTGGACTTCCCGGCATCCATCACGCCTGGGTGAAAACAAGCACAGCCCCGGGGCCACCCATAGGTCCACATTCCCCTTCCTTGGCCTTGGTGTCCCAAACAACTCCACCACAAGGACATGCAGCAGTCACGTGCGACAGCGTCACACTCACCAGCAGCACTCTGCTCCACATGTTCCTCCACACAGGTACTGGGAACACCCATACACAGGCCACAACACAGGGACTTGCAGTGTTGCACACATGGTCACACTTAGTGTCTGAAGCACCCCAGTCGTGGTGTGCCCTGGTGTACCCCTCACCCTGTCCAACCCAGAAACACGGATCCCAAACACCACGACACACCACTCTTTCACCGGCCAGCTCTTCTGTCTCCCCACCGTCCCCAAATGATGGAGGCCAAGGCACAGGTGTAAACAATGCTTTATGGGGGTCGGGAGAGGAAGGGACAGGCCTCCAGGTAATAAATAACACGTACTCGCAACAGCAGGGCCAGGCGGGGACTGGGGGCCGAATGGCCCTGGTCTCAGGCTTTGGGAGCTCTTGGGGTGTGGTTAGGGATCCGGGGGGGACAGAGGTTAGCCAAGACAGAGGAAGCAGCAGCAGGTACAGGTTCCCCCTTCCCCCGTGGCTCAGTCTTGCCCCAAAGCCAGGCCCCACCAGGCCAGGGAAGGGGGACAGGTGGCGGGGCAGCTTCTCTGGGGCCAGGGCAGCTGGGACACGGCTTCCTAGGGCCCGGACGTGGGCCCCAGCCAGAAGGACAGGGCTGGTCCTGGAGAACAGGTGAGCTGAAAGAGAAAGGCGTCGTGACCTGGAGGGGGCTGGGTCAGCCCAGCTGTGTTCTCTCTCGCTCTCATTTCTGGGTATCCTTCCCCCCGATCTAGGTCCAGCTGTCCAAGCCCTTCTCTTTCTTCCAGAATTTCTACAGTTTGTCTGCCTTCCGGTTTCTCCTCTGCAGGTAATGTTGCATCTCCCTGTTTGCCTGCCTCGCAGAGCTGTCTGTCAAGGCACATTTCAATGTCTAAACACGTTCCCACCTTTGCATCACTGTGCCCCCCTCCATGTCCTGGCTCTGAGGCTCACTGCAGTGTTTTCCAAGCTAGAGAGACCCAATGGTCTGTGGCTCTTGCTTTGGCTGAATAGAGCAGTACCTGGCAGCTTCTAGAAAGCCCCAGATGCTCTTGGAATCTCAGGGGTGAGTTTCCGGGGCGTCTGTACCCTCTACAGCTCCCCATGGGATTGCAGCATGCAGCCCTGTGTGCAGCGGGGGGTGATGGTTGGACAGGCCTCGGCCAGTTTTCATTCAAACAGAATGAAATAGAAAAGGCCTGAGTGTGTCGTGTGTAATAACAGACACAGAAGGCAGGCTGATGGCTGCCAGGGGCTGGGGAGATGAGGAGGGCCTGCTTGGTGGGCATGGAGTTTTTGGAAATGTTCCAGAACCAGACAGAGGTGGTGGTGATACAACCCTTGAATGTACTCAATTGTACGCTTCGCAGTCACGACATTCATGTTATGTGAATTATGTTGTGTGAATTTCAATTTAAAAAAAAGAATGCTGCTAAGAGAAAAACATGCTTTATATGTGGGTGCGACTATAGAAACTGACTTCCTCCTGCAGGCTGCAGTCAGTGAGACCTGTAAAAGCACTGCCTTACCACGCGTGATCCACCGTGGGCAAACACTAACGCGGACCATGTCGGCCCTGGTGGTGTGGGGAACCCCCGCCCATGCATCTCTGTGTAGTCCAGAGTCAGAAGAAAAACGGCAGAGATCCCTCATTCAAATTGGGCCAGTGGGGCCGGCGCCGCGGCTCACTAGGCTAATCCTCCGCCTAGCGGCGCCGGCACACCGGGTTCTAGTCCCGGTCGGGGCGCCGGATTCTGTCCCGGTTGCCCCTCTTCCAGGCCAGCTCTCTGCTGTGGCCAGGGAGTGCAGTGGAGGATGGCCCAGGTGCTTGGGCCCTGCACCCCATGGGAGACCAGGAAAAGCACCTGGCTCCTGGCTCCTGCCATCAGATCAGCGCGGTGCGCCGGCCGCAGCGCGCTGGCCGCGGCGGCCATTAGAGGGTGAACCAACGGCAAAGGAAGACCTTTCTCTCTGTCTCTCTCTCTCACTGTCCACTCTGCCTGTCAAAAAAAAAAAAAAAAAAAAAAAAACAAATTGGGCCAGTGGGCCTACTCTAAGCACTTCACGTGAATGAACTTCTTTAATCTCAACACATAGTTGGCAGCTACTACTACGACCCTCAGGTTACAGAGGAAAGGGAGGCGCAGGCACAGCAGGTGCAAAGGATAATGCGGCACTGTCCAAATGCCTCATCTGTGACCCCTCCAGCTCTCTCAAGTATCACACCTATTCCATTGGGAAACCTGGACCACTTTCCCCAACGGCCCCAGAGCTGCCAGTGGCTGGGAGAGGGCTGGGCACGAAGTAAACCTGGGAGAAGTGACAGGAAGCACACCTACACCTGAGGAGGTGAACACAGGAAACACACCTACACCTGGAGAGGTGAACAAAGGAAATACACCTACACCTAGGGAAGTGAACACAGGAAACACACCTACACCTGGAGGGGTGAACACAGGAAACACAACTATACCTGGAGAGGTGATGGCAGGAAAAACACCTATACCTGTAGGGGTGAACACAGGAAACACACCTATACCTGGAGGGGTGAGGGCAGGAAACACACCTATACCTGGAGAGGTGAGGGCAGGAAACACACCTATACCTGGAGGGGTGAACACAGGAATCACACCTACACCTGGGGAGGTGAACACAGGAAACACACCTACACCTGGGGGGGTGAACACAGGAAACACACCTACACCTGGGGGGGTGAGGACAGGAAACACACCTACACCTGGAGAGGTGAACAAAGGAAATACACCTACACCTAGGGAAGTGAACACAGGAAACACACCTACACCTGGAGGGGTGAACACAGGAAACACACCTATACCTGGAGGGGTGAGGGCAGGAAACACACCTATACCTGGAGAGGTGAGGGCAGGAAACACACCTACACCTGGAGGGGTGAACACAGGAAACACAACTACACCTGGAGAGGTGAACACAGGAAACACACCTACACCTGGAGGGGTGAACACAGGAAACACAACTACACCTGGAGAGGTGAGGGCAGGAAACACACCTACACCTGGGGAGGTGAACACAGGAAACACAACTACACCTGGGGAGGTGAACACAGGACACACACCTACACCTGGGGAGGTGAGGACAGGAAACACACCTACACCTGGGGAGGTGAGGACAGGAAACACACCTACACCTGGGGAGGTGAACACAGGAAACACACCTACACCTGGGGAGGTGAGGGCAGAAAACACACCTACACCTGGAGTTGAGGGCAGGAAACACCTACATCTGGAGGGGTGAATGCAGAAAACACACCTACACCTGGAGGGGTGAGGGCAGGAAACACAACTACACCTGGAGAGGCGAGGGCAGGGCCCAAGCCTGTGCGTTTCACATGCCTGTCAAGGAGTTTGGAGAGGGGGCGGTGTTGGGACATGGTGGGTGAAGCCACCACCTGCTATCTCGGTATCACATGAGTGCCAGTTCAAGTCCCGGCCCGCTCCACTTCTGATCCAGCTCCCTGCTGATGTGCCTGGCAAGGCAGCAGAAGATGGCTGAAGTGCTTGGGCTCCTGCCACCCACTTGGGAGACCCGGATGGAGTTCCAGGCATTTGAGGACCAGTGACCCAGAAGGTGGAAGGTCTCTGTGTCTCTCCCTATTACTGTCCTTTTCAAATAAATAAATAAATCTAAGCACATAAAGCGGTAAGTAAATCTAAATGAACAAATAAAGGAGGCTGCAGAACAAACGAGGCTTGCGCAGAGGAGGTGCTGCCCCAGGAAGAGGGGAGGAACAGTGCCCTAGGCAGAGGGCTCAGCATGGGCGAGCGAGGGCCCGGGGACAGGAACTTCTATGTGGCTACAGTGACCCACGAGGTGGGGAGAGTGCAAGGGGTGGAAGGGGCGCAAACTGAGGCTGGGGCAGTCCCTTCAGGGGGTCAGACACCAGGCTAAAGAGCTGCGGCTGTGACCCCAGGACCCCAGGAGCCGTGGGTGGTTTTAAAAGGGAGGGAAGGAACCGGTGCTGTGGCATAGTAGGCTAAACCTCTGCCTGCGGCACCAGCATCCCATATGGGTGCCAAGTTCGGGTCCCAGCTGCTCCACTTCCAATCCAGCTCTCTGCTATGGCCTGGAAAAGCAGTAGAACACAGCCCAAGTCCTTGGGCCCCTGCACCCATGAGGGAGACCCCGAGGAAGCTCCTGGCTCCTGGCTTCGGATCGGCCCAACACTGGCCATTGCAGGCATCTGGGGAGCAAACCAGAGGATAGAAGGCCTCTCTCTCTCTCTCTCTCTCTCTGTCCCCCTCTGTAACTCTGCCTTTCAAATAATAAACAAATATTTAAAAGGAAAAAAAAAAAAAAAAAAAAGGAGGGGCAGTGTTTTAGAAAGACCCAAGAGATGAGGCTGGAGACGGAGGTCAGGAAGGATACCCGGCCCTCCTCTGCCCCTCATGTCCCCATCCTGTCCGCTGTCGCATGCTGTCACTTTGCAGCAGCCCCTTCACTGGTATGCTGGCAACCACAGCCCCTCATGGTCTCCTCCATGTGCCATCTCAAGGACCCAGTGGACACCGAAGGCAACCCCCATCCCTCGGCTATACTCAGAAGCCTCCCGGGGGACCGGTGCTGTAACGTAGTAAGTTAAGCCACTGCCTGCAAAACCAGCATCCCATATGGGCACAGGTTCAAGTCCCTGCTTGCTGCTCCACTTCCAATCTAGCCAGCTCCCTGCTAATGCAGGGAAAGCAGTGGAAGATGGCCCAAGTCCTTGGACCCCTGCACCCATGTAGGAGACCTGGATGAAGCTCCTGGCTCCTGGCTTCAGCCTGGCCCCTCCTTCGCCATTGTGACTATTTGAAGAGTCAATCAGTGGATGGAAGAGTGCTCTCTATCTCTCCCTTTCTCTCCTCTGTAACTCTGCCTTTCAAATAAATAAAATAAATCTTTAAAAAAAGCCACCTCCCATGACCTCATGACTCCCATCGCATACAGGGTTTAGGTCAGAGCCCTCCCCATGGCCTCAGGCCCTGACTGATCCTGCTTCTCACTACCCTCAACCTCACCTCCTGCTACACCCCTGCCCCCTAACACACCATGGCCACACTGGCCGCCTTGGCCTTCCTCATTTGTGCCAGGCACGTCCCACCTCAGGGCCTTTGCACTTGCTGTTCTCACTGCCGGACACTCTTGCCCCCAGAGCCCACAGGGCTCCTGCCCTCCCTCCTTCAGGTCTTTGCTCCAACGGCACCTTCCCAGTGAGGCTCCCCTCAGCGTCCTGTCTGCGACCGGCCTCGTCCAGCTGCCAGACCCCTCGGCCTGACGGGACGGAATACCCTAACTGCTACCTGGCACACTTACACGCCTGTGTATTGTCCGTCTCCTCCCAAGACTTTGGACTCCACGGGGCAGGGAGGGTTGTTTTTGTCCCATCCACTGCTGTGTTCCATGCCTTGGGAATACAGAACTGCGCCTGCGCCTGCGCCTGCGCCTGGGACTGGTGAGGGGGCCCATCCAGGGCAGAGCCGGCAGTGGCCCGGGGCTGGCAGATATTCCTCTGCCACGTGTGGTTTTGCGTCGTTCTGTTTCTCTGTTCTGGCTCCCTCTTCCCAGGAAGCCCCCGGCCCCTGCCTCCACGAGCCCCCAGCATCCCACCTGGCTCCGCAGGTCTCAGCAGCCACAGGGCTGAGGGGTCACGGCCTGGGCGCTCCGTGGCTGCCGCAGCTGGCGAAGTGAGGCGTCGCCATACTGGATGCCTGAGCCCATCCTCTCGGGGTCCAGCTCGCCTGCGAGAGCGGAGAGATCGCAATGGGTCCCCTGAGGCCCGGGTCCTGGCCACCACGCCTGCGGGAGTCCACCGGGGCCTCACCTGAGTCGATCTTGTTGAGGATGGTGCGGGCGCACTTCAGGAAGGCCTCCTCCACGTTCTCGCCCGTGAGTGCGCTCGTTTCCAAGAACATCAGCTCTGTGGGGCGGACGCTGCCGGTCAGGGCCTCGGCCCTCCACCCCAGATCTGCACATGCGGTCCCCCCTGCCAGGAAGGTATCCTCCCCATCCCCGTCACCCCCTCCCCGCCAGAGCTCAACTCCTACAGCCCCGCTCCCAAAAGCCTTCCTGGCATCCCAGGCTGGGTCAGGTGCACCTCCTCTGAGCCCCCATAGTCCCCTGTGTGTCTCCCAGCCCAGCCCCAAGACCCCATCCAACCCTGACCTCGTGGGCTGTCACTGTCTGGAAAAGGGTCTGTCTCCCCTCCCCCTTCACCCATTGGACAGAGCGCCCCCTGAGGGCAGGGGCCAGGGCTGTGTTCATGGCTGTGTCCCCAGCAGCACCTAGCAGGGGCCCAGGTCCATCAGAGGCCACCCGTCAGCCCCGTGACAAGGCTTCCCAGTGAAGGAAGGTACGGCCAGGATCTAAAGCCAGGTCTCGCTGGTGGCAAAGCTGCTCCTAAACCTGGAGGCTGCAAGCTGGGGCCACGGGCAGATGCCACGCCTGCAGACACGCATGGTTTGCCCATGCAGGATCTTCAAGCCACTTCCCACCAACTCACTAGCCCCAGCACGGCTGCCTTTTCCCCTGTCCACGCCCTGCCCCATCTCCCTTCTTCGCTAAGTGGGCCTGTCACCAGGGCCATCACCCAGGCCCACTGCTGAAACCTGGGCAGCCAACATCCATCAGGGACCCACCTGTGCCACCCGTGAACGCCCCCCTTAGCCAGCACAACAGTCACAGTGTGACCCCACTTTCCGGAGGGGGAAGCCTGAGGACCAGAGCACTCACACAGCCCACATGTGGCAACACCGGGATCGGAACCCGGACCTCTGACTTCTACGTTCCCAGGCTGGGCACAGCCACGCCACTGCCTGCCTTCTGCCTGGCCCTCACCGTTCTCCTGGGCAAAGCGGGAGGCCTCCAGGAAAGTGACCTCACGCTCAGGGTCCAGGTCTTTCTTGTTCCCACAGAGGATGACCACGATATTGGGGCTGGCCAGAGTGCGGGCGTCGGTCAGCCAGGCGGCCAGCGAGTTGTACGTCTCCCGGCTGTGGAGAAGCAGCAGAGGAGGGAGTAGCGTGGGAAAGGGGCTGCCTGGGCCCCCCCGGCCCCGCCCACTCCGTGCACCCACCTGGTGATGTCATACACCAGCAGGGCTCCCGCCGCCCCTCGGTAGTAACTCCGGGTCACCGACCTGTGGGGCCAGGGGGACCCAGTCACCCCCAAGGCTGGGGTCTGCCCCGACACTGCCCCCCTCTGCAGAGAAAGACTGGTGGTTCAGAGGCCCCCCCCTTCACTGCTGGCCATCCCTAACGCCTGGCCTTGGGCTGGCGACCACACAGCGTCTCTTATTTAGCTGTCCATCTGCCTGCCTCTGTCTGAGCTCTCCCTGTCTCTGAGTCCCGTCTTTCTATATCTCCCCAAAGGGTCTGTTCCTCTCTCTGTCTTTTGGGTGTGTCTTTGTCTCTCTCGCTCTGGTCCTCCAATCCTCACCCCTGCCTTCCCATCCATTTGTTCATTCATTCAGCATCTTCCCTCCCCCGGCCCCAGCCAAGTGCAAAGCAACACCCCCTGTCCCTCTCTCCTGCTGAGTCTGGTGGAGCCCCCTTCCCAGGGTGGCCAACTCTGCCTTCTCCTGTCTCACCAGCCTGGGGCCCTCTGGGAGCCACACCGTCACCCCACAAACAGGTATGGAGCCTTCCGCGTCACCCACCCGTCTCCTCCACCGCACCCCCGAGTGTTGAACTAGCAGCTGCTGAGTGTCACCCCGAGACCACACTGATCCAGGGAGTGGCCAGCCCTGCCCTCCGTCTCTGCGTCTATCAGCACGCAGGCTCTGCCTGAGGACCGACCTGTGCTGAACGCTCTGCGCCCCTCTCTCCCATTACCCAGCCATCTCCATCTCTCCCACCACACCCATCCAGTTTCCCCATCTCTTCCCTCCTTGGACTCTCTCTGGGTCGCCACCCCTCACTCCCACCCCCAGGGCTCCCTCTCCCTTGGCTGCTAACCCCAGCCTGTCCACTGCTCTCTCCCTGCCTGCTCAGGGCCCTGCTTCCGTGCTCCCCCAGTCTCTACCCCCTCACACACTCCCGAGAGCCCCGCCCACCTACCGAAACCGCTCCTGGCCGGCCGTGTCCCAGATCTGTAGCTTCACTGTCTTCCCACCCACATTGACCACCCGGGATCCAAACTCCACGCCGATCGTGTGGTTGGAGTCCTGTTTGACTGGAGGCGGGAGGGAGAGAGGAGGCAGTGCAGAAGCTCAGAGGACCCCCATCTTCCAAGCCCCCCCCCCCCGACTCCACCAAGCCATTCTCATTGCTGGGGTGACACAGTCTAGCAAAGTACATCCACCATGGCAGGGACCAGGAAGCCAGCATTTGGGAGCGTCCTTGTGGCCAGCCCTGCCCACCCGCCCACGCCAGGCCCACGTTCAGTGCTCCCAGGACCACTGCCAGAAACTCACACTTATTCTCGATGAACTGATGAAGGAGACATGATTTGCCAGTTCCCGCACTGCCGATCACCAGGAATTTGAAGAGGAAGTCTGAGCAGATGGAGAGAAAACCGAGGATGTCCACAGGGAAAAGGACGGAAACCAAAAGACCATCGCAGTTAGGGGCAGAGACAGAGCCACAGACGCCAACAGTAACAGGTCCCTCTTATGCTTCCCTGGGCCCGGCACAAGTCTAAAGGCCTTTACTTGTATGAACATCGCGCTGAATCCCTCAGGAAAACTCAAAGAGGGAGGGATACTTATACCCATTTCCCAGATGAGGAAGCTAAGGCCAGAGAGGCTAACTGGTATGCCAGCATCCATTGGCAGAGCTGAGATCAAACCCGGGCCAAAGGGCTCTGGAGTCCAGGATCTTAGCTCTCCCATCGCAGAAGCCTCGGGCTCAGTTCCTGCCCCTCTTGACTCTTGACTTCCCTTCCGGCCACTTCTGACCCATGTACTGCTCCACAGCCCCAGGCCTTCATTCTACTCCCGAAGAACGGCAAGGGGCCCTGCCTCGGGATCTCTGCCCTTGTTCCCTGCTTTCCTGCACCTGTGGAATGCACAGGGCTTCCTCGGAGTCCCGGACCAGAGCTCTGCAAGGTCTGTAAGCCCTGCTCCCCCCACCCACACACACGCTGCTTCGACTTCCCGGCCCGGAACCCTGCCCTACTGTCCAGCTTAAGCCCCGCTCCTACCTCGAAGATAACCCATCCCCAACCCCTCATTTCTGACCTCTCAACCCAGATCAGCCCCAGGGGACAGAGCTTCTCCTCGGGGTTGTCTCTCAGACCCCTGCCATTCAGTCAGCCCCGCCCCATCCACTCAGGCTCCACCCCGACACCTCAAGGCCCGCCTCTCCCCCCACAGCCTTCCCCGAACCCGTCAACCCCGGCTCCCTCCAATCCCGCCCCAACCCCTGTAATCCACACATCAGACCCAAGGCTCCACCCGAACCTATGAAGCTCAGCCCCAATCCACTAAACCCCTCCCAGTCTCCGCTTAGGCCCTGCCCCCACAGCACCTGACCCCGCCCCCTGACATGTAAAGCCCCGCCCCATTCCCACAGGCCGCATCCTCTCTGGGCCCAGACCCCGACCCCTGCTTCAACCCACCGCCCTCACCGTAGGTCTCGGCCATGACTCGGTCGCGGCCGCTGAGGGCCGCAATATGGCGCCGCGGCCGCGCCTGCTCCTCGGCTGGCAGCGGCTCCGCTCCGGCTGCAGCCCCGGCTCCTTCCTACTCCCGGGGCCCGGCGCCGCCACTTCCGCCTCCCCCCCTCCGGCGCGACCCGCTAGGGCTGCGGGATACCAGACCACGCTTCCCAAAGGGAGCGATTGGTGGACTCGGCGAGCAAGGGGCGGGACGAGAGGCACAGATTGGTAGCGTGAGAGGGGCTGAGTCGGGAGGGGCGGGACCAAGGCGAGCGATTGGCGGAGCAAGTGGGAAGGGGCGGTGCCGAGGGGGCTTGGCCGACGGGAGGAACGGATTTGGTCAGGAGTCGAGGGGCAGAGTCGAGACTTCGGATTGGGTCAAAGCGGGCTTGGAGGCGGGGTTAGGGACGCCAAGAGGGGGCCGCGGCGGCAGTGACGGAGCCTGGGAGAAGAGCGGATCTTGAGCCGGCAGGTGCGATTTCTGACCTCAAAAGCAGGAAGGAGGAACATTGGGAGGACACGCTCAGGTTATCTCCCACGGCGCTTTGCAAATACTCTTCCACAAACACCTCTGCTCTGCGAGGTGTGTCCTCCCCATGGTCCGACTGGCTCACCCTAAAGCAGCACTCCCCGCGTTGGTCTAGAGGGGACATCGCATTTCCCTACTCCCCGTCTTCTCCCTGGCGTGTGTCCCAGATCGAAGTTTAGGGGTCTGTCTCTGCCCAGCTGCGGGCCCAGAAAGCGTTCGTCTGTGAGATTTCTCCCTAGCAACCCCTGACGTGCCCGTTCTCCGCGAGCTGATTGGCTGGACCCAGGAACCTGGGCAGATTTTGCCTTTGTACTGCCCCAGCCCAAGGACCACAGAGACGCGGCGGTTTGCGCTCGGCCGATGTATTTGCACACAAGCCAAGGAGGGAAGACAGCGGGCATCGCGGCGGGCTGCACTCACGGGCAGTAGAAATCCCATTTCTGAAAAAGAGGAAGCAGAAACGGTGGAGAGCAAACCCAGTGAGCACCGCAGTGGGTCTAGCGGTTGGCCACATAAATGCTATGCAAATCAGCCCCAGTCCTCTAATCTCTGCTGAACCGAGAGTGAGAAATCACTGCCCATTTTAGCGGGGAGCGAACTGAGCCAGGCTGCTGGGGATCCAAGGGTAGGAGGGGTTCTGCCCATCTTCACCACCCAAAGGGCCTCCCTCGGCAAGCCAGGACACTCACATCTGTCTTTACATCAATTTTCCCGGGTTTCAGAGTCCGGTCCTCGCGAACGATGCTACTGGGGAAATAGCCTAGGCGAGCAGCCAGGTCTCCGTAGTAATCTCCCTGAACCTGAGGAAGAGGGAGCGACAGCCGGGCGCTGGGACCATGGCGAGCTCCGTCCTGCTGGGGGGCTTGGCTCCCGCTCCTCTCCCCAGCCTTGTCACTCAAATCTCAGCCTGTCACCTGCGCAGATGGCCAAGCAGCCACCCGGTCCCTCTGTATTAATTCTCACTTGTCTCCTTCTATCAAAAGATAAGAGCTGTTCATGGGTCTATCTTCCGTGTCTAGAAAAGATCTTGGCATCGCAGGAGGTGCCGTGGGGGAAGGTGTCCCTTCCCCCAAATGTGTTTCCCTTCATGTGGAAAGCCGGGGTTCACTCCCCTCCGACCTCACCCCCCCACACACACACACTCACACTGCCTCCCCAGAAGAGGCGTCCGCGGCCCTTTAGCTTGGAGAAGACATATACCACCTGGCCCCGGTATATGGTCAGGAAGCGGCAGTCGGGGGCCACGTAGTCCTGAAGAGCCACAGCCATGGAGATGGGGTCTAGGGCAGCAACAGAAGGAAGTGACAGTGACAGCACCTCTGCCCCCGACCCAGCACACACACAGGCCAGGAACCCACACTCCCCCCCTCCTTCTTCCCACTCTCACGGCTGCATTCCTCATCGGCACACAGCTTCCGCTCGGCCAGCTTGGGCATGGGGCGGTCCCCCGCACTAGGCCCTGGGGTGGCAGACAGCACGACGATGACACCGAGGAGCACCGGGGACAGGGACCGAGCCATCACGGCCATGAGCGAGAGCAACCAAGGGGAGAAGTGGTCTCTGGTGTGCTCTTGCTCTCCCTCTGGCCAGCAACACAAGGAGACCTGTGTTCTCTGTGTTGACCCCGCCTTAAACCAGACCCAATTTTACCCATACCACCTAGAGGCCGCCACCCAGCCAGAACCATTTCAAAGACGGGGTGAGGGCTGCTGGCTCACGGAAAGGCCCAGATAGGCCCTCAGCTGCCCAGGTCAGTCCAGGTGACAGCGTCCCCCTCAGCTTGGACTCAATCCCATCCTCCCAGGAATCTCGCTTAGGGTACCCAGGCCCCTCTGCTGCTCCCTCCAGGGACAGAACCAGAGAAGCCAGTTTGGAAAACCACTTGGAATTTCCCGTGCTGGGGGCAGAACAAGGCAGCCCTTTGAGGACAAGGGCCGCAGCTCCCAGCACTGAGTGACAACTCCATGGGGCCTCAGGGCCGCTGGCAGCCCAGCCAGCTCACTATTCACCCTGCCTGGGCCAACCCCTGCCCCTCTCAGAGCCCCGCCTTCCTCCTCTGCAAAATGGGGAAGACAGTGAAAGTGAACCGTGACAGTGTTCACCACATACATCTTATTAACGCAAGTGGAGGAGGGGCTACTACTCCCCTTTTCATATGGCAAAGGGACCGAGGGGGTGGGGACACCCAGCACCTTGCTCTCTGACCTCATGGAGCTCCTGAAGGGGTTAAATAAGAGCCCATTCAAGGGATCTGCAGGGGACCTGGAGGACAAAGCACTCCCAGGGATGGTCTGGACACAAGATCAGATTATTGCAACTAGATAAGCAGTAAGCTGCCGGAGAGAGGGAACAAGAAGTCCTCTAGACTTGAAAAGACCAGAGAGGGACTGGCGCTGCGGAGCAGGGGTTGAGCTGCTGCCCACAAGGCCAGCTTCCCATATCGACGCTGGTTCAAGTCCTGGCCGCTCCACGCTAGTAACAGCAGATGGCGGCCCAGTTCTTGGGCCCTGTGACTGTCAAAATCAATAAATGAACCTTAAAGAGAATCTGAGGAGCAGGTGCTGTGGCCCAGTGAGCTGAGTCACTGCTGAGGACGCCTGCACCCCACACACGACTGCAGTTTGAGCCCAGGCTGCCCTGCTCACAACCTAACGCATCCTGAGAGGCACAGTACCTGGGTCCCTGCCACCCATGAGAGTTCCAGGGTCCGGCCTCAGTTTGAACTTCCCATTACGTTTTTCCTTTATCCATCTGAGAGGCAGACAGGGCCCCCGCCCACTGGTTCACTCCCAAAATGCCTGCAACAGCAGAGGGCAGCCCCGGCTGATACCAGGAGCTAGGGACCAATCCAGGTCTCGCATGTGGAGGGCAGAGACCCAAGCACTCCAGTCATCACCACGGTGCACATTAGCAGGAAGCTAGAATTGGGAGCAGAGCTGAGACGGGTCTGAACCCAGGCAATCTGCTATGGAATGAAGGCATCCCAAACACTTGTCCCAGAACCCTCCACTTTAGAAAATTTTTAGAAATTATTCCTTTAATCAATAAATATTTAATGAGTGTGTACAAGGTGCTAGATCCTGATCCAGAAACTGTAGATTCCTCAAGGAATGAGAGACCAAGGCCTCTGGTGGGGAGAAAAGAGCCAGCAAACAAAACTTTTTAATAACTTCTTATTTATTTTCATTTTATTTGAAAGACAGAGAAGAGAGAGATCTTCCAGCTGCTGAAACATTAAGGGCTGGGCGAGGCTGAAGCCAGGAGCACAGCAGGTAAAGCTGCTGCCTGTGGTGCCAGCATCCAATAAGGGCTCCGGTTTGAGTCCCGGCTGCTCCACTTCTAATCCAACTCCCTGCTAAGGCCTGGAAAAGCAGTGGAGGGTGGCCCAAGTGCTTGGGCCCCTGCACCTGTGTGGGAGTCCTGGAACCCGCCCAGCTCTGGCACTTGCAGCCATTTGGCGAGTGAACCAGCAGATGCAAGAACTTACTGTCTCTCCCTCTCTAAAACTGCCTTGCAAGTAAATACATAGTTAAAAAGAAAGTCAATCCAGGTCTCCCCAGTGGGTGGCAGAGACCCAAGTACTTAAGCCATCACTTGCTACCTCCCAAGTGTGCATTAGTAAGAATGCAGGATTCAAAAAAGCAAAGCTGGAAATGCAACCCAGGCATTCTGAGGTGGGTGTGGGCAACCCAAGCAGTGCCCTAACCACTGCACCAAACACCTGCCCCACAGATATGTGTATTTTTTTTGAAATGCAGAGTTACAGATAGAGAGGGAGAGTCTTATCTGCTGGTTTACTTCCCAAATGGCCACAATGGCTGGGGCTGGGCCAAGCCAGGAGCTTCTTCCAGGTCTCCCATGTCGGTGCAGTGGCCCAAGAACTTGGGCCATCTGCTGCTTTTCCAGGCACATTAGCAGGGAGCTAGATCAGAAGCTTAACAGCCGGGACTTGAACCAGCGCCCACATGGGATGCTGGCGCTGCAGGTAGCAGCTTAGTCCAATAAGCCACATCATTGACTTCACCCCAGGGTATTTTTTTAGATTCACTTACTGGGGCCAGAGTTGTGGCACAGCAGATTAAGCTACCACCTGCAACACCAGCCTCCCATATGGGCGCCGGTTAATGTCCCAGCTGCTCTACTTCTAACTCAGCTCCCTGCTCACGCACTTGGGGAAGCAGCCAAAGATGGTCCAAGTGCTTGCCACCCATGTAGGAGACTCAGAATGAAGCTCCTGGCTTCAGCATGGCCCAGCCCGAGCTACTGCAGCCATTAGAATGAACCAGCAGATCAAAGAACTCTCTCTAACTCTGCCTTCCAAATAAACATTTATCTTCTTAATTTATTTAAAGAGAAGAGTGATGAGAAACAGATACAGGAGCCAGGAACTCAATCCAGGTCTCCTACAGGGCTGGCAGGGGCCCAACTACTTGAGCCACCTTTCACTGCTTTCCTGGGCACATTAGCAGAGCTGGATTGGAAGCAGAGCAGCTGGGAGCTGGGGTGTGGGTGCTGCAGATGGCAACTGCACCACAATGCACCCCACCCCTCCGCGCGCGCACCTGCCGGATATTTAGAAAGAACAAAATAATTAGCTGTGGGGACTATGGCCCCTAATGTTGATGAAATCACAAAGGGGTAGAAGTGGCTTCACTTCCCAGAGTCAATGCATTTATCTACTGCTGCATTAGTCATCCCACAATGTAGTAACTTAAAACCAACATTACCCTCTTTCCTGTGGGCCAGAAATCCCGGTGTAGCTTAGCTGGATGCCTGTGCCCAGTGTCCCCACAGGGCTGCAGCCTCACTTGAAGGCTGGACCGGGGAAGGATCCAGTCCCAAAGTCATTCGGGCAAGTGCTGGAAGGGCTCAGTCGCCTGTGGGAACTGGACTGAGGACCTCTGTCCGCAATGACTGTTGGTGGGAAGCTTCCTTGGCTCCTTGCCACACACGTCTTCAGAAAGCACACGACACGGTGGCTGGCTTCCCACCAAGCAGGACAGAAGCATCTTTGTAATCTTTTTTGGTTTTTTTGACAGGCAGAGTTAGACAGAGAGACAGGTCTTCCTTCCATTGGTTCACCCCCCAAATGGCCACTACGGCTGGCACGCTGCACCGATCCAAAGCCAGGAGCCAGGTGCTTCCTCCTGGTCTCCCATGTGGGTACAGGGCCCAAGCACTTGAGCCATCCTCCATTGCCTTCCCAGGCCACAGCAGAGAGCTGGACTGGAAGAGGAGCAACCGAGACAGAATCCAGTGCCCCAACCGGGACTAGAACCCGGGGTGCTGGCGCCACAGGCGGAGGATTATTCTGGAGAGCGGCGGCACCGGCTGCATCTTTGTAATCTTATCCTAGAAAGGACATCCCACCATTTTTGCTACCCAGTAGTCCCCCCCACCACACACCTTTATCTGCAGCCTTCACTTACCTGTGGTCTGAGAATATGAGATGGAAAACTCCAGAACTAAATACTTCCTAAGTTTTAAGTTGCATGCCATTCTGAATAGCATGAAATCTCAAGTCATCCTGTCCCACCCTGCCCAGAAAGTGAGGCATCCCCTGGTGCAGTGGACCTGAGCCATGTGTGCTATGGTGCTTGTGTTCCTGGGACTCCATAAAACCATGGCCCCAAGTACAACAGCCGCAAAGCTGGCAACTCGGATACGCAGGAGAGCAGCTGTCAAGGGCTTCACTTAACGGAAGGTCAAGTTCTCAGTAAGAGCATTGCTCGCGAGGTTGCTGTGATCCCGGGCAGAACAAACCCACCTGTGAGAGTGAGAAGGGGGCAAGCCATGCTAACTTCGCTGCTGCACCCCAGAGCGCCAGTCCCAGCCAAAATTAGAAGGCGCCCCACCAGGACCCGGGGCTGTCTGGTTCCAGGTGTGTGTGTGGGGGGGGGTCCATGGGAGGTATCCCCTTGCAGGTAAGGGGGAACCCTGCATTCACGAGGCAGGTCACTGGGTCCAGCTCACACTTGAAGACACCCCAGGTGTGGACAGTGCAGAGTGGAGACCAGCAGCACCCACCCTGGAGGCCACCTGTCCATATCCAAACTTCATACGGGACCAAGGCAGCCATGGCAACCCCCACACCCCCTTTCTGTACTCCGGCCACACAAGCAGGACACGGAACGGCACACTTCTCTTGAGCCCCAGCACTGGCACCCGGGGCTTTCATCCCGGCCCTCACAGCCTTCGCCCACCCCAGGACCCTGGCGCTTTTCCCACCCCTCCCCGGGCGGGCTGCTCTGCAGCACCTCCGCTCCAGGTGCTTGCCAGTCGCTCTCTGGGATGCTTCCCCTTCAGCTTTCAGGCTGAGGAGAAAAGCAAGCCACGGCCCAAGGTCAGGAGGAGGAAGCGGTGTCGCATGGTACTCACCTCTCACCTCCACACTGTGCTGCAAGCCCAGTTTCCAGAGCCCCCGCCTTCCCCTCAGGCCTTGCCCCGGGCCTGGCCAGCCCATGCTTGTTTCAAAGGCTGGACACGCAGGCCTGGGGCCAGGGAGGAGTCTGAGGAGACAGGCCCTGAGCAACGCCCAGCTAAGCACGCAGACATCAAAAGCAAAACAGCTCTGCTCCAGGGACCCTTCTCAGAGGCTTTTCTTTTTGAAGATACATTTATTTGTTAGAAAGAGTTAGAGCCATAGGGAGAGACAGATCTTCCACCTGTTAGTTCACTCCCCAAATGCCTGCCACAGCTGGACTGAAGCCAGGAGCCAGGAGCTCCATCTGGGTCTCCCACCTAGGTGCAGGGGCCCAAACACTTGGGCCATCTTCTGTTGCTTTCACAGGTGCATTAGCAGGGAGCTGGATGGGAAGCAGAGCAGTTGGGACTCCAACATGGGCTGTCGGCAGGACAGCGGCCTACTGGGCTCTCCTTGATCACCGCCTCTCCCTCATCAGAATACAGTATCTGAAGCTGGCTTTTCGGTTTTGCCATTGTACACCGTCTCTGGAACAGCGTTTAGCATCTTACGTGTACATGTGTGTTAGATTCACATGCCAGTACTCAGTAAATCCCTGCTGACGTGACTCTTGGGAAGTGCCTGGTGGTGGCTGTACTGAGTACAGGTTGAGCACCGCTAACCCTGAAATCTGGAATCTAGAGGCCAGCACTGGGACCTAGTGGGTAAAGCCACCACCTGTGATGCTGGCACTCATACGGGGGCTGGTTCGAGTCCCAGCTGCTCCACTTCTGATCCAGCTCCCTGCTAATGGCCTGGAAAAGCAGTAGAGGATGGCCCAAGTGCTTAGACTCCTGCACCCATGTGGGAGACCCAGAATAAGCTCCCGGCTTCAGCCCGCCCAGGCCTGGCTGCTGCAGCCATTTGGGGAGGGAACCAGTGGATGGAAGATCTGTCTCTCCCTCTCTCTTTAACTGTGCCTTTCAGATAAATAATTTAAAAAAAAAAATCTGGAAGCTAAAATCCAATACTTTTTTGAATACAAATGTTGACAGCCACAAGTGAGAAATTCCACACTGAACCTCCTGTGACAGGTCACATTCCAAACACAGATGCACTAAAAATATTGTATATTTAAAAATCTGCATAAAATCCCCTTCAGGCTCTGTGTATGAGGTGTACACCAAAAAATAATGAGTCTTGCGTTTAGATCTGGATCCCAAGACAACACAGGTCCACGCAAATATTCCAAAACCCGGAACACTGCCAGCTCCAAGCACTCTGGGTCGGTTCTACTCACCCTGCACAAACACAGAGGGGTTCCTTTTTACTCAGCAAGAAAATGACGCTCTGAGTGGGGACATCACCTGTTTGCAGGGTGACAGCTAGGAGTCCCCAGAGTAGAAGCCAGAATCGGCTGACACAGAACCCACCAGGCCCACCCACAGGTGCTGGTGTGGTGTACAAGGTGCCTTTGCTCACCCGTCTGCACCAAGGCTGCGCCACTCAGCAAAGATGGCAATTCCGTTCTTCCAGTCCCTCAGACCACACAGGCATGAAAAATCTCGATCGGCTGTTCCTCCTTCCTCATTTCTAACAATTCCTCATCAACAGAGGCGGCGAGGCTCAGAGCAGTGCCAGGGAATTACATCCAGAAAGAATCAGTGTCTCAGTCTAGTTGTGGCCAATTTTTTACCTCTGCCAAATGATCTCACTTTTCTATTTAAAAATTTTTTAAATGATCTATTTATTATTGGAAAGGCAAAGTGAGATATCTTCCATCTGCTGGCTCACTCCCCAGATGGCTGCAACAGGCCAAACCCAGGAGCTCCACCTGATCTCCCACATGGGTAGCAGAGGCCCATGTACTTGGGTCATCTTCCATTGCCTTCCCAGATACACGAGCAGGGAGCTCGACAGAAGGCAGAAAGACTCACACTGACACGGACAGGAGATGCTGGTGTCGCAAGAGGCAGCTTAACCTGCTGAACTACAAAACTGGTCCTAAATTATACAGGTTTTGAGCTGATTTTTCCAAAAAAAATTATTTACTTATTTTTAAAGTCAAAGCTACAGAGAGCAATCTTCCATCTGCTGGTTCATGTCACAGATGGCAGCAACAGCCAGCATGGAGCCTGCCTGAAATCAGGGGCCAGGAGCCAGGGGCTTTTCCCAGCTCTCCCACATGGGTGGCAGGGGCCCAGGTAGCTGGGCCATCATCTGCTGCTTTCCCAGGCCATTTACAGGAAGCTGGATTGAAAGAGGAACAGCCAGGACTTGAACCGGCGCCCACATGGGATGCTGGAGTTGCAGTTGGTGGCTTTACCAGCTATGCCACAGCCCTGACCCGATTTTAATCAACTTAAAAGTTCCCAGGTCAGTGGAAAACAGCCCAAGTGCTTGAGCTCCTGCCACCCATGTAGGAGACCCAGATGAAGTTCCTGTCTCCTGGCTTCAGCCTGGCCCAGCTCGGGCAGTGGTGGGCATTTGGGGAATGAATCAGTAAATGAAAGATCTCTGTCTCTCCCGCTCCAACTCTGCCTTTGAGATAAAACAAACACACACACACACACCCTCCAGGTCAGGTGATAGCCAGCTGAGCATCCCTGCTGTTGACCCTCCCTTGGTTCCCACAGCTCAGCTGCTCACACGGCTGCCTGCCAGAGGCCCCTGCTGGCCACACTGCTTGTCTCATCAGCAGCTTCCCACACGTAGCCGGGTTGGTTTGGGGGCATCTTCGTGAATCCCATCCTCATGGATGCTCAAGCAGGAGCTGCAAGCTGGAGCCCCAGCGTGTCCAACGCAGACTGCCACTCCTACGACCCTTCCCCGGAGCTCCTTCCCTCATTAAATCCTTCCCTGGTCCCTACGAGACCGCTGCTGCCAGACGGCCCTGGTGCACAGATCAGAAAAATGAAGGAACACCTCTTTCCTGACACACCTGCATCTGTTAGGAAACCGCTGGGGAAAAACCGCACAGTGCATGGCACCCCTGGGTTCCTACTTCTGTCCTGAGTGCTGACTGAGGTGGAGACAGACAAGTGCAGGGCAGTGAGCCTTCCCAAGCCCGCAGGCCCCAAAGTGCTGCTGTGGGGGAAAGCAACTGTGCAAGGCAAAAAACCAAGACAAAGGCTGTGAAAAACCAAACCTCAAAACCCACTTTAATTCCGGCCTGACAGCGCCAGGTGCAATGTCTGGGGCAGACTCTGGGTACAATGCTGTGTGGCGACCACTCACTCACACGCGGCTCTGAGAAGGCCCCCGAGGGGGACTTACCTTCAGGGGGCTGAGCCAATGAGGGGAGGGGCGGCCCCAGAACAGGGGGCAGGGGCAGGTATGGGGACAAGGCGCTACTTCTTGGCAAAGGAAATCTTCATGGCGTTGTTCTGGGTGATCTTGAAGCCCTGCAAGGCGTCGCGGGCAGCCCCGGCCTGCACCTCATTGTCAAACTCCACGAAGGCAATGTCGTGCCGCCCGGGCACCAGACGCACCTCCTTGAAGCCAGGGAACCTGGGAGGGAACGGCAGAGCTCAGGGACCCTGACTCGGCCCCATGCGGGACAGACCGCCAGGGCAAGGCTGGAATGAAGAGCTTGAACACGGACACCCAGACAACAATCCAGGCAGAAACGGCACTGCAGTCCCCAGGCCCTCCCCCAGTCAAAGCCAACCGTCCCAGGAACCGCCGCGGCCCTTACTTCCACACCTTTCTCTAATTGCCTTCGCCTCATTCTCTTCACCTGCCATCCTTTTCCCAGCCGCATTCTTACAAAACATGTATTGTTTTGTCGATCTGCTAGATATGTGGTATTTCCTATCTTGCTTCTCAAAATTCCCTTTTGTACTATTACAGGTTTCTCCAGCAGCAGAAGCACCAGGTGAACCCCCTACACTCTAACCCCAACATCGAGCTGTGGCCTGTCCCACAGGCAGGGCTCCAGGGTTTAGACACCGCCCCCACCGCAGCCTGGGGTGTGCTGCGTTCTGCCAGTCTAGCCAGTGTCCAAAATGTCTATTGTTTTATGTGCACCCTCGAAGGTTCTTCTCCGTTTCAGAGACTGGGAAAGTGAGACCCAGAGCTTGGTTACCTGTCCAACCAAGGCGAGGGAGGCTAGCATGCCGTGGCCACGGGGACCCGCCCACCTTACCACCACGGCACCCCCAGGCTGTGGTCCCAACCCAGGCTCCTCCTCCTCCTCCTCTTTGTACACCTTCAGTCCCTGTTCCTCCTGCAAAGCCTGAGTTGGCTCAGGGCTCTGCCAGCAGGATGCTGAGGCCCGTTCCCATGGTAACAGCCCCAGGCCCCACTCACTGGTTGAAAAGCATGGACAGCATGAGCTCATTGGTCTCCTCAGGCAGGTTGGTGAGGAACAAGATGTGATTCGGGGGATTCTCGGACAGCTGCAGGGAGAAGGGGCCATGAGCACATAAGCCCTGAGTCCGCCCTGATCCCCACCCCTCAGCCAGCCTGGATTCGTCCTGGCACCTCCTCCGGACGCACCATCTGCTGTCACCCGTGTGTCTGCTCTGCTCACTGCCGTGCACCGAGGGTGCACAGTAGGCCCCAGTGCTCAGCACTAAGTCACAGGTGAACGCGGGGGCCGCTGCTGCAGCCTCACGCTGGCCCTCCAGACCTAGAGCAAACCTGCCACCTCCACTCCGCCCAGGGCCCCCTCAGGGGGTCTGCCCAGCCCCCCTCCCCGAGCCATCCCTTTCAACTGCCAGCCTCTATCTCTAGAGACCTCAGGGGGCCCGACACTCACAGGCTGGGCGGGCGGCATCTGCCCCGGCATCAGCTGCTGAGGGGGCATGGCGCCGGGCGGGAGCTGGCCGGGCGCAAGGCCTGGCGGCGGGATCATGCCGGGGGGCGGCATGTAGGGCGGCTGGCCCGGCATGTGGTGCATGATACGCGGCGCCTGCGTCATGGGTGGCATGCCCTGTGGAGAGAGGGGGCGGGATCAATGCAGGAAGTGGCGAGGGGCAACCCGGATGGGGACAGACACACGGACACACACACACACACACACACACAGAAAGGCCCAGGCCTAAACAGAGGTGAAAACAGCGCCCAGAAAGCTGGACCGAGCCAAGGTGGACGCCAACACAAAAGGTTTAAAAAAAAAAAAAAGCTGTAAGAAACTCCAGTCAGGCCTTGGTTTGTTTACAGATCTATAGATTTAAAGTTAAGATGGTGACAACTTCACACAGAGAGGCAAGAATCTATGGTGCATTTTCTAAAAACAAAACACAAAAATGTCACCAGATCCAGAGACCAGGAAAGAGGTGGACGGACGGCAGGGATGGAAAGGGAGGGTCAGGGCAGCAGCAGGAGGAAAACGGCACAAAGCCCTGGCCTGGCACAGCCAGGACCGGAATCCCAGCCTGGAGGCCGAGCGCAGGACAGCGCGGCCCGGCCGGAGCCGGGACACCCATTCTCGCGAGAGCCAGAGCCCAGGGCGCCGTCCTCGCCTCTGTACTCGGGCTCTGGCATCCTGTTTAGCACACAGGATGTTTCCACTCCTCATGCCCTCTCCAAGGTCATGAAGACATTTTCCTGTTTTCTCCTGGAACACTCGGCTCTGCGATTCATCTCACGCTACCTTGTGCAGGCTGAGAGGGAGCGTTCATCTTTTCCCCACAGACATCCAATCCCCAGCTCTGTTAACCAGGAAAAAATAAGCCCTAACCACAGTGAGCCGGTGGTGCCATGGGCACACAAGTGTGGCTGTCTCTACACTTTTCGTTCTGCCCCACTGGCCCACCTTCCTGCCCTGAGACTGCTGGAGCTTCTAGAAGTCTTAAGCCCTGGTCCTGAGATCCCCCAGTCACTTGTACTGTAGGCCTTGGCACGCACTGAAAGTCCTATGGATCGTGGTGCGTGGAGGATGTCCCACCCACTGCTGTGGCCTCCCTTCACCCCCAGCACTGCTCTGCGCTGTCACCAGGAACAGGCCCGCACACCTATCAGATCGACTGCTCGGCACTGTTCTCCAGTGTGGAGTCTACTTGTTCCTAGGTATAGAGACGAAACCACTACTTCTCACTGACTTTATATGTAGTGGCCTTCCTGAACTAACTTCACTTATTAATCCCAATGGTCAGTTGCTAAATTCTCCTGGATCTTCTATATAAACATTGACTTAAAAGACGGCAAAGACATGATCAAAGAGAATGAAACCAAGGGACAGACATGGAGAAAGCCCAGAGGGACAGCCGGCAGACAGGGACCTGTGCCCTGAGCACGGATACCACCACCCAGGTGCTCACCTCCCCGAGAGAGACACACACAACCTCGGCAAGGAAACGGAAGGGAAGGCTCTGAATCCCCAAGGGAAGACCTTTCCCTACCCTGCCCCAAGTCAGGCAATGGGCTAAGGCCCAGTGCTGACAGGACACACCTCTGGGCCCCGGCTTACCGGGACAGGGCCCTGCACGGCCCCCACCACGGGGGCCGCCGCTCCGCCCTGCACGGCCTTCTTGGCAGCGGGCGTCTCCTGGCTCTTGGGCTTCCTCTTCTCCCGCTTGCGGTCCCGCTCCACAAAGGTGCCCTTCATCTTGGCGATGATGTCCGAGTCGGTCTTGGCGTACTGAATGCGCTACCCAGCAGAAAGCAGGGGGTTACAAGGGCAGACTACCAAGCCCAGGGCCTGGGTTCAAAACCAGACCTTACCAAGAGCTTGCTGAGAAACGTTATAAGTTGGTTGGTCTCAACTTCCCCATCTGTAAAGTGGGGACAATTATATCCCCGTCAAAGCACTGTCATATGGACTAAATGAGTTAAATGTTCAGAACAGTCCACCACAGGGAGTGAGGGCTCAGCAGACTGTGTTTCCAAGAGAAGACAGAAGGCCAGCGATGAGGTGTAGTAGGTTAAGCTGCTGCCTACAGTGCCGGCAATCCCATATGGACGCCAGTTCGCGTCCTGACTGCTCCTCTTCTGATCCAGCTCTCTGCTATGGCCTGGGAAAGCAGCTGAAGATAGCCCAAGTGCTTGGACCCCTGCACTCATGTAGGTGACCCAGAAGCAGCTCCTGGCTCCTGGCTCCTGGCTCTGGCTTGGCCCAGACCTGACTGTTGCAGCCACAGGGAGAATAAACGAGTGAATGCTAGATCTCTCTCCTTTTCTCTCTGTACCTCTGCCTCTCAAATAAAATAAATAATAAAATCCTTAAGAGAGAGGACGCTGAGCCAAAGGCAGGCCAATGCTAGGACAGGGGCTCTGTGAGGGGCAGTTCCACCCCCACAGTTGGGTTTTCAAGCGAAATCCACTCTCAACGGTTCTCACTAAACACCAGGCCCCTCCTAGGCTCTGACCTGGGAGCAAAACACACACGAGCCCTTGCCCTCGTAGGGCTCATGCAGTGGGGGAAGGTGCGATGCTTAAAAACAGAAAGAGGCCGGCGCCGTGGTTCAATAGGCTAATCCTCCGCCTAGCGGCGCCGGCACACCGGGTTCTAGTCCGGGTCGGGACGCCAGATTCTGTCCCGGTTGCCCCTCTTCCAGGCCAGCTCTCTGCTGTGGCCAGGGAGTGCAAAGGAGGATGGCCCAAGTGCTTGGGCCCTGCACCCCATGGGAGACCAGGAGAAGCACCTGGCTCCTGCCTTCGGATCAGCGTGATGCGCCGGCCACAGCACGCTGGCTGCGGCGGCCACTGGAGGGTGAACCAACGGCAAAGGAAGACCTTTCTCTCTGTCTCTCTCTCATTGTCCACTCTCTCAGCCAGGCTCTGCAGAGGCACAACGGGCACACAGCCACAGCTGGGGCACCATGGGCCACGGAGCCAAGTGGCGAGCCACCACTCGTCCTGCACGGAGCCCCGTGGCTGTGTGTGGGGAGCAGGGCTGAAGACAGGGAAGTCACTGCCCTCGTCCTGAGGCGGGGAGGCGGTGGCCAGAGCAGGCCGACAGCGCGTGAGGCCGCGGAGCCGCGCTCTGAAGGCAGAGCGACTGCGTTTCCGGACAAATTCACTCATCTGGGCGCCTGATGTGCTCCAAGCAAAGACTTGGGGAACACATGAAGACGGGGAGTTCACACAAAAAGATGTACGGCTTTTATCCCTCAAAAGCCAACACCGCACACCCGAGAAAGGTAACGAGGACACAGCAACTCCAGGCTCACAAACGCACAGGGGACAACAGGCAGGAGGAGTCAGCGCAGGGCCCTCTCCAGATGGAAGTGACAGGTGGCCCGGCTGTCCCGGGCCTGCAGCTTCCAACGGACATGACCTGCCTGCCGCCCACACACACAGACTCGCAGGTTCCCATCAGGCCTGCAGCCCAGCCAGATGCACCTGACCTTCTCACTTCCCTCATCATGTCCACTCTGAGCCTTACTTCACCCCCCCCACACACACACGCTTTCTGCCTCACCTACTGAAGGCCCTGCCTGAACCCCGACTGGGTTAGGGGCCTCCTCCAACCGCCCCCACCCCAGGCTCTGTGCTCCCTCCCTGTTCTGGCCCTTAGTACTCTACCTGTCCTCCTATGTCCCCCCACCCCGCTCAAAAGTCTCTGGGTCTGGGAGCTGCCCTGGTCACTGGTGTCTCTGTACAGTGTCCCAGCGCCTTCCGCAGGCCACGCTCGCGCACCACTCACCATGGGCTTGTCGTAGAAGGGGAAACCCTGCATGGAGCGCAGGGCGTTGGTGGCACTGCTGACCTCCTTGAAGATGACGAAGGCCTGGCCCCTCATCTTCAGGCTCCGTGACACCAGGATGTCCAGGATCTGGCCAAACTGGGAGAAGATGGCATACAGCGACTTCTTCAGCTCTGCAGTGGGGGAAAGAAGAGCCGGGGCTGAGCAGAGGCCTGGGCACCACGTCCTGGCACTTGCGCGCCTTCTCTAGAAGTGCAGCCAGATGAGACCACCAGCCACGGGCAGAGAACCCCGATGCCAGTTCAGCGACCTCTCGACCCAGCCACAGCAGTAGCTAAGCACCCCAGCGGCGGGGCTCGTGTCTCTGAGTACGGCAGAGCACGCTGATGTGCACAGGGCCACCATGGGGGAGCACGAACTCGTGCAGGAGCGCTCAGTGCCACCTGGCACACAGCAAACGCTCAATAAGAGCGCCCAGGCGGACTTTCTGTACCCCAACTTGTCCCCGTGCCTCCGGCCGCACAGGGACATTCAGGCTGAACAAAGGTGCCTTCTCATAACCCAGGCCCAAAGGAGGACCAACTGAATGGAACACCAGGAGAGGAAATAAAGTGTGTGCGTTAGATGAGGAAGGGTGGGGACAAGGATTTTTCATTTCAAAGATTTACTTATTGGGGCTGGCGCTGTGGTGTAGCGGGTAAAGCCACTGCCTGTGGTGCCAGCATCCCATGTGGGTGTTGGTTCAAGTCCCGGCTGCTCCACTTCCAATCCAGCTCTCTGCTATGGCCTGGGAAAGTAACAGAGGATGGCCCAAGTACTTGGGTCCCTGCACCCATGTGGGAGACCCGGAGGAGCTCCTGGCTCCTGGCTTCGGATCGGCTCAGCTCCAGCCATTGCAGCCAATTGGGGAGTGAACCAGCGGATGGAAGACTCTCTCTCTCTCTGCCTCTCCTTTTCTGTGTGTAACTCTGTCTTTCAAATAAATAATTTTTTTAATATTTATTTGAATGGCAGCATTACAGAGAGGCAGAGAGAAAGGGCTTCCATCCACTGGTTCACTCCCCGAATGGCCGCAATGGCCAGAGCTGTGCCCATCCGAAGCCAGGAGCCAGGAGCTCCTTCCGGGTCTCCCACGTGGGTGCAGGAGCCCAAGCATTTGGGCCGTCTTCCACTGCTTTCCCAGGCCATAGCAGAGAGCTGGATCAGAAATGGAGCATCCGAGACTCAAGCCAGAACCCATAAGGGATGCCGGCACTGCAGGCTGCGGCTTTACCTGCTACGCCACAGTGCCAGCCCTGACAGGGATATTTTGAAGCAATTAACCAAAAATGTCCCTAGTGGGAAAATTCCCATCCTCTCTCCAAGCTCTGATCCTATGCTGGACTCTACCCATTCTCCAGTCTTCCCTACCCCACTCAAGTTCACCCTCCATACCCGAGAAGGTCACAAGGGACACAGTCAGGACAGGGGAGCAGCCTGGCCTAGTATAGTCAGCACGTCACACAGTCCACAGGGCCCTCTGAACCAACAGCTCATCACCCTCTGGAAGCTTCGCCACGATTCACAGGTTCACAGGCCTCCGGGGCTCAGGCCCACAAAACTATGTGTAGTTCCCAGAATGCCCCAGGCTCTTCTGTCCCTAGACATCTGCACATGCTGGGCCAAGTTCGGAACAATCTTCTCCTCACTGAGATGTAAATACTGCTTTGGTCAAGTCTTGTGGCACAGAGGGTTACGGCACCCCTGAGACACCTGCATCCCATTTCAGAGTGCCTGCCTCAAGTCCCCGCGACTCTGCACTTTCCATCCAGCTTCCTGCTAAGGTACCTGGGAGGCAACAGCGGATGGCCCAAGTCCTTAGGCCCCTGCCACCCACGGGGGAGGCCGAGATGCAGTTCCTGGCTCCTGGCTTTGGCCTGGCCCAGCCCTGACCACTGCAGCCATTTGGAGAGTGAACCAGAAAATGGAAAATCTCTCTCTCCCGGCCTTCCAAATCTTTAAAAATAAACCAAATCCCAGTTATGGCCAATTTTCTTGAGGTGACAGAAAAAGTTTACCTTTCTCCAGGGGCCAGCACTGTGGTGTAGTGGGTTAAGCCACTGCCTGGGATACTGACATCCCATATCGGTGCCTGTTCAAGTCCCGGCTGCTCCACTTCCAATCCCAGTTAATGGACTGAGAAAGCAGCAGAAGACGGCCGAAGCGCTTGGGCCCCTACACCCACGCGGGAGACCCAGACGAAGCTCCTGGCTCCTGGCTCCGGTCTGGCCCAGGGCCGGTTGTTGTGGCCATCCGAGGAGTGAACCAGCAGATGGAGGCTCAATAAGGGGATCATTTACTAATTCACTACAGCGAGAGACGCTGACTTCAAGAACTCAGTTCTTTCCCTCTCGTGTGGGAGCTAAACACAGAGACGAACGCCTCCACCTGCACACAGGATGGCGATCACCAGAGGCTGGGAGAGGCGGGCCCACAGAGGGAGTCTGGCTATCAAAACTAGGGGGGCTTGAGTGTGGCTCACTAACTGGGACAACTGTGCCACACTACCCGGACCCGGGAACAAGGAAGCCATGCTAACTCCTAATTCTGGCCTGGCGGTGGTGTTCTGGTGCCGCCTACAACGCCAGCATCCTGGCTGCGTCCCAGCTGCTACACTTGTGGTCCAGCTCCCTGCTAACGCGCTGGGATGACCATGGAAGATGCCCCACGTACTCGGGCCCCTGCACCTGCGTGGGAGACCCGGCTGGAGTGCCCGGGCTAGGCTTCAACCTGGCCCGGGCCCGGCTGTCTGAGCAGCGAACCAGAGGATGGAAGCTCTCTCTCCCTGCGCCTCTCCCGCCCTCCATTTTAGAGCCCCAGTGTCCTAGTCTGACAACTGGGACTTAGGCAACGTGGATGCCCCTGCTACAAGTGTTGCCAGCCCCATGAAAGTCCGTAACATCAGGGCTTGATGGGGCACGCCCGGGGGCCTATGGGAAGTAGTGGCAGCCGCCTGAGGAGAGACAGGGAAGGGCTTCCTGGAAGAGGAGTCCCGAGAGGGGGAAGACGGCCAGGTCCAAGGGCAGAGCGTTCACGACACGGAGCCAGGTCCGGCGAAGGCTGAGCGAGGGAGAGGACGCAGCTCACGCGGGACAGCCCAACCCCCAGCACCCCGATCACTCACCATCCTTCTTGATCTTCTCATTGAGGTTGTTGATATAAATGGTGTGGTTGGGGCGGGTCTCGGGAACTGCCATGGGGCGAGGCGCCAAGCGAGGGCTGAGAGGAGGAAAAAGAGGACCTAAGCCCGGGGCTTCCCCTACTCCCTCGTCTCAAGGCTGACTGAACGGCCCGTTCAGGAATCTTCCCTCCAAAACGGAAGATGAGGCGAGGCGCCAGCGGGGAGACGATGGAGGCGCAGCCTGGGCAACAAAGCGTGCGCAGGACTCCGCTTCTGCCCGCGTGCTGAGGGGAAACCGCCAGGGGTTTACTACAAGTCCCAGCAGGCTCTGCGCGACCCAGTAGGCGGGACGCCCTAAGGGGCGATTCCCATTGGCCTACGCGCCCAAACGTTGGTGAGGAGGAAAAAACCCGGATGTAAGAGGCGGTTAGGGGCGGGACGGATTTGAGGTCCTTGACCTCGCACAGCGAGAAAGTTTCCCCAGACCAAACATGGAAAACCACCAGGCCAAGCGCACCGGCCACCTGTTGCCGACGGCCGCCCAGACCCATGGCTACTCACTGATAGGGCTGCGGCTCCCACAAGCGGCGCCTGCTGCGCTCCTCAGATCAGACCACAAAACTTCCCCTCCCAGCCCCGCCTTTGCCTTTCTATAAGCCAATACCAGGGCGGAAATTTGGTAGGTAGACCAATCAGAGTAAGGGTCGTCCCTGGGCTCAGCTCCTGCCAATCAAGATGACACTCGGGTTCCCGCTTCGGCAGAAGGCCCGCCCCCGGCCCGCTGCCTTCCTCTGCGCCTGGATCTACGGACCAATCAGCGACGGTCACGAGCTTCTTGCCAATAGGGACGCGGCACCCGTAGCAGTCTCTTCCGGAGGCGGGCCTTTGGAAACCCCACCTCTTCCTCACAGCCTTACACCTTATAGCGTCATCGCTACAGGGGCGGGGCTTGGTGCGGATGCTACACGTGATATGGGGACGGCAGTGTGCCGAGGCCGCCATTTTGCGCGCCGGAAAGGCGCGTTTTGCTTCTTAAGCTCGCTTCCCTATCCTGGCGGTATCTCGGCTTCCTCCGGCCTCCCATCTCGGAGCTTTCTCCAGCACACAAACTTTTCCTGTTGCTAATCCCGGCATCTGCGCCGCGGCAAGGCCATTTTCCCTTCCGGGTTGACCTCTTGACCTCTAACCGAGGTGGGGCCTGGGGTGTGAGCAGGACCGAACCTGAGCTGCCCCAGGCCAGCCCTGGGCCCTAAAGCCTCACCTGTGGGCGCCTCACGCCAGGTCTTGGCTTTAATATCCGAATGCTGACCCTGTCGCGTCCCTCTCAGCGTTAACTCCCAACTTGCCCCGCAGGAGCCCTGCACAGCCCCAGGGCACACGTCTGCTCTCCCAGTTAGTAACGGCGTTCCTCTGAGTGAGCCCCAATCCCCGCCTCCATGGGTTCACATTTTAGCCCTGGATTTTTGCTAACCCACTGCTCGGCCCCCAAACTCCGGAGCGCAACTCCAAAACCTTTATGATCGGCATCTCCAAGATCTTGGGGAAGAGTCTTCCTCTCCCATCCTCAACTCCTCCCGCAGACCCCAAGATGGCCGCCCCAGGGGCTCCTATCCTAGAGCCCCCCAGCCCTCCTCCAAAAGCCCCTGCACCTCCTCCCCCACCCCTGAGTCCGCTGGACGGGGCTCTCCCAGCCCCTCCCCGCGGCCTCCAGGCCCCCATTCCGCTGCCGCCGCCGCCGCCTCCGCCAGCCGCTGCCGTGGGGATGGCTCCTCCTCGTGTCTTCGGCCTAGAGAAGAGCCGGCTCCTGCAGGAGGCCCTGGCGAAGGCCGGCCCAGTCCCCAAGGCCAGAGAAGACGCCAGGAGGCTCCTGAAGCTGCACAAGGACCGGTAGGGCCCCCGGGCCCCACATGCACCTGCACCTGCACCGCACGCCGCCACCTGTCCCCGCCCCCATTCCCATTTCCTGGAGATGAAAATGGCTGGATGGTTCCAGTCCCCTCTCCCCCGAGCGCCCAGTGGTGGCGGGAGCCCCCTGCAGTGAGGAAAGAGCCCCCCCAAGAGCCTCGTGCAGAGAGGGTGGTGGGACCAGGGTAAAGGGGTTTCCTCCACCCGGGGAAGGTGGGGCTGCTCGGTGGGCGGGAAGCAGCTCCCCAGGGCACGCTGGGAAGCTGTGCAAAGGGGTCCCGGACAGGGAGGCTGCCTGTGGGGCCTGCAGGGCATGAGCCAGGCGGGAAGGGTTAACGATGCCGGTGAGGGGAAGACAGGGTTCTGGCCCAGAGACCCAAAGAAGCTGCCACCTCGCCAGACACGTTGGCCCCAAATGCCCCAAGCAGAGGAGGCAAATTTAACACAAATTAAAACCACAAACTGCAGCCTAGCCAAGGTCAGGTACTGATTTGTTTTTTTTTTTTTTTTTTTTTAATGTGGTTTTGTTTTTTAAAGATCTATTTTATTTATGTGAAAGGCAGCGCTACAGAGAGAGAGATTTTCCAGCTGCTGGTTCGCTCCCCATAGTGAACTGTGGCTGTGCCACAAGGCCGGCCCCAGTTCAAGTGTTTTTAAGTTGTGATTGAATCCCCTCGGCAACCCCACGTGGTGGGACCGGTGGGACCTGTTATTGTCTCGTCTTCCAGAAGAGCAAACAGGCTCACAGAGGAGGAGTTGTTAGCCACAGGGCAAAGACAAGGGATGAGCCAGTGGGGTGAGCCTGCTCTGTGCCTTCACCCCCACCCTGGCTGTCTGCCCCATGCAGGGTCCCTGCCTGGCAGTCCTTGCCCTCGCCCTGGCCTTGGAGTCGGAGTGTCCTGCCTGCACCCGAGCGCTGGGCTTGTCATCACCGGAACTGAGCAATTCCCTGGGCGCGACTGGTCAGGTCTGCGAAAGGTGGGCTCTACAGGGCCCGCACTGTGGTAGAGCAGGCCCAGTCCCGGCTGCTCCGATTCCAGTCCAGCTCCCTGCTAAGGCACCTGGGAAAGCAGCGGAAGACGGCCTGAGTGCACAGGCCTCCACACTCACGTGGGAGACCCGGATGGAGCTCCTGGCTCCTGGCTTCGGATCGGCCCAGCTCTCGCTGTGGCAGCCATTTGGGGGAATGAACCAGTGGATGGAAGACCTCTCTCTCTCTCTAAATAAAATAAATAACTACTTAAAAAAGAAGAGATTCGTTCCACTGATAGGTGGCCTCTTAGGCGTCAGGCGTGTTGCTTGGTTTTACTCAAGGGTGAGTTAGGGGGTCCGCCCTGTGTAACAGCCTGAGAAATAGAGCTGAGGGGGACAGGACTCGCGGAGAGGCCGGCCTGTGGCCTAGCGGTCAGGATGCCCACGTCCCACATCACAGCGCCTGGCTCCCGGCCCCAGCTTCCTGCGAGGGTGCGCCCTGGGAGGCAGTAGTCAGGTAGATAGGTTCTTGTCACCCATGAGGGAGGCCTGGCTCGCGTTGCTGGCTCCCTGCTTCCGTGCCCGACTCGGGCCGTGGTCAGAGTTTGGGTGTAGAGTCGCCCCTTGAGCCACGTCCTCACGGCTCCTAGTGGCGAGGTTTGCACACGTGCTGTTTGCCTTCGGCAGCAGAGGAAGGGCGGGGACGGGCAGAAGGAAGATTCTGGGGAACCGAGGCTCCAGGACGGGAGGGGACTCACCAGGGGCCGGGCAGGTGCTGCTCCCTGGCCTTTGGACAGCCAGGCAGCATTCCCTCCACCTGCCTGGACGCCCTCTCCCCAGCCAGGTCTCGGGGCGGGAGAGGGGCTCTCGGGCTGGCCCCCTTGTGACCTGGGCCTGGCTCTATCTACTCCAGCTTCCGGAGTGACCTGCAGTGGATGCTCTTCTGCGCCGACCTGCCGTCCCTCATCCAAGAAGGCCCTCAGTAGGTGCCCGGCCCCCGGCCAGCCCCGGCCCCTGAGCCCTGGCTCTTCCTGGGCTGGGCTCCTTGCAGCCTGCCTAGGGAGGGAAGGGGGGAGGGAGGGAGTCCAGGGGGACATCCGGGCCCCAGGTGCAGTGTGGGAAACAGCAAGGGAGTGCACTCCAGGGAGTGAACAAGCCAGCCTGGTCCATTTCTACCTCTGCCCTGAGGCCAGGTGACCTCCCTTTTAGCCCCAGTACTCCAGCCAGGGCCCAGGCTGTGGCCATTGCCTCCCAGCGAAGGACAGTCTCCCGCCTAGCCAGGGGCAGACCTGGGGCAGCAGATCTGTTCCCCGCTCCAGCCGCCTGGGTAGAAGGGCCCAGCAAAGCGGGACTCGAGTGAACCACGGGGCTGTCCCCCTTCAGGTGTGGGCTGGTGGCCTTGTGGATGGCAGGCACTCTGCTGTCACCCCCCAGCGGCGTCCCCCTGGAGAGGCTGGTGCAGGTGGCCGTGGAGAGAGGCTACACGGCACAGGGAGAGATGTTCTCCGGTGAGTGGGGGTGGGGGAGGGCCTTGACTGCTCCCCAGAGGGGACCAGGGAGGCTGGTGGGATGCTGCAGGCCCGTGAGGGGCTCTCCTCCTCCTCCCGTTCTCCAGGCCCCGTAGAGTGGGCACCACTGGGAGCCTGGAGCCAGGCTGCCTGGGGTCTGACGTCTGCTGGGCCTCACTCTGTGGTACCGAGGGCTGATGGTCACGCGAGGATGGGAAGCTTGAGTCCCCAGCAAGCCCTCTGCTCCCACCCTGCAGTGGCCGACATGGGCCGGCTGGCCGAGGAGACGCTGGGCTGCCAGGCTGAGCTGCTGCGCGGGGGCCTGGGCGGGCCCAACAGGGGCCTTGTCCTGCAGCACCTAGTCGCCGGACACCCCGTGCTCATCCCGTATCCCAGCGCCCAGGGGGGAGCAGGGCAGGGGTGGCAAAGGGCGGGTCCAAGAGCCCTGCCATGGGTTTGGCCTTAACACCAGCACCAGCTACGACGAGGACTTCAACCATGAGCCGTGTCGGAGGAGGGGCCACAAGGCCCACTGGGCAGTGAGTTCAGGTGGGTCCCCGCTCTGGGTGTGCCCTCACCTGGGACCTCCCCATCCCCAGTCACTTCCTCACCTTCACCCTGGTGCCACCCATGTCCCCACAGCTTAATAAGAAAGGACCTGGCCCCAGGTGTCTGCCGGTTAGGGTTTCAACAAACAGAAGAGGATCAGACTGCGGTCTCCAGGCTGTGACTCTGGCCACCGCAGTCTGATCCTCTGGCCAGGTTTCTGCACCTCTCTGGGCTCCCACTGCCCAGGTGGCGATCAGCGGGGATGGTAGCCCCCTTTGTAGGCAGAGCTCAGAACCTCAGAGCTGTCCCTGTCTCGGGGCATAGCCCGATGAGTGTTCGCGGGACGAACGCCATCCGCCTGCTCACAGGAGGCCCTGGTCCAGGCCGTGTGGCCCTGCAGGCTCCCTCTGGGTCTCTTTCCTGGACAGCTGCAGATGTGGAGGGCGGGCTGGCTCCTCTGTGCTCACTGTGGCCAGCAGCATGGCAGAAGGCTATAGCTTTGGAGCCGGGTGCCGGCAGTGTTCCCACTGCCCCCAGTAACCACTCTGTGGCTGAGGACCAAGGCCACAGCTTCCCTGGAGGCCTGGGAGGGAGGTGACCTCAGCGAGCCCCTTGTCAAGGCCTTGTAGACTGCTACTCACCTCCTCCTCCACCTCCTCTCCCCCAGGGGTCCTGCTGGGTGTGCAGCACGTACCAAGCCTCGACTACACTGAGGACCCCGAGCTGCCAGGCCTGTTCCACCCAGTGCCCGGCAGGCCCTGCCGGCCACCGTCCCTGCCAGGGGAGGAGGCCCCCGGAGCCACCTACCTTCTCTCCAAGCAGGGCAAGAGTTGGCACTACCAGCTGTGGGACTACGACCAGATCCAGGATAGCAACCTGCAGCTGACTGAGTTCTCACCCTCACGGGCCACCGACGGCCAAGTCTACGTGGTGCCCACCGGTGGGGTGCAGGCTGGCCTCTGCGGCCAGGCCCTGCTCCTCAGACCACGGGACTCCTGCCACTAGGTGAGGCCGGGCCCAGGCCATAGCCTGGCTGTCACCACTTAATGTTCTAGGCCGGCGCTGCGGCTCACTAGGCTAATCCTCCGCCTTGCGGCGCCAGCACACCGGATTCTAGTCCCAGTCGGGGCGCCAGATTCTGTCCCGGTTGCCCCTCTTCCAGGCCAGCTCTCTGCTGTGGCCCGGGAATGCAGTGGAGGATGGCCCAAGTGCTTGGGCCCTGCACCCCATGGGAGACCAGGAGAAGCACCTGGCTCCTGCCATCGGATCAGCGCAGTGTGCCAGCCGTGGCGGCCACTGGAAGGTGAACCAACGGCAAAGGAAGACCTTTCTGTCTCTCTCTCTCACTGTCCACTCTGCCTGTCAAAAAAAAAAAAAAAAAAAAAAGAATGTTCTAGTCTGACCCACTTTGGATGGCCCCTGAGTTTGAGCCGCATCCCTGAGGGCCTCCAGCCGCAAGCCCATCCCTACAGCACCGACTGACCCCTCCTCTCCAAGGAGAGACACCTCAGACCCCACCCCCGGCCATCCCACGTGGACAGGGCATCCACCCCTTTCCCACGTACCACCTCTCCTGCAGCACGGCCACCTCACTGGACAGCTGCAGGACTGCTTCCCACTCCGCTGCCAGCCTGGCCCACTGCTCCTCGCCTCAGCTCAGGTTCTGCTTCCTCAGGGAAGAGCCCTTCTGTGCCGGCTGGGCGCCCTCACCACTTCCTGTCTCCCCCACACCAAGCAATCACACGCTGACCTCTGCCTGCTGTAACAGCAGTTCCTCTGGCCCCGAGGCCGAAGCCTGGAGCAGGAGTCATGGCCTTAGGCCGCGTGGCCGGCAGGTGGCAGGGTCACTGCAGCCAGGCCATCTTCCTGAATTTCACCCTGGTGCTGACCACACACTGTTCTCCCTGTATGGTCCCACACGTGCACGCATGGGGCATGTCGAGTAGTTTGTGAAAAACAAGATTGTAAAATTTATTTTGATAGAAAAAACCTTTGAAGTCCACACAATATGCATCTTCCATGAACTTTTTGAAGTCCCCTCATATGCATGGATTTCAACATTTTTGCACCAAAATAAACTTACCTTTTAATTCCATTTGAATCTCGGAAGAACCCATGTGTGGGTGTGTGAGAGACAGACAAAAGTAGTTTAGAGAATCTGTTTAATGAGTACCTATCACCTCCACCCTGAAAGGGGTACCATGGCTGTCCTGGTCACCACCGTGTCCCCAGTGCCCAGCAAAGGGTCTCATCAGGGAAACTGTATGGTGCAGTGACATGAGGAAGAGGGTCCCTGCCCAGGGACACCGTGCTTGGCATGGTCAGGTGCGTGGTCCTGGGTGCACTGCCTCGGCCACCATTGTCCCCTGCATCGTATGGCACAGAGCCAGGCCTGAGAACAGCTCGCTGGTGCTGGGCGAAGGAGGCAGCAGGTCAGCTCAGTTCTCTCAAGAGTGGCCGTCATCCTGTTACCCCACCCCGCGTTGCAGCTGCAGTTGAAAGTTTGAGCGCACACACCCCAGGGACAAGACAGAAACCTCAGCACAGACTCCGTCCTCTCTACTGGGTGCCTCGGCTGCTTCCCTGACCTACCTGCCCCCAGCTGACAGCTCCCTGGGATAAAGAAGTGTACAGGTGGCCAGGGGAAAGACCACCGCCTCAGTGCCAGTGGGAGGAGCTCCCCAGCCTGCCCTCGAGGGCCCCTAGCCCAAGGGCCCAGCGCTGGAGGGGCCGAAGGCCGCACAACAGGGTCCTGGAGTCTTCACCGCACCCGCCTATGCCCCTGGGCCGACCTGCACTTTGCCCCACAGGGGCCCCGGGTCTGGTGGGGCGCGGAGCCCAGGAGGAGGCTGCTGCCCCCGCCCCTGGACTCTGTCCTGGCGCTGCAGTCTTCACGGAGGGCCCTGCAACCCGGCACAGAGGACAAAGTCCTGAGGCTGGGTCTGGTGCCGCAAGCAAGGAGGCCGCAGAGGGCAGGGTGCAGGTGCGGCCGGGGATGCGGGCGGGGTCCGCAGGAGGCACAGGGAGGCGCACAGACCCTGGCAGGGTGGCTCGGTGGTGAGCGTCAGCAGTGTGGGCAGTGGCCGCACCCTCTCTGGGGCTGGAGTCGCTCAGCACCTGACTGGGCTCCCGAAGCAAGGGCCTCTCCCTCTAGACAGTTCCCGAGTGATGCCAGGTCCTCTGAGGCCCAGAGACGAACTTGGCACTGCCCCCGGCTCCACAGCCAGCGAGGGCTGATGAGGAGGCAGCCTGGGAGTTCCCAGTCAGCCACAGGCACCAGTCACACCTGTGCCCTGCAACAGCTGAGTGACATTCCCGGCCGCCGACAGCCCCTCCGTAACCTCTGCCCATCAGGGCACTGGTCTGGGTTCTGCTGCCTGGCACGACCCCGCCCGCTCATGCTCCCTCTCAGGTCCTGTCAGCCCCAGTGTCACAGAGGCCTTCAGCCCCAGAGGTCAGCCCACCCGCCACCACCCACAGGCCCCCACGGCATCTCGGGCCCCTCTGGCCAGAATGGAACCATCCAGTAAGTCAACCTGGCAGAGCCTGGCAGGTCAGCTCCGGGCCAGCCCCTGCAGGAGGCGGATCATATTGTCCAGGCCCCACAGGTAGCCGTCCTCACGATTGCCCTCGGCCCAGGGCAGCCGGTGGCTCAGCGTCTGGTGGTCCGGCAGGGCCGCCGTCTTGCCGAAGTCGATCATCCAGACCTTGGCCAGGCCAGTGTGGTCGTGCACAAAGAGGAGAGAGCTGCCCACCACCTGCAGTGGGGAGCCGGGGGTCAGGGCGGGGGCTGGCCCTGGTCACCGTGCCCTCCCGGCCAGGCAGCAGGGCAGGGTGTCTCACAGCATGAACCCCGGAGCTCGGCCACCTCGGGTCCAGCCCTGGCTCTGCCACTACCACGGGTGTTGGAACCTTTCTTGGCTCTGCTTCCTCACGTACAGAGTGAGCCTCAGAGAGTGCCGTGCACGTGCTACGGGTGAACTGACCACACAGCACTGACAGCAGTTCCTGGCACTCAGCAAACACCACCACTGCAAACTTACTGCTTTTTAAGCCAAACTCAAACACGGGCACTAACGGACTGGACGATGCCCCCCCCGCCCCCCCGCCCCCGGCCGTGGAGTGGGGCGGCAGCATCTCCGGCCCCGTGGGCTGTCGGTGCTGACCTCACACAAGGGACTTCCTTCCCCTGGGCCTCAGTCCCCTTGTCTGCACACTGGGAGCCCGCAGCCGGCCTCCCGGCACTGGCCCACACCGCACGCTGCCTCACAGTGCTCGGCACATGGTCGGTCCTCAGTGGACACTGTTTTAGCTAGCTGCCTTCCCCTCACCTGGCTCCAGGTGCACAGGCCCCTCCAGGTTTCGAGCCCCACTGCTCCCAGAGGACCCTGGTCCCAGGCAGGTGGGCAGGAGCTTGTCTGAGCAGCAGAGCCCTCCCAGGTCTGGACGGCCGGTGGTAACCAGCAGGCAGCCCAGGCTAGCCAAGTCTCCCGCGGTGCCATAGAAAATGGATGTGGGTGTGAAGTCTCCCGCTTTAAACAGTGGCGAATCACTGTTTAAAATGCCGAGTCAGCCGGCAGGCAAAACCAAACACGAGCACGGGAGAGACGGGTTCCCTGAGCTGTGCTTTGCGACTTCCACGTCCACAAGGGTGACGTTTGGTACAAGCAAACAGTAACAGCAGCCAGCACACCCTGATGCTGGACTGCGCTGGGTGCTGCTGCTACCCCCTCCCACAGCAGGGGGACCAAGGCCTCTCCGAGGCGGCCAGGGAGTGGCAGCCGGGTCTGCGGGCATCCCCGGGCCAGTGCTGGCTCAGGACAGTTGGTGACGGCAGGAAGAGGCGAGAGGGGGCTGGAGGCATGGGGAGAGCAGAGAGGATGGCACCCATTCAGAGTTGGGCACAGCCTCAGAGTGGCAGGCTGGGGGGGGGGGGGAGGGTCTTCACAGCTGACACTGGTGAGGGCGCCTCCTCGTGGCTCTCACACCTCGGTGGCCCTGGGAGGCGAAGTCACAGGCCGGTGCCCCACAGCGGTCAGCCTGCAGCCCCCGGCTGGAGTCCGCCTCCGAATTTCCCTCGTGGGCACCCCCCTCCCATAGCTGTGGCTGCTGACTGTCCACAGCGTCCTCCCTGCACCACCCAGGCCCCGGGACCCCACGCAGGCCATGGTGGCCAGGGCTCGCACCTCATGGGTCCTGAAGAAGGGGGACTGCTCCAGGGTGTCGCGGAGTTCCTCCAGGTGGGCCACGTACTTTCTCTGTGTGTCAGAGGGGCCTTGGTGAGTCCCACCCAGGTGGAGGCCCCAAGGTGTGGCAGGCCACACAAATCCCCTGGACTGAGCAGCTCCTCCCATCCCTTTCAGCTGGGCCTGGTGACCTGACTGGCTGTGGCCCACACAGTGTGGCAGGAATGACAGCCACCATGCTGAGCCCGGGCATCAGGAGGTCTTGCGTTTTCACTCCCTCTCTTGGCCCCTTGCTTCTACTGTGAGAGCAGACCCAGCCCAGCCCGCTGGGCCACAAGACACACACAGCCAAGCACAGGGAGACAAATCTGAGCCCAGACAGTGACGGGCGGGCGCTGGGGCGGTGGGTGCTGGCCTCGTGGGGGCCAGCGCTGTGGTGCAGTGGGTTAAGCCACCACCTGTGACGCTGGCATCCTTTACGAGCTCCAGCTCAAGTCCCAGCTGCTCCACTTCCCAACCAGCTGCGTGCTAATGCGCCTGGGAAAGCAGCAGGTGATGTCCCAAGTCCTTAGGCCCCGTCACCCACATGGAAGACCTGGATGGAGTTCCAGGCTCCTGGCTTCAGCCTGGCCCAGGCCTGGCCATTGCAGCCATTTGGGGAGTGAAGCAGTGGATGGAAGATCTCTCTCTCCCTCTCAAATAAATAAATAAAATTTAAAAAAAAGCGCCGGCACACCAGGTTCTAGTCCCGGTCGGGGCACCAGATTCTGTCCCGGTTGCACCTCTTCCAGGCCAGCTTTCTGCTGTGGCCAGGGAGTGCAGTGGAGAATGGCTCAAGTGCTTGGATAAGCACCTGGCTCCTGCCTTCGGATCAGCGCGGTGCGCTGGCCGCAGCGCACTGGCCGCGGCGGCCATTGGAGGGTGAACCAATGGCAAAGGAAGACCTTTCTCTCTGTCTCTCTCATTGTCCACTCTGCCTGTCAAAAAAAAAAAAAGAAAAAAGAAAAAAAAAAAAGACCAATGGGCAGACAGGAGAGCAGGGCCAGCCTGGACCAGCCTTAGCCAGGCCACGGCTGTCCACACCTGAGCACCGCCAGCCTGGACCGCCTTAGCCAGGCCACGGCTGCCCACACCTGAGCACCGCCAGCCACGCTGTGGGACACAAGCACGTCCTCACCAGGATTCCACGGTCTCGGTCCACAAAGTCCTCCAGCACCTTCGTCACCTGCTCCAGCGCCTGCGTCTTCTTGAAGTTGGTGCTGCAGGTCCCGTTGGCTTTCTGCAGGGCAAGGGAGTGGGGAGTGGCCTCTCACCCCTTTCCCTTCCCGCCCCAAACTCGGAGCAACCTGGGGCACCTCCGGGGCGCCCAGCCGCCTTCACAGCTGCTTACTGTTCGGGAGAAGCCAGCCCGCCTGCCCGCCCCAGCTCAGCTGGGTCCCGCGTCACAGTCCTGAGTGACCCAGCCTTCCGAGTCGAACCTCCACCCACCCTGGCAAAGTGGGCTTGGGGGCGGGGGCAGGGCGGGTCTGGCTTTCCATCATGACTGCTACTTGCTAGCTGGGCCATCGCTGTCTTGGCCTCGGTTTCCCCATCTGGCAGATGGGGATGGTGTTGGTACCTCCATCCCACGTCCCCGAGAGAAATCAAGGAGGGCTTCTTCAAGGAAGCAAGTTTGAAAGGAGACAGAAAACTGGCTTGAGGGTCACCCAGGAGAACAACAGAGGGAAGAACATTCTTGGCAGGGAAACCACATTCCAAGGCCCTGTGGCCAGAAAGCCCAGGGGACTTCCCTGCGCTTCACGACAGCCTGAAGAAACAGGAGTAGAGGTGAGGCCTGAGGGCCTCTAAGCTCCCCTGCGGCACTAGGGAGCCACAGAAGAGCTCTGGATGGGAGAAGGGCATCACTGGATTCGCAGCTCACAAGGACAGCTGAGTGGTCATGGGGCAGAGGCAGCGTGGGGGCACGACCCCAACGAAGGGGCCAGCTTTGCCGCGCAGTGGGGTAAGCTGTGGTCTGCAATACCGGCCTCCCACATCAAAGTGCTGGTTCAAGTCCCGGCTGCTCCACTTCCAGTGAAGCTCCTTGCTAATGGCCTGGGAAAGCAGTGGAAGACGCCCCAAGTGCTTGGGCCCCTGGTACCCATATGGGAGACCCGGAGAGAGTCCCAGGCTCCTGGCTTCAGCCTGGCCAAGCCCTGCTACTGTGGCCCTCTGGGGACAGAACCACAGATGGAAGGTCTTTCTCTCTGAAACTGTGCCTTTCAAATACACTTAAACCTCTTTTTAAAAATCATACCAGAAAAGAAAATGCCAGGGGCTTGGTGTGTCACCTTTGACTCAGTCGCCCACCTGTGGAAGTCTAGTCCACAGCCGGCCCTGCACACCTGCCAGATGGTGTCTGTACCACGTGACTCACTAAGGCACCGAAATGCCAGCAAACGGAGGCCACCAAGGTCCACCCACGGGAGCCCTGGCACGTCCACAAAGAGCACCTGCCACAGAAAACCCTTCCGGACATGACAGTTAGTGACACAGGCCAAGGCCAGTCCACGTGGGCCCAAGGTGTGCAGGTGGGGCGTGGGCGGGGCTGGGCAGGGCAGCGGCAGGGCTGAGACAGAGCTGTCCACGTTTCTCCCTGCTCCTGGTGGTATCACCTTGACTTCTGAGCTCCGTGCAGATCTACTCAAACAACTAGAGCTAACTTACGGTGACGGTGTGGGAGGTGCAATGAGCAAAGAAGGACGCCTCCCCAGTGGGGGCGCTGAGGGCTTGCAGCTGTCCTGTTAGGGGATGGATCAGTGGGGGCGAGCCCAGGGCCTGGGAGCCCAGGGCGGCTGAAGCCAGAGAAGCTGGAGCGGTGCTGGGACCTGGCCACAGGAGGGAGCAGGAGACGTCCTGGCACTGACTGACCGGCGCTGGGGGGAAGCGGCACCCGCCCCGGCCCACCTGGCCCTCCCTGACCCTGCGTTCCCCAGCAGGCCCCGCCTCAGGTCCAGTCCAGGCCCTGTGGGGACGGCCAGCCAGCCCCACGCCTCACCTTGACGCCCTCAATGCGGAAGCCCAGGGTGGAGGTGGAGCTCGAGGCCTCCCGCCATTGCATGTAGCGGGGCTTGGTCACAGCCCCCTGCGCGTGCTCCTCGGGCGTGGGGGCCCCAGGGTCCACAGCCACCATCTTCTCGTACATGTCCTTCCGGGGCCGGGGCCGCTCTCGTGCCTTGACCAGCTCCTCCTCCAGGTAGGTCCTGGCACACAGGGGAGGTGACAAAGGTGACAAACGAAGTGGCGCTGAGCAGAGCCGGAGGCCTGACGCTTCCTGACGTGGAGACAGGTTGAAAAGTGCCAGTGGGCGCAGAAGTGGGCGAGCAGATCTCTGCATGGGACAGAGTGCACGGTAGCCACACACACACACATGCTCGCACTCACACACACGTGCACACTTGCTCACACACTCGCTCGCACACCAGGCTAAGGATGGAGAAGCCCTGCCATTCCAACACGGGGATTCTTCAACAAACGGTGCTGGGTCGACAGGATGCCCACCTGGGGCAAGACAAACCCAGGCCCCAGCTCGCACACGCACAGGTGGAGTTAGCTCCAGGTGGACTGCGGAGCTGACTGTGAAACTTCAAACAATAGCATGTACAGGAGAACACAAGAACGTCTTCTTACTCTCAGAATATGCAGATTTCTTTCTTTCTTTTTTTCTTTCTTCCTTTCTTTCTTTCTTTCTTTCTTTCTTTCTTTCTTTCTTTCTTTATTTCTTCTTTTTAGATTTATTTTGCTTCACAGGCAGAGTTACAGAGAGATGGAGAGTTGGGAGGAGAGAGAGACAGATAGATAGATAGATAGATCCACTGGTTCACTCCCCAGATGGCTGCACCGGCCAGGGCTGGGCCAGGCTGAAGCCAGGAGCCAGGAGCTTTATCCAGGTCTCTCACAGGGTGGCAGGGTCTCAAGCACTTGGACCATCTTTCACTGCTTTCCCAGGCCATTAGCAAGGAGCTGGATTGGAACTGGAGCCCATATGGGATGCCAGTGTCACAGACAGCAGTTCTACCTGCTACGCCACACTGGCTCCTTGCAAATTTCTTAAACGCAACCCCATTGGCCAGAATGAAAAGTTGACAAACTGGACTGAATTAAAAGTACTTCTGTTTGTGAAAAGACACTGTTAAAACAGTGAACTGGGATAGTTGGAGAGTGTGTGTGTGTGTGTGTGTGTGTGTGGGCAACAAAAAACCTATACCCAAAATACATAAAGAATTACGCATAAAAAAAAAAAAAAGACAGGAGCAGGCGTCTAGCCCAGTAGTTTAGACTCCCATGTCCCATGGGTCAATGCCCAGCTCCACTCTGTGGGAGGCAGCAGTGATGGCTCATGTAATTGGGTTCCTGCCACCCACATAGGAGACCTGGACAGACTTTCTGGATCCTGGCTGCCAGAGAGAGAGAGAGAGAGGCCAACTCAATGGAAAAAAATGGGTAGAAGATTCAAACAGGCACTTTTGAAAGAGGATTCCTTTCCTTGAAAGAGGAAAAGATGCTTAATTTCTGAGTCATCAGAATGAGTGACCACTACATATCCATCAGAACGGCTCAAATGGGGATGGTGGTGCAGCGGATAAAGCTGTTGTCTGTGATGCCGGCATCCCACATGGGCGCCAGTTCATGCCCTGGCTGCTCCACATCCCATCCAGCTCCCTGCTAATGTGCCTAGGAAAGCAGCTGAGGATGGCCCAAGTGCTTGGGCCCCTGCATCCATGTGAGAGACCTTGATGAAGCTCCCAGCTCCTGGCTTCAGACCTGCCCAGTTCTGGCCACTGTGGCCATCTGGGAGAGTGAACCAGCAGGTGAAACACCTCTCTCTGTGTCTTTCTGTCTGCCTCTCTGTAACTCTGCCTCTCAAGTAAATAAATAAATGTTTTTTAAAAAATGGCTGACATGAATAAAACAGACAATACCAAGTGTGGGTGGGGCAGAAAGCAGTGAGGCCCCTCTACTGTAGGAATACCTGCTGGGGCAGCCACTTTGAAACCTAACTGATGCTTTCAACCACGTCCCCCCGCCCCGCCCCGCCCCAGGCTGCCAGTGCCCCACCTGCTGCCCATTTTGCAGTCCATGATGGAGGGGCCTTCGAAATCTGCCAGGAGATCCTCCATCTGGTTGAAGGCTTGGCCGTCCCGCTGCACCACGCCGTAGTAGGCCGGCACAAATGGCCGCAGCGGGTCTCCCATCAGCTGCTCCAGGCTGCGCTGCTCACACTGACAGAAGCGTTTCAGAATCCGGCCGTCCTCTCCCGCCTGGAAGTTCCCTGCGGGCAGTGGGATCAGCGACAGGGTCAAAAAAACAGACAAGAAAGGGACGCCTGCCCGCCCCTTCCTGTGTGTGCGCGGTCCTGGCACCATCACACCATCGCCTGAGCTCCCTCTCCCTCCCGGCAGCTTTCAAAAGCTTGGCCTGGGCTGGCGGGGAAGGGTGCGTTTCTACTCGCTCTTGCTGAAACGGAGTCTTGTTCACGCACAATGTGTCCTTGCTGGCTCTGTAATTTTGCATGGTGAGCCTAGATTGTCTATGGGAGTTCGGTGAGGCCTACGCAGGCAGCATTTGCTTCTCCCTGGGGTCCCAGGTGCTAAGGACCAGGGCCTGTTCAAATTAACTGGTGGGGCCAAGTGTTGTGGCACAGCAGGTTAAGCTGTCACCTTATTTTTTTAGGTGAAGCTACAGAGACAGAGAGAGACCTTCCATCTGCTGGTTCACTCTCCAGTGGCCGTAAAGGCCAGGGCTGGGCCAGGCCGAAGTCAAGGGCCAGTAGCTTCTTCTGGGTCTTCCATGTGGATTGCAGGGGCCCAAGGACTTGGGCCATCCTCCACTGCTTTCTAGGTACATTAGCAGGGAGCTGGATGGGAAGTGGAGCAGCCGGGACATGAACTGTCACCCATGTGGATGCCAGCACTGCAGACAGCAGCTATGCCACAGTGCCAGCCCTAAGCTGCCACCTCTTCATGCTGGCATCCCATTCGAGGATCGATCTGAGTTCCACCTGCTCCACTTCCAACCCAGCTCCCTGTTAATGTGCCTGAGAAAGCAGCAGAAGATGGCCCAGGTACCTGGGCCCCTGCCACCCATATGGGAGACCAGGATGGCCTGGCCCAGTCTTGGCTATTGTGGCTATTTGGGGAGTGAACCAGCAGTAGAAGATACCTCTCTGTGTCTTTCCTTCTCTCTGTAATTCTGCCTTTCAAGTAAATAAATAGATCTTACATATTTTTTAAATAAAAAATAAATTAACTATAAATCTGACAGAATTATAGATTAGAATTCCAAATTATTATTGTGGTAAATGCATTTTTAGCTTGTATCTTCCACAGATGGCTGCGACAGTATCTCCTATTCCATGGGCTCTCCTACAACCTTCCTGATAAGAAGTGCAGTCCAGTGCCTCTCCCTTGACCTGGGCGGGGTTTACGGCAGGAGTGACACTGTGTGAAGGCCAACTCCAGGTCATAAAGGCAACAGTGCTTCCCCTTCGCCGTTGGCAGAGACGCTCGCCACACTCCCCCGAGCTGCAGGGTAAGAAGTCATTTGCTCGGAGGCCACCTCGTGTGAGGAAGCCCACGCAGATGCGTGGAGAAGCCAGACGAGGCTCTTCAGCTCCTGCTGAGACCCCGGCCCCCAAGCAGTGTCGGAGGCCGGGCGCACGAGTGAATGAGCCTCCAACGGTCTCCAGCTTTGAGTGGTCCTGGCTGAGTTCCCAGACAGCATGAGCCTGCCCTGCCCTGTCTGAATCCTCTACCCAAGACCCACAAGCATAATGAAATGGCTCTTTCATTCCATTAAGGTTTTAAATATTTATTTATTTATTCACTTGAGACAGAGAGAGATGGACAGAGAGAGAGAGAGTTCCCTCACTGGTTCACTCCCCAGTTGCGCACAATGGCTGCAGCTGGGCTGGGCTGGGCTGGGCTGGGAACTGAGTCCAGGGTGGGAGGCACCTGATTCCTGGTACCAGCACCACAGGTGCCTCCCAGGGACTGCACAAGCAGGAAGCTGGAGTTGGGAGCTGGGGCCAGGACTCCAGCCCAGGTCCTCCGATGTGGAGCACTGGCATCTTCAGACTAAATGGCTGCTTCTCACTATTTTTTAACTATTGTAAGGAGGGACTGCAGCCTTGTGCTCACTCTGGGGCCCTTGTCTTTTCTCCAACTTCGCTCTAGGCTGAGCAGGGCAACAAGTTCTCTTGTGGTCTCCCTTTGCTTGGTAGGTACGTTTCTTACTCTAGCCCCCTGCCTGGTGTGTACATGTTCGTATGTATTTGAAAGACAGTGAGAGAAGCACGAGAGACACAGAGAGAGAGAGAGAGAGAGAGAGAGAGAGAGAGAAAGTTTCATCTTTCCCTATGCACTTTCCCTATGCTCCTTCCCTATGACAGCCAGGGCTAGGCCAGGCCAAAGTCCGGAGCATGGAAACAGACCTGAGCCATCGCCTGCTGCCTCCCGGGCTGCACGGTAACAGGAAGCTGGACGAGAAGCAGAGCTGGGTGTCAAACCCAGAGACTCCGCTATGGCATGCGGCCATCCCCGATGGGACGCCAGCCTCTCACTGCCTTGTCCTCGTGTGTTTATGAATCTTCCATGGCCGTGTCCTGCTGCAACACAGAGAGCTCAGTGCTTGCAACAGAGACCACAGGGCCCTGGGGAAACCATGACAGCCACCGGGCTGGGAGGGGGCAGATTTTTTTTTATTTTTTATTTTCATCTTCTTGAGAGAATAAGGGAGAGAGATTTTCCATTTGCTGCTTTGTTCCCCAAATGCCTGCGACAGCCAGGGCTGGGCCAGGCCGTCAGGAGTCCAGAACTCTACTCAGGCCTTCCATGTGGACGGCCAAAGCACCTGAGCCATCACCTGCTACCTCCCAGGACATGTTAGCAGGGAGCCGGATCAGAAGCAGAGCAGCCAGGACTGGAACCTGTACTGTGCTGTGAGCTGTGGCCATTCCAAGTGGAAGCTTGGCCTGCTGCACCATGGTGCGCGCCCTGCGGCTACTCCAACTGCGGGCCTACTGCACTCTGGACGCGGACAGCTAACTTCCATCATGAGGGGTCTGTGGCTGAATCTCGACAAACACTTTGGCTTCAACGCTTCAAGTGAAGTGAGATGACCCCCCTAGTAACAGATGGGGAAACCGAGGCCCAGGAAAGGAAAGTCACTTGCCAGGGGACACCATGAATATAAAAGCCATATCTAGGGCTAAACCTCTGCTTACAGTGCTGGCATCCCATATGGGTGCTAGTTCGAGTCCCGGCTGCTCCCCTTCCAATCCAGCTCTCTGCTATGGTGGGAAAGCAGTAGAAGATGGCCCAAGTGCTTGGGCCCCTGCACCCACATGGGAGACTCAGAAGAAGCTCCTGGTTCCTGGCTTCGGATGGGCACAGCTCTGGCTGTTTGTGCCATCTGGAGAGTGAACCAGCAGATGGAAGATCTCCCTCTCTCTATCTGTAATTCTACCTCTCAAATAAATAGATAAAATCTTAAAAAAAAAAAGTCACATTTAGAGTTGCAGCCCAGGTCCATCTGTCCCCAGAACAGAGGCTCCTCCCGCCACCACAGTAACATGGAGTAGCCCCCGCCTCAAGTCTGGCCAGGTCCAGGCCTCCGCTTCCCATAGCAGCCCCCTGAGTGGGTGTGGTCACGGAGCCTGGGTTACAGGTGGGGAAACCAAGGGCAGACGGCAGCGTTTGCCTGGCCAGGCGTGCCGTCCGGCCCTGCCCCACCCCCGCCGTCCCCCCCTCACCTGCATGTCCGGAGAGCTGGACCCAGGGGTAGTGTTTCCGGAAGGAGACCACGAAGGGCGAGTACTTCAGAACCGTCTTCAGCTTCTCCCACGGTTTGTTCTGGGAGGTGCAGAAGGGGGAGGGGTCAGGGCAGAGGCCAGGGAGGGAGGGTCTGGGTGTTGCCAGGGCACCTGACCAAGGTGGACCTGGGGTCTTTCCAGGGCCAGGGGCTTTCTGGGGTCGCTATGCTCAAGTTTGTCGGGGTGCATGAACCGCAATGCGTTTGGCAATCATGAGACTGCCCAAAGGCCAGGGCACTGGAGGGGGAGGGGGCTCTGACCTTCCTCTGTCACCGTTTCTCTGTCCACGGTCTCTCTGCCTGCCTCAGGAGTAGGGATAGGCTAGGATCTATTGTGGGAACAGTGACCCCACATCTCCCCCCTCCTCCACGTCACACGCCCTAAAGCTAGAAGCCCCCAAGGCCAGGTCAGACTTCCTGGAAATAATGACGGAGCAGGAGTTGATGACGAATGCAGGCTGAGCACAGAGCCAAACACAGGAGCAAGTGACGCCAGGGCCCGCGCTGGGCAGCCCTACGAGCCGCTCCAGCTCTTTCCCCTTCCAGACACCTCCCTGCGTCTCCGAGTGAGGTCAGTGACTCCCTGTGGCCCCTGCGAGAGCCGTGAGCAGCAGCTCCGCTCCTAGGTGGAAGCCTCAACAGCCAGAGTCTGACTCTGCTTGGGGGGCTGAGGGTGGGAAGAGCCATGGAAGCCCCCCACCCCCACCCCAAGAGGAGGCTGAGCAAAATTAACCCCTGGTTGTTCTGAGTCACTGAGATTTGGGGAGAATCGCGAGGGACCCTGACTACTACGGGTACAAAGAGAAGCAGAGAGACAAAGTAAAGACAAAGATGGGAGATGCAGAGAGAGCGAGAGCGAGAGAGAGAGAGAGGGAGCCAGAGAAGCAAACAACACAGACTGAGCTGTCCCAGCCGGAGCTGCCTGAGGCCGGCTCTGACGCCCTCTGGGAAGGGTCGCAGGGTTCAGGAAGGGGACGATGGTGGCAGGTCCCTGTTTACTGAGCACCTGACCCATCGCTGGCACAACAGCACTCAGCGTGCCTTCACCTCCCCCATCCGAAAAACGCCACCCGGCGTGACCGTGGCCTCTGAGCTTCGGATGAGGACCAGAGGCCACGGGTCTCACGTCGCCCAGCACAGCGCTGACCTGCCGCGCTCCCGCTGGACGAGGCCTGGGGCCCGCGTGATCTGGACTCTCTGTCCGGCTCACTGACTGGGTGTCCCCAGAATGCTGCTGGGTCTGAAGGGTGTCTACTGAGACCGTCTTTTCCATCCTAAGCAGACTGAGTGCATTCTCTGTGTCAGATGATTGATCCCAAGTCAGCTCACAAGCCACTTCCCCCAGGAAGTCCTCTCTCCCATCCAAGTACTAACCAGGCCCGACCCTGCTCAGTTGCCGAGAACAGACGAGACTGGGCGCATTCAGGGTGGTATGGCCATAGGCCAGGAAGCCCGCTCTGATAGCCCAGTACCTGGCCAGTCACTGGGCTCCCATAGCCACGCAGACTGCCCCTTCCCAGGCCTGACTGCTGTCTGGGGCCGCCGCCCCCATTAGCCTGAGGGCAGTGTCGTGGTCAGGATGGTGAGAAGGAAAGATAGAGAGGGCCTTTTGGGTCAGACAGGATTTCAAAATGAAGCAAGAAGGAAGGGAGGGTATTCTGCGCAGTGGGGCCAGCTTGAGCAACGTGTGGGGGCAGGATGGAGGCTGCAAGGCCAGGGGACAGGGCGCGCTCTGGCCGGAGGGGTCAGTGGGGGAGGGGGAGTCTCTGAGCCCAGCCCGGAGCTCCTGCTCACTACCAGGGAGCTGTAGGAGGCCCCAGAACAGAGAAAGGAGCCGATGAGGGCTGGACCATGGAGGCAGGTTCTGGAAGAATGAGGAAAACCGAGGTGGGGAGGGCTGGGAGGGAGGCAGGCCAGGGAGGGATTCACACAGCACGAGGGTCAAGAGGACAGCACCTCGGCTCTGGCTCGCCCCTCTATTCCTCAGTTTCCCCATCTGTAAAATGGAGAGGCTCCCGACTCTCCCAGTCTCACCAGGCACATGCAGGGTGCTGTGGGCGGTGCCCGGTGTACTGGGGCTGGGGGGGGGCGCGGTCTGAGTCTCAGTTCTGCCTCTTTCAAGGTGGGTGACCTCGCTCTGCCTCAATGCCCTCATACGCAGAAGGGAATAACAGCGTTTGCCTCGTAGGGAGTCAGGGAGCCAATAAGGGCGAGGAGCTTAGCGGGGCTGGGCTGCCGCCGCTGTTATCATCCGCTCCCTCCCAGCTGAGATGCCAAGGCGGTGAGCCAGCAGGTGGAGAGCAAAGCATGGCGGGGAGCCCCAGCGGGTCCAGACACGCAGAGACGGGCCTGTCTCCTACAGCTGGGGCCACGCACATGTGAACACGGCCCCGAGGGAGGCGTGGTGGGGGGAGGGGGCCTCCGGGCAGACGCCAGCCTGCACCCCGGACAATGGGAGGCCTGGGCAGGCCAGCCAGCACCACGGACTGTGGACTCCACTCTCCAGTTTCACACCCAAGTCTGCTCTGACCCTCCCTGCTGGAACCTGCTGGGCCAGCCCTCCTGATTCACCAGGGGCGAACCGCACCCAGGCGGGCGGGGGTGGGGGGGATGTAAACAACAGGGCGTGGGGGTGCCCCTGGCCCTTCGAGAACCTGAGGGAAGTTGGGCTTCACTTCACTCTCTAGAAGAAATGTACAAGGGGGCTGGGGTGGGGAAGGGTCAGGGCCCCTTAAGGCAGCCACAGGCCCCAGAAAGAAGGCACACTCTCTCTCTGTCTCCCTATTCCCGGATTCTTCAGATTTGGGGCTTGTAGACTAAGGCACTGGACAGAAGTCAGAGACAGAGCCACACAGTCGGACACTTCGGGGACTCCTTCTGTGGTCCCACTGTAGACCCTGGAGCTGGAGGCAAAGAGAGGAGAGGAAGCAGAGGGCAGGCCGGGGCTGCGTGGAGTGGCTGGAGTCACTCCGCCGTCCCGGGGGGAGGCAGTGGAGGAAAAGGCAGGCACTGGGGATGGAACCGCTGGCGGGCGGCTGAAAGCAAACCGGGACAGAGAGACTTTCTCAAGCAAGGCGGGGCGAGGGGTCTGCCGGGACATGGGCCCACTCACCCCAGACCTGTCCTCAGGGTCGCTGGCACCTCCGCCCCCGGCCACCACGTCATCCTCAGACTCGTCGAAAGAGGAGGCAGAGGAGAAGCCGCCACTGCCCACGTCCACCCGGGAGGGGGCTCCCACTGGCTGGGCCTCGGGCCCAGGGGTCTCAGGGGTGATGATGAGGCGGGGGACAGGACACAGGGGGCTACAGTCCAGGTGTGAGTACAGGGCAGTCAGCAACTCTCCAGGTTCTGGTTCCTGTTCTGGGCCTTGTCCATGAGGCTCCCCCAAAAAGCAGTCTGCCCCAGGTGCTGTCTGGGGACCAGCCGTGCCATGCTGTTTCCCAGCTGTTTCAGTATCCCGCTGTATCTGGGGGCCATCAGTGCGTGGCTCCGTCTGGGAGCCTTCAGTATCCTGTGGCGTCCTGGGGCCACCAGTGTACAGTTCTTTCCAGGAGCCATTAGCACCTGGCTCTGTCGAGAGACAGGCGCTCTCTAGGTGAGTCGGGCGGTTGGAACTGCTCTGGTGAGTCCACAGGTTATCAGTCCGGGGCTTGACCCTCTCTGGCTGTGCCTGGAGGTTGGATCTGCGTGGATCAGTCCAAAAGCCATCTGTCCCAGTCTCTGTCCAGGGCTCTGAGCAGCTGCTGCTCCTTTCCGGCTGCGTCCAGAGGCTGGCCCTGTCGGGCTCCGTCTTCTGGCTGAGCCTCTCGGGCTCTGCTCCGAGGCCGGCTGCTTCGGGTTCAGCCTGTCCCTCTGTCCGGGCTTCTGTCCGTGGGCTGTCTGTCCCGGGTTCAGGCCCGAGGCCGGCCCTCTCGGGCTCCGTGTGGAGCCGGGACCTCTCGGTCCCGGCCTGGGGCCCGCCCCCCTCTGGCCGTCCCGCCGGACCCCCGGCGCCGGGTCCGGGTCGCTGCTGTCCCGGCTGCCGCCTCCGCCCCCCTCGCGGCGCCTCCAGCCCCATGCGGGCCGCAGCCGGCAGCGCCCCGGCCTCTGCCTCGCTCAAGCTCCCCCGGCATGGGCAGCGCCTCATGCCTGCTCCTTCGGTTCAAGCTTCGGCCGGCCCAGCCCCACCTTCCCCTTTAAATCCTACGAGGGGTGTGGCTGGGGAGCCCCGACTCGCGGGTTCCGGCCCCGGAGCTCCAGCCCGTGCGGGCACGCAGGGGTTAACCGATACTCCCTCCCCCCTCCGGGGGAAAGCCCCGAAGTCCCGCCCACCGGACGTGACGCACCCGGTGAGGGCGGGGCTTGAATTGGCCCCGCCCTTTCCCGGCCGGGTTTTCTCCCGTTTGCGCCGTGCGTGCGTCAGGGCCGCTGACGGGGCCGCTGCTGCACCCCCGTGACTAATTCCACCTCCCCACGCGCTCGTGTGCCCCGCTCGCTCCCTGCAGCCTCTGGTGACGAGTTCGGCTGCGCTGCCGTTCTTCACGCAGGGGCCGGCCGAGCTTTCAAAGCCGGGGCTCCCACAGGCGCGGGTTCCGTGGTTCAGCCGCTGCCTTCGCTCCATGGAGTCATCTGTGAGAAATCTCTCGTGTGGATCGCGTGTTCGTCTGTCCCAGGCCCTGGCACTCTCTCACTGTTTCTCTCACGAACGTTGAACGAGAAAGGGAGGCCCCGATGTGCAGAGAGGGGCTCTGAGGCTCAGAGCCTGTCTGGCCTTTGTGTGTGGCTGGTGTGACGTCATGTGCTTGGAGCGAGTGACGTCAGGCCTGTCAGGCTTGCATTGTCAGCCGCAGCCCTGTGGGGTTAGCTGTCAAAGTTGCTTTTGATACATTTTGCCTGGGAGCGCCTGAGTCAGACCCTCGCCTTTGGACGGGGACAGCAGGTGGTTTCTGTCTGAGCTGAGTCACCTGCCGGAGGGACACTGGGCACAGGCCCAGGGTTATAAAACGAGTCCGTGAGAAGCCCGGGGCCAGAGCCCACCTAGGACCTCATACGGGTTGGGAAGCTGGGGTCCAGGAAGGGCCGAGGGCCCGACGAGGGGGCTTGGACAGGGACCATGGGGCGCGTTCCCCTCGCCCAGTGCAGGGAGAGAAGCCCCGGCCGGTGGCTTCTGTTCCCGACTGCTCGAAGAGGGGTGAGTCAGGCTGTGGTAGGGGGCCCGACACACACACACGCAGATGGGCTGGGGGCTGGGTTTCTGGGATGCCAAGGTTCCTGACTCAGCGCCGGGAATCTTGGCGGACTGTGTTCTGGGAAATGTCAGGCCTGCGGAAAACAGAGGGCTGCCGCTCGCGCCCTCCCCAGGGTGGGTGGGGAGCAGACAGAGCAGGGTGCGTGAGGGCACGCGAGCGCCTGTGTGCGGGGGAGGCAGTTGATGTACACAGGGGGGCTGAGGGTGTGAGCAGGAGACAGCTGGCGAGCAGGCCAGTGGGGGGTTATGCGATTGGGTGCCAGCGTGTGTGCGTGTGGGGTGCAAGTGGAGCTGAGCCATGTGCGAGGGAAATGCTCTCTGGGAGAGAGGCTGAGCCTGCCAGGGGCAAATTGAGAAGAGGAGTGGGCGAGGTGTTAGCGCGGAGAAGGGTGGAGTTTGTAAGGACTACAGAAAAGACGGGATGGGGAAGAGAAGGTCCCGCCCCCGGCGCGCGGCCCCGCCCCCGGCGCCTCGGCCCCGCCCCCAGCGCACGTCCCGGAATGCTTCGCGGGTGCTTCGTGCCATTCAGCGAGCCGCTGCTCCACCATTGGACAGCTGGCCGGAGGGGCGGGCGTGCAGAGGCTCCCGGAAGCCCAGGAGGTCCCCGCGCTTGGCCGACCGGCAGCCAGAAGGCAGCGGGTGCTTAGCAACGGAGGGACGTGCCCGGGGACGGGGCAGGGGGACTCGGGAGGAATTGTGGGTACCTAGCGACAGGGCATGAGTGAGACAGCGCCTAGCAACGAGGGGGTCTCTGAGAAGTAGAGAGGTAGCCCTGGAGGATCCGAAGGTGGGTAGCAACCGGGGAGGGCCCTAGCAGCTAGCAGTGGCGGGAGTCCGGGGCCAAAGGAGAGGTAGCAGAGAATTTCCTAGCAGCGAGGGGGGGGGAACCAGGAGAAACCAGGGAGTCTGTTAGCAGGGCAGGAGGTCGGGGCGGGGGGGTGCTGGCGGGGAAGAGAGGCACAGCGGGGCGGTGGGCGCTGCATGCTACCCCAGTAATCCCTTCTCTCCTCCCCCAGGTGATGTGGCTGGAGGTGGGGGGCCTACTGCGGGGGATTCGTGGACAGCTGGGCCGGACTGTAGGTCTGCCTTGTGGGGCCCCAGAGCCTGGGCCCCATTGGTGGGTAAGAAGCTGGGGAGGAGGTGGCAAAAACAGGGAGGGGTCCGAAAGGGCCAGCATCTTCCAGTCCTGCCAATGTCCACATCTCTTCCAGGGGCCGTGTTGGGGTTCCTGGGCCCAAAAGCTTCATCAAGATGGGCCTGGAAGGGGCCTGGGAGAGGAGGACATTCGCAAGGCGCGGGAGGCCCGGCCCAGGAGGACGCCACGGCCCCAGGTATCATTGCCCCACCACCACACACACCCAGCAACCCCCCATGCAGGCCGCTGGCCCCCTGGGCGTGGGGACGGGGTGACGGCAGCTTGGTTGCACCCCTGGGACTTGATGCCCACCTTCCTGCCCTCACACGTTCTGTTTCCCAGCTGAGTGATCGCTCTCGAGAACGCAAGGTGCCTGCTTCCCGCATCAGCCGCTTGGCCAACTTTGGGGGTAGGTGTGGCTTTGGGGGTATCTAGCTGTGGCCTGGATCAGGGGAGATGACGTTGAAAGAATGCAGCAGGGAGAGCGGGAAAGGGAAAGAGAGGAAAGCAGAGGCCACACTGGAACGGAGGTGGTGGTGGTGTTTAACGAGCTCCAGTGATGTGCGAGGCCCTGTCCACACGCGACGTGCACTGAATCAAATGCATGTGCCCATTCTGTAGATGAGCAAGTAGAGGCTAAGAGGGGTGAATGACTTCACGGCAGCACAACCCGCCTGACAATTCAGTGGGTTGCAACCTGTGTCTGGAAAGAAGAATAGAAGACACAGGTACACCTGTAGAGCAAAGCAGGTCTTGTTTCATGACTCCTGTAGGCGTGGGTCTGTCCCGGGCACAACGTCAATTCTGTGGTTCATGTCAGAAGGTGCCGATTCACAGTCGACAGAGGCGGCTGAGAAGTCTGCCCAGGTCCACAGGGTGGCTCTGCCGCGTCCTCACGTGACACAAGGCATGTTACTTCTCTGAGCCTCCGTGTTCTTTTTTTTTTTTTGACAGGCAGAGTGGACAGTGAGAGAGAGAGAGAGACAGAGAGAAAGGTCTTCCTTTGCTGTTGGTTCACCCTCCAATGGCCGCCGCGGCCGGCGCACTGCGGCCGGCACACCGCACTGATCCGATGGCAGGAGCCAGGTACTTCTCCTGGTCTCCCATGGGGTGCAGGGCCCAAGCACTTGGGCCATCCTCCACTGCACTCCCTGGCCACAGCAGAGAGCTGGCCTGGAAGAGGAGCAACCGGGACAGAATCCGGCGCCCCAACCGGGACTAGAACCAGGTGTGCCGGCACCGCAAGGCGGAGGATTAGCCTAGTGAGCTGCAGCGCTGGCCTTGTTCTTTTCCGTAGATGTTTTTCTGTAACACGTGCTTCACAAAGGGGTGAGGACAGACGAGTGAAAGGAACAGCACCTGGCAGGTGGGAAACGCCAGCTGCGGTCATTTTCAGAGCACGAGGGAAAGAGGCAAAGAGAACCAAGGGGCCGCAGAGGGAGGAAGCAGAGGCCGTCTGAGCCAGAGAGGTAGCACCGAAAGGAGGGACAGAGAGGAGGGGGGAGATGGGGAGACGGTCGCTGACTTAGAAGAGGAGGTGGGTCAGAGAAGCAGGGACACCGGCGACCAGGCCAGGGCGATCCTCTCGGGCCCTTCCTAACCTGTACACTGCAATACTTAAAATACATACATAAATAAATGGGGCAGGCAGGCCTTGGGCTTGGCGGTCAGTCTCCAGCTGGGACACCCGCGTCCCACGTCGGAGTGCCTGGTCGGAGTCTCGGCTGCACCCTCCACTCTCCACTCTGGCCTCCTGCTGGTGTGCACTTTGGGAAGCAGCAAGTGGGGCCCAAGTGCTTGAGTCCATGCTGCCTGCACGGGGGACCTGCGCTGGGTTTTTGGCTCCTGGCTTTGGACGTTTGCAGGCATCTGGGGAGTGAACCAGTAGATGGGAGAGCTCTGTCTCTCTCTCTCTCTCTCTGCTTTTCAAGTAAATAAAATATATTTTTAAAACACTTATATATTTACTTGAAAGGCAGAGCTATAGAGAGAGAGAGGGAGAGAGAGAATCTTCCATCTGCTGTTTCACTCCAAATGGCTGCAACAACCAGGACTGGGCAAGGCCAAAGCCAGGAGTCTGGAGCTCCATCTGGGTCTCCCATGTGGGTGCAGGAGCCCAAACACTTTGGCCATCTTCCACCACTTTCCTAGACACATTAGCAGGGAGCTGGACTGGAAGTGGAGCAGCTGGGACCTGGAGAGGCACCGTACGGGATGCTGGTGCCGCAGGCAGGGCAGTGACTTAACCTGCTGCACCACCACATCGATCCCTAGGCCTCTTGTTAGGCCAGTTTAATGAGAAGCTCGGGGGGGGGGGGGTAGTGCCTGGGCACCTTAATCACAGGTGTCCAGGACTGAGAAGTGTTAGGAGGGAGACAGAGACACCGAGAGAGGGAGAGAGGGAGAGAGAAAGCGGGAGGAGAGTTAGAGACAGCAGCAGGGAGCTGGCAGGTGAGCGTGCCTAGAGAGACGGGAGCAGAGGGTTGGGAGAGCGCCCGGGAAGCTGGGCTCAGCGCTCCTCTTCTGCTCTCCAGGGTTGGCTGTGAGCTTGGGGCTCGGAGCGCTGGCCGAGGTGGCCAAGAAATCCTTGCCAGGAGGACCTCCGCAGCCAGGTGAGTGAGCAGATCCGCCTGGGTTCAGACCCTGCCCTTGCCCTGCGAGTCCTCGCAGCCGTCTCCTCGCCGGGCAGGCGGATGATGTTATGATGACGTCATCATCGATGATGATGACGATGATACGAGGGTGCTTCAGAAAGTTCATGGAGAATGCATCTGAGCAAAACCTGCATGGATGTGTCTTTTTTTTTTTTTTTTTCGCACCAGAATAAGTGTCTCTTTCATTTTGTTTCGTTTATTTGAAAGGTAGAGTTACAGAGGGAGAGACGGAGAGAGCGATCTTCCATCTGCGGGTTCACTCCCCAGAGGGCTGTGACAATTAGGACTGGGCCAGGCCAAAGCCAGGAGCCTGGAACTCCATCCAGGTCTCCCACGTGGGTTGCAGAGGCCCAGGCACTTGGGTCATCTGCTGCTTTCCCAGGTGCATTAGCAGGAAGGTGGATTGGAAGTGGAGCAACTGGGACTTGAACCAGCGCCCCTATGGGGTATGGGTGTCCCAGGCAGCATTTTAACTCTCTGCGACAGGATGCCTGCCTCTAAACTTATTTTTCAAATTTGATTTTTGCATGCCCTTCTTGAAGGATACCCACCTGTGAGAGTCATCGTGAAGCACTCAGAACAGGGCTAAGCCACTGTCAGGTCAATGAAAGCGTCCCCTGAGAACAGCTGGAGCCGCTGGGAATGCCCTGCGCGAGCTGAAAGCGAGGGCTGCTAGTCAGGGGGTGCGTGGTGTTGTCTCCGCGTCTTGAAACAAAAGCGGGGAGGATGTTCTGGGTTCCAGTGAGGATGACGAGGTGGGCATTCGCGTCCCACGTCGCAGCGCCCGGCTCTGCCTCCTACTCCAGCTGCCTGCGGATGCAGACAGTGGGAGGCAGCTGTGGTGCTGGTGTTTGGGTTCCTGCTGCCCACGTGGGAGAGCCTGATGGCGTCCCCAGCCCCCAGCTTCAGCCTCGGCCTGGCCTGGGGCTGTGGCAGGTGTCTGGACAGTGAACCAGCACATGAGCGTACTCTCTCTGTCTCAGTCTCTCCCTCTCTCGATGTCTCTAAAATAAGGTTTGTTTTTTTTTTTTTGTTTTGTTTTTTTTTTAATGAAGCATTAATTGACAGATACAGTATGTGAACCCTGAATGATGACAGTTTGGAGAATAAATTTAAAAAGTATTTGAGAGGGCCGACGTGGCCTAGCTGGTTAAGTGGCTGCTCGGGATACCTGCATCCCATGTTGGGATAACTGGGTTTCAGTCCTGCCTCCGCTTTTTTTTTTTTTTTTTTTTGACAGGCAGAGTGGACAGTGAGCAAGAGACAGAGAGAAAGGTCTTCCTTTTGCCGTTGGTTCACCCTCCAATGGCCACCGCGGCTGGCACATCGCGCTGATCCGATGGCAGGAGCCAGGTACTTCTCCTGGTCTCCCATGGGGTGCAGCTCCACTGCACTCCCTGGCCACAGCAGAGAGCTGGCCTGGAAGAGGGGCAACCGGGACAGAATCCGGCGCCCTGACCGGGACTAGAACCTGGTGTGCCGGCGCCGCTAGGCGGAGGATTAGCCTAGTGAGCCGTGGCGCCAGCCAGCCTCTGCTTCTGATCCAGGTCCTGCTCCTGTACATCAGGGGGCAGCAGGACCTGGCTCAAGGACCTGGGTCCCTGCCACTCACGTGGGAGACCTGGCTTCAGCCTAGCTCAGCCCTGGCTGTTGTGGGCATTTGGGGAGTGAATCAATAGAGGATCAGTCTCTCTCTCTGCCTTTCAAATAAAATGAAAATAAATAAGCACCTTAACAAAGGCAATGCCTTACTGAGGAGTCAACGGTTTCCGTATAAAACCACGCATATTTGCACATAAGCCGACAGCTGGGTGTGTTTTCCCAGGTGGACACACCTGTGCACGACAGATCTCAGACTGTGTTCCCAGGGTCTCTGCCCGCCCTTCAGACTGACGGATGGATAAGTAAGAGGTGTTCTGTGCGTGCCGCAGCGGATTACTCCACTGGGAAGGAACAGAGCGCTGACTGGTGTGCAGCGTGGGGGGCCCTGACAGCGTCTCGCTGGTGGGAGCGGCTGGCACCCACGCCACACACTGAGTGATGCCCTTCTGTGAGGTGTCCAGAGTCAGGCAGTCTGCAGAGAGAGTAGACCGGGGGTTGCTGGGGGCTTGGGGTGGGCATTGCCTGTGTGGGGGGTGGGCTTTGATTTTCAGGCGAGGAAATGTCCAATGCTCGCTCAGCTCTGTAAATGCACTAGAAACTCCTGAATGTATGCTTTAGGTGGGTGAGTTATATGGCACATGAGCTATCTTTTTTTTTTTTTTTTTTAAGATTTATTCATTTATGTGAAAGAGTTAGAGAGAAAGAAGGAGAGACAGAGAGAGAGAGATCTTTGATCCTCTGGTTCAGTCCCCAAACGGACGCAACGGCTCGAGCTGGGCCAGTCAGGAGCCGGGAGCTCCTTCTGTTTCTGCATTTCGGGTGCGGGCCCCAAGCACTGGGCCGTCTCCCACCGCCCTCCAGGCTGTTACAGGGAGCTGGATTGGAAGTGGCGCAGCCAGGATTTGGATCCACGCCCTTCCGCGATGCCAGCGCTGCAGGCAGCAGTTTTTCCCGCTACGCCACAGTGCCGGCCCCTGTGGATTATCTTTCAAGACAGCTGTTGAACAAAATGAGACTCCCAAAGGCCTTGCATCCTTAGGTTACATTTATTGACGATCAAAACTGAGAAATGTCCAAAACCACGGGACAGGCGCCTTCTGTCAGCCCTCAGGGCAACCGTGGCCTCCCGTGGCCTGGAGCCTCTGGAATATTCTACTCCAGTCCTGGGCCCGAGAGAGGGACCAGAACAGGTGCATCAATAACTCCCATCTCACCCACCGCTGACCTCTCTCAGGCCTCAGTGGCCGGGGACCACACCTTGAGGAGCTCCTCTCACGCCCCCTCCTGGCCACTCCCTTCGCCAGGGGCAGCCACCGACTGTGGCTTCCAGCGCCAGGATTAGCCTCTCTGCTCTCGTTCCATAAATATGACCCAGCAGTGCAGCCGTTCATGCACCAGGCTCTTTAGGTTGTTTTAATTGATAAGTTCTATTTATTTTCATTTAAAAATTAGTTTAATTGTGCATATTTTTGGGGTGCAGTGGAATAATTTTTTTTTAAGTTTATTTATTTGAAAGGCAGAGTTACAGAGAGAGAAAGAGAGAGAGAAAGGTCTTCCATCCACTGATTCACTTCCCAAGTGGCCGCAACAACCAGAGCTGAGCCAATCCGGAGCCAGGAGCCTCTTCTGGGTCTCCCATGAGGGTGCAGGGGCCCAGGCACTTGGGCCATCTTCCACTGCTTTCCCAGGTGCATTAGCAGGGAGCTGGATGGGAAGTGGAGCAGTTGGGACTCGCACCAGTGCTCATAGGGGGATGCTGGCACTGCAGGCAGCAGCTTAACCTGCTGTGCCATAATGCCGGCTCCTGGTGGTTAGCATTTCTGTCTCCCTAAATTTTTTTTTTTAATTTTTGATTAGCACAGTGATTGTCACCTGGCGTCTGTTGCCCAGCCTCGCGCTGTGAGAAGCATGCCTGCTGTGTGCGCCGCGGCAGACGGTTTCTGCAGCGCTGCAGGACTCACCCTGACCCTCTGCCACCACTTTCGTGTTCGTCCTGTCGGTGGCCGCAAGCGCTGTGGACGTCCTTGTCCTCTGTCCGTGGGCTCACTCGTGCGTTTCCCTTGCATTTGGCCCAGGAGGAGCAGTGCACTGAGCAGCGGGGTGTGTGTGCCAAGCTGCTTCCAGAGGGCCTGTGCTCAGGTTCTGCCCACGTTAGTATTGTCTTGTTCATTCAGCTGTTCTGCTGGGTGTGCCGTGCTGTAACAATGATTTTTTTATTTACTTATTTTTACTTTATTTGAAAAGCAGAGAGACAGAGAGGGAGAGGGAGAGAGTTATCTTTCACTTACTGGCTTGCTCCTCAAATAACCAGTAATAGCCAGGGCTGGGCCAGGCCAAAGCCAGGAGCCCAGAATTCCATCTGGGTCATTCACACGGGTGGCAGGGGCCCATGTACTTGCACCATCACCAGCTGCCTTCCAGTGTGCGTCAGTAGCCAGGACTCCAAACAGGTACCCTGATTGGGGTGCAGATGTCCCGAGCAACGACTCAAGCCACTGTGCAGGAGTCTGGCCCGCAGTGATCCCTTCTGGCTGTGGGCCTAATCCTTCCTCTCTCCTCCCCAGAGAGCAGCTCCAGCCCTTTCCTGTCCGAGGCCAACGCCGAGCGCATCGTGCAGACCTTATGCACGGTTCGGGGAGCCGCCCTCAAGGTCGGCCAGATGCTCAGCATCCAGGGTACGGCATGACCCTCGCCCCCGACCCCTGACCTCACTTCCAGCTCACCCTCACCCCAGCAGGGGCCTGTCCTCCCCTCCCCCTCACTGTCGCCTTCGTCCCGCTGTCCCCCACAAGACAACAGCCTCATCAGCCCCCAGCTGCAGCGCATCTTTGAGCGGGTCCGCCAGAGCGCCGACTTCATGCCCCGATGGCAGATGCTGGTGAGCACCTCGGGGCGGGGGGAGGGAGGGCGGCGCCGTCCCCCACTCCCACGCCCGCGCTGTCGGGGGAGCAAGGCACTGCAGCTGGCAACCGTGCTCCATGGGGTCGGGCCCTGAGATTGCACACATGTGCCTTGACCTCTGTGTGCCTGTTGCCCTCTGTGGGAAATGGCGATGGTGATGGCCACGCCCACGTCACGGGGTTACACATGGAGCAGCCTCTGCCCACCGTGAGTGACAGGGAAGCCTCATTGTGAGGTTGGCACAGTGTCTGGCATGGGGTGAGCTGTTCCTCTGACTGGGCAAGAGTGAGAGACCTGGAACCCAGCCGGCGCCTGCCTTCCCGGCTCTGCCCTGCTCACTTGCTCTGTGACCCAGAGCCGCTTGGAACTTGGCCCAGTCCCTAGGATGCCCCCCTAAACTTGAGCTCCTCTGGGTCACCCTAACTTTGAGTTGATGATAGAGCTGAGGGGTGTGACACAGGATTGTTACCAAGCTCAGCCAATAAATGACAGCGGTCCCCACAGCAGCCCCCCCCGTCCAGGGAGTGCCAGCTCTGGAGGGGGGAACCCCTCGGGGTAGTCACCTCGGACAAGGGGGCTCCGTCTGAGCCTCACTGTCCGCATCTGGAAAGAGAGACAGCAGCTCATCCCAGCGCCCAGCGCACGGTGAGTGCTGGCGTCACTCACAGGTCAAGCGCTCGGCACAGGGAGTGACCGTGGCCTGCTCTGTCCAGGGTGGTGATTGTCATGACCATTCTCCCCAGAGAGTTCTGGAAGAGGAGCTCGGCAGGGACTGGCAAGCCAAGGTGGCCTCCTTGGAGGAGGTGCCCTTCGCCGCGGCCTCCATCGGGCAGGTGCACCAGGGCGTGCTGAGGGACGGGACGGAGGTGGCTGTGAAGATCCAGGTGAGAGGGGAGGCCACGCAGGCAGGGGCTGGCGCCCTGCTGGGCAGAGGAGTGACTCCCCCCTGCGCTCCCTTCACTCGCAGTACCCAGGCGTTGCCCAGAGCATCCAGAGTGACGTCCAGAACCTACTGGCCGTGCTTAAGATGAGCGTGGCCCTGCCGGAGGGTGAGCAGCCACACCGCCCCTGCCTGGCAGGGGCGCCCCAAGAGAGAAGGGGTGCACAGGAGGAGCGTGGGGCAGAGCGTGCCCGTGTGCACGTGCGGGCATCGGCACGGGTCAGCCAGAGGGAGGACAGCGAGGCAGGGAGCCCCGAGAGCATGAGCCCGTGAGGCAGAGCCCCAGAGGTGGGCCCGGACCACCCCGCAAACAGCTGCGCACAGGTGTGCCGTGGGGGGTGGGGGTGGAGGGCTCCAGGCCACGGGGCACCACGGGGCGGAGGCAGAGCCCGTGGGAAAGCCACCACAGCAGTGCAGCAGGCTGTGTTCCTGGGTGGGAAAAAGGGAGTCAGGAAGGGGGAGAGAGACCAGGAGGCCAAGCCCCGCGAGAGAAGCAGTAGGCAAAGGAGAAGAAGGTGTGTGTTTAGCCTCGCGGTTGAGATGCCCGCGTCCCACGTCCCAGCGTGGGATGGGATTCCTGCTCCGACCCCTGACACCAGCTCCTGCTGGTGTAGGCGCTGGGAGGCAGCAGTCTGGCTCGGGTGGTTGGGTTTCTGCTACTCCCGTGGGCGACCTGGACTGGGCTCCTGGGCCCCGGCTTCAGCCTGAGCCATTGTCAGCGTTTGGGCAGCGGAGGGTGCCTCTCTCTTTTGTGTCTGTCTCTCAAATAAATAAATAATAAAATCTTGAAAAAGAGAGACAGCGGCCATGTGAGTGAGGAGGAGCTGCCCCGGGGACCTCAGAAGAGGAGGGACAGAGAGATGACTGTGGGGAGGCCTCGGTGAGTGGCACCCTGAGGCTGGGGGGAGGCGTGGCCGGGCCCCCTGGCTGACGAAGCTGTCCCCTCAGGCCTGTTCCCCGAGCAGAGCCTGCAGGCGCTGCAGCAGGAGCTGGCTTGGGAGTGTGACTACCGCCGCGAGGCAGCCTGTGCCCAGAACTTCAGGTAAGCGAGCGGGAAGCAGGTGCCCCCCGGCCTCTGGTGGCTGGAGCCCCGGCGCAGGGCCGCAAACCTTCCCCCCGTCCACACTCCACTGGCGATTGCCCTCCCGCCTTATGTCCTTGTGCGCTCGGGCCGGGCCGGCCACTCCTGGGTCACTGGGACGATGCCCACTGTGGTCAGTCGCTGTGAGACTCCGTTGCACCTGCTGCACTGTGACAGCATCAAGGTTCGGAGAGGACGGGGCTCCAGAACATTCCTTTTACCCTGGGGGCTAGGGAGATTGGGCCAAGCGTTTGGAGAACAGTTAACCGTCTCCGAGTAAGCCTTATATCACATCCCCACAACCCAACCATTGCCCTTCGCGCTAACCACACAGTGGGACACCATGAGGCTCTTCTGGCATGCTCAGAGCAGCATTGTTTGTAGAGCCCTGAACTGGAAACCAGCCAGATCTTACCACGCCTTTTCAGCAGGGTGGATAAATAATGACAGTGTGTCCATCTGGGGAATACCACACAGCAGTGAAAAGGAATGAACCACGGCTGCGTGGAATGGTGTGGCCGAATCCCGGAAGCGTCACGAGGCGCCACGGTCAATGCTCCATACTGAGCAGTGTGGCCCACACGCCCACCAGGGATCTGCAGTGTGCCCAGCGCTGGGGCAGCAGTTCAGGTTTGCACTCTGGACTCAGACTGAAGCTGTGCAGCCCGGGTCTGTGGTGGCCTTAGCAGTCAGAGGCCGGCAGGAAATGGTGCCGACTGAACGCTTAGCACAGGGCCTGGCTCACAGGACTGGTGCAGACGTCACATTTTAGGAACAAGGACAGAAATACCAGCTCTGGAGCTCGGAGGAGGCGGGTGTCGAGCGGGGTGAGAGGCCTGAATGTTCCCGGGACTCTATTCGGCTCAATGTGCCACACCACCGCGCCTACTCAAATTTCTCGCCTCCCAAATCTCACCTTGACATGCGTCTGTCAGTCTTGGTCTGTTTGCAAGTGGTCTCTTGGCAGGGGGCAGGCCCTGGGGACAGCTCTGTCCCTGTCATCTCTGAACGCTGGGACAATGTTGAGAGTACGGTAGTGCCACCTCGTGCTCGGGGGCCGTGTCCCAGGGCACCGAGCCCTCTCTCCCGTTCTTGCCTACCTCCCGATGACCAGGTTTGCTTTATAAATTAGGCGCAGTGCTTTCTGCTACGGCACGTTGCCATCAGTTGGAACATGTTTCCTGCTCACAAACGTGGTGCCTTTTCCATCTTCACTAAGCACTTCTCACTCACTGTACGCTTTGCAGCTGGAGGTGTGACGGCGGAACCAGCAGGTTTCTTTTTCCTATTCACAGTTCGTGCATGGAAGAGTCATTCTTACTCTAGATCTTAGCAACCTCAGCTTATGATTTGCTTCTTTCCGTACTGAGTACTTTAACCTTTTCACTTCAAGGAAGCACTTTACAGCCTTTAAAAAAAAAAAAAAGATTTATTTATTTGTTTGAATGATAGAATGACAGAGGGAGGAAAGGAGAGGGAGAAGAAGAGCATCCATTCCCTGGTTCACTTCCCAAGTGGTTGCAATGGCTGGGGCTGGGCCAGGCCAAAGCCACGTGGGTGGCAGGAGCCCAGGCACTTGGATCATCTTCCCCTACTTTCTCAGGTGCATTATCAGGGAGCTGGACTGGAAATGGAGTGGTCGGGGCTCACACTGGTGCTTGTTTGGCATGCTGGTGTTGCAGGCAGAGGCCTAGCCCACTGCACCACAATCTGGCTCCACTTGGCGGCTTTTCTTTGCCATGTCTGAATTGTCAGCATCACTGCTGTTAGGGTGTGGGGCCGTTATTCTTATTTTAAGATTCACTTATTTGTTTGAGCCGGCGCCACAGCTCACTAGGCTAATCCTCCGCCTTGCGGCGCCGGCACACCGGGTTCTAGTCCTGGTTGGGGCGCAGGATTCTGTCCCAGTTGCCCCTCTTCCAGGCCAGCTCTCTGCTGTGGCCAGGGAGTACGGTGGAGGATGGCCCAAGTGCTTGGGCCCTGCACCCGTATGGGAGACCAGGAGAAGTACCTGGCTCCTACCTTCGGATCAGCGCGGTGCGCCGGCCGCGGCAGCCATTGGAGGGTGAACCAACGGCAAAAGGAAGACCTTTCTCTCTGTCTCTCTCTCACTGTCCACTCTGCCTGTCAAAAAAAAAAAAAAAAAAAAAAAAAAAAAAAAAAAAGATTCATTTATTTGTTTGAAAGGCAAAGTTACAGAGAGGCAGAGGCAGAGAGAGACTGAGAGAGGTCTTCCATCCGCTGGTTCACCCCCCCCAAATGGCTGGAGCTGGGCCAATCTGAAACTGGGTCAATCTGAAACCGGGTCTCCCACATGGGTGTTGGGCCATCTTCTACTGCTTTCCCAGGCCATAGCAGAGAGCTGGATCAGAAGTGGAGCAGCTGGGACTTGAACCGGCACCCATATGGGATGCCGGCTCTGCAGGTGGCGGTTTTACCCCCCGGCCCCCGTGCCACAGCGCCAGCCCCTGGAGCCATTATTAAAAGGGTTTCTTGAGCACTACAGTGTTGCAGTAGTCGTTGTGATGGCTGAGATGGTACTAGGTATTTAACAGGCACATAGTGTAGACAACACGGATACGCTGCACGGAGGGCAACTCAGGTCTCGCAGGACAGAGCCGGACTGTGTGAGCTTTCATTCCACTACTCAGAATGGCATGCAATTTAAAGCTTACAAATGCTTTCTTTTTAAAAAAAAAAAAAAAAAGATTTATTTATTTATTTGAAAATCAGAGTTACACAGAGAGGAGAGGCAGGGAGAGAGAGAGAGAGGGAGAGAGAGAGAGAGAGAGGTCTTCTATCCGATGGTTCACCCCCCCCAGATGGCCACAACAGCTGGAGTTGCGCTGATCCGAAGCCAGGAGCTTCCTCCCAGTCTCCCACGTGGGTGCAGGGGCCCAAAGACTTGGGCCATCCTCCACTGCTATCCTGGGCCACAGCAGAGAGCTGGACAGGAAGTGGAGCAGCCGGGTCTTGAACCGGCACCCATATGGGATGCCGTTGCCTCAGGCCAGGGCGTTAACCCGCTGCCCCACAGTGCCGGCCCCAAAACTTACAAATTCTTTATGGAATTTTCCATTTAATATTTTTGGAACATGGTTGACCCCAGGTAACTGAACCCAAGGAACATGAAACTGGAGATACGGGCCTACTGTGGGGACTCCAAGGATGACCAACGAGTATCACTGTTGACATAGATTTTTTTTATCATTGACGATGTGGAGAATTAATTCATTAACTGATTTTTTTTAAAGCCACGTACAGGGGCTGGCACTGTGGCATAGAAGGTAAAGCCTCCACCTGTAGTGCCAGCATCCCATATGGGCACCAGCTTGAGTCCTGGCTGCTTCTCTTCTGATCCAGCTCCTTGCTAATGTGCCTGAGAAAGCAGCAGAAGATGGCACAAGTGCTTGGGCCCCTACACCCCTGTGGGAGACCCAGAAGAAGCTCCTCGCCCCTGGCTTTGGCCTGGCACAGCCCTAGCCGTTGTGGCCATTTGGGTCCTTCCTTCCCTTCCCCCACCCCCCCCTCTCTGTATCCCTGCCTTTCAAATAAATAAATAATTTTTTTTTTTTAAAGGGGCTGGCGTTGTGGTGTAGATTAAGCTTCCACCTGCAGTGCCAGCGTCCCATATGCGCACTGGTTCGTGTCCTGGCTGCTCCATTTCCATTCCAGCTCCCTGCTAGTGCACTGGGAAAGCAGCAGCAGATGACGCGAGTACTTGGGCCCCTGTACCAATGTGGGAGACCCGAATGAAGCTCCTGGCTTTGGCCTGGCACAGCCCTGGCAATTGTAGCCATTTGTGGAGTGAACCAGTGGATGGAAGATCTCTCTTGCTCTCTGTAACTCTGCCTTTCAAATAAATGAATACATTTTTTAAAGTAATGGACAAGCTAAATATAGGGCAGGCATTTGGCACAGTGGTTAAGCCACTGTGTGGGACCCCTGTATCCCTTGTCAGTGCCTGGGTTCGCATCCTGGCTTTGCTTTCAATTCCACCTCCCTGCTAATGGGCACCCTGGGGCCAGCGGGTGATGGCTCAAGTACCTGGGTCCTGCTACCCACGTGGGAGGCCCGGATTGAATTCTGGGCTCCTGGCTTCATCCGGGCCCAACTCTGAATGTTGGCAGGCGTGTAGGGATGACCAAGCAGATGAAGATCTCCCTCTGTTTTTGAATAAAAACAAATTTTTTAAAAAAGTAAGGCGCAAGCTAAATACATGGAGCTCATCCTGGAGCAACAAGGGTCCCAGGGGGGTTTCAGGTCGGGAGGAAGTCTCCGAGTCCACAGCGCCAGGTGGAGGGATGGGCACGGGGATACCCGTCGACGTTGGTCCAGCCACCCAGGCCACGTGGAGGCGGAGAGGGGCAGGAGCGCAGGGAGACGGACTTCCTGGAGGGCTTCTCCGAGGAGGAGGAGGCAGCTTGGAGCCAGACCCAGGGGCCTGAAGCACAGAGTCCTAGTTCCTCTTCTCCCTCCTGCCCCAGGCAGCTGTTGGCAGGTGACCCCTTCTTCCGTGTGCCGGCCGTGGTTGAGGAGCTGTGCACGGCGCGGGTGCTGGGCATGGAGCTGGCCAGCGGGGTGCCGTTGGACCAGTGCCAAGGCCTGAGCCAGGATACCCGGAACCAGGTGCCTTGGCGGGAACGCGGGGCCGGCGGGGCGGGCCAGGTGGGGCCCTCGGGGCAGAGTGCCCAGGGCATCTCTGACTCCTTCTCCCTCGCCAGATTTGCTTCCAGCTCCTGAGGCTGTGTCTGCGGGAGCTGTTCGAGTTCCGATTCATGCAGACAGACCCCAACTGGGCCAACTTCCTGTATGACGCCGCCAGCCACCAGGTTGGTTCCTTGCGATGTGAGTCACAGGCATGACCTGCTGCACCGAGTGTCCCTGATATTTCAGCAGCGACTCCAGAGTTGCTGGTTACCCAGTGGGGCCCTCCGTGCAGTGACTCGGGGACCCAGGCACCCTCCTGTGGCGACTGTGCCGTCCCCTCGGGCCTCGCAGAGCTCTGCTTCCAGTGCAAGGGGAAAGAGGCTGCTTTGATCAGAGGGGGCGCGTCACTTCCTCCACTGCTCCCTCCGAGAGAACTTGTCACGGCCTGTCTGGGTGCAAGGCAGCCTGGGAAATGGCGCTCCCTGGCCAGGCCGTGTGACAGGATGGAGAGAGAGCACACTTCGGGGAGGCGGTTAGCCATCAGTGCACGCTGGCCATCTGTTCAGAGGACCCCGCCGCCTGCCTCTGACAGCTCTGATTCTTGCTTTCTCAGCCCCAGGTCCCAAGGGGGACCTGTCACCAGACAACAGTGGCCTGGGGCAGTCAGCACGGGGGTGAGGAGGCACAGGCAGAGGGCTGGGTCTGGGGAGGAGGAAGCCCAGGGACTGGGGCTCCAGGAAATGGGCCTGACCCAGCCTGGGGTGGGTGGGCATCAAGGAAGGCTTCTTGAAGGAAGAGGAGGAGAGGGCCAGCGGGGCGGCAGGGCCAAGCCCGGGTGGGGGCACAGGTGTGCCAGTCCTGGAGGGGAGTTGGGACCCACACACTTCCCCTGTGTGGACACATCTCTACCCTTCTCTGGCTCTGCAAAGTGGTCTGTCACCACAGGGGTCTTTTTCTAACACAACGCGGGCCAGGGCAGCCCTTCCCCCGCCCCTGGCATCCTCAGGATCAGGCGGGAGCCCTGACCCCCCGAGGCCGCCAGCCTCCAGTGCCCCCACTGCCCCAGCAATGGGTACATAGGCCCTCCAGGCAGGTGCCCAGAGTAGGGTTTTTACAAGGTCCCAGCTGCATTTGTTTTGTAATGGAAAACAAGAGGACGTATCAGTGTGTCACAGATGGTCCCACACTAGCTGGGGACGCTCTGGTTAAGTGTTTATATTGGCCGGTGCCGCGGCTCACTAGGCTAATCCTCCGCCTTGCGGTGCTGGCACACCGGGTTCTAGTCCCGGTCGGGGCACTGGATTCTGTCCCGGTTGCCCCTCTTCCAGGCCAGCTCTCTGCTGTGGCCAGGGAGTGCAGTGGAGGATGGCCCAAGTGCTTGGGCCCTGCACCCCATGGGAGACCAGGAGAAGCACCTGGCTCCTGCCTTCGGATCAGCACGGTGCGCCGGACGCAGCGCACCAGCCATGGCGGCCATTGGAGGGTGAACCAATGGCAAAGGAAGACCTTTCTGTCTCTCTCTCTCACTATCCACTCTGCCTGTCAAAAAAAAAAAAAAAGTGTTTATATTTATCTGTGCCTGTGCACAGCTCCCGGTCCAACTGGACTTTTCAGTTTGGTTGTGGCCAGTTCTTTGAACTGCATTTCCCTGGAGAAACTTACACAAGCATTCCCTGAGCACAAAAGCCAGAACTGGTGCCTGTCAGCCAGATGAACGCCTCGTGCTGTGTCCTCTCCTGATGGCCCCTACAGCCAGAGCGAGTGGCACACACGCTGCAGAGTAGCTGTCGGGCAGACCGGCAGAGGAAGGTCGTGGTTTTTTTTTTTAATGATTTATTTTTATTTGTTTGAAAGGCAGTGTTATAGAGAGAAAGGGAGGTGGAGACAGATCTTCCATCTGCTAGTTCACTCCCTAAATGGCCACAGCAGCCAGGGCTGGCCAGGCTGAAGCCAGGAGCCTGGAGCTCCATCGGGTCTCCCACGTGGATGACAGGGACCCAAGTACTTGGCCATCCTCTGCTGCTTTCCCAGGCGCATTAGCAAGAATCTGGATCTACAGCCGGGACTCAAACTGCTCGTGGGATGTCTGTCCAGGTGGCAGCTTAACCCACTGCAGCGCAACGCGGGCCCTCGTTAGCTGTATTGTTTATGGGCGTGGGAATGCGTTCATGGGCATTTCTGGAAAGAACAGTCTTGGCAAGTGATGGCCGCAGTGGGAAGGCTCCCGGTCCCCAGGGCAGGGACGTGAGATCTGGTGGGGTACACAGGAGGTGCCCCCTGAATTTAATAGTTTATATTTTAAGGCTGGCGCCGCGGCTCACTTGGCTAATCCTCCGCCTGCAGCATCGGCACTCCAGGTTCTAGTCCCAGTTGGGGCACCTGTTCTGTCCCGGTTGCTCCTCTTCCAGTCCAGCTCTCTGCTGTAGCCGGGGAAGGCAGTGGAGGATGGCCCAAGTGCTTGGGCCCTGCACCTGTATGGGAGACCAGGAGGAAGCACCTGGCTCCTGGCTTCAGATCGGCACAGCGCACCGGCTGTAGTGGCCATTTGGGGGGTGAACCAACGGAAGAAAGACCTTTCATTCTGTCTCTCTCTCACTGTCTAACTCTGCCTATAAAATAAAATAGTTTATATTTTAAGCTGAGAGGTGGGATTGGTAGGTGTTCATTTTACTTTTCCATACATTTTATTCTCCGGATTTTTTTTTCTGTGTCTAAATTGTATTATAAAACCAAATGGGGGGCAGCGCTGTGGCACAGCGGGTTAAAGCGTTGGCCTGCAGCGCTGGCATCCCATATGGGCGCCAGTTCAAGTCCCAGCTGCTCCACTTCCCATCCAGCTCTCTGCTGTGGCCTGGGATAGCAGTGGGGGATGGCCCAAGTGCTTGGGCTCCTGCACCCACGTGGGAGACCAGGAGGAAGCTCCAGGCTCCTGGCTTTAAATCAGCTCAGCTTTAGCCATTGTGATCATTTGGGGAGTGAACCAGTGGATGGAAGACCTCTCTCTCTCTCTCTCTCTCTCTCTCTCTCTCTCTCTCTGGCTCTACCTATCTCTGTAACTCTTTCAAATAAATAAAAATCTTAAAAAAAATAAAAATTCTAAAAAAGCCAAATGGGGTAGAAATCTAGTGTTAAGACGCCCATAGCCCATGTCAGAGTGCCTGGGTTCGAGTCTCAGCTTTGGCTCCTGATGCCAGCATCCTTCTAATACAGGTAATGGCTCAGACACTGGGTCCCTGCCACCCACCTCGGAGACCTGGGCTGGGTTCCAGCTCCTGGCTTCAGCCCTGGCCGCTGGAACCAGAAGATGGGAGCGCATGCGTGCGCGTGCTCTCTCTCGCGCGCTCTCTCTCTCTCTCTCATAAATATAAAACAAAAGCAAATAAGATACAAAGACTGAAAGCTGGAGCCGTTCAGCTATCTCCTGGGGTAGAGAGGGACCTGGGGAGGCAGCCGGGCTGGGACCCTGGGGAGGGGCACGGGGGGGCCATGGCGGGTGTTGAGAGGCTCCCAGCCGTCCTGTCACCGCTCCTCGTCCCCAGGTGACCCTGCTGGACTTCGGTGCGAGCCGGGGATTTGGGACCGAGTTCACAGACCATTACATCGAGGTGAGTGCCCTGAGCCTGGGGCCAAGCCAGGTGGTGAGGCAGAGGGGTAAGACAGCATCTGGACTTAGGAAGCCGTAAATCACAGTAACGTGGACAGCAGCTGGCAAATCCCAAGCACCGCTGGGCCAGGCATCGTAAGGGGCTCAGTCACTGACTTAAACCATTTGGCATGGCTATGGGGAAGGGCCGTTTTTATAGTCCCGTTTCACAAAGTGAGACTTGGAGAGGGTAAACCACTTGCCCAAGGCCACAGCAGACCCAGGAGTCACACTCGGGTCATCCGGGTCCACAGCCCGTGCCCCACCTCTGCCTTAGTCCCTCCTAAGAGCCACCACTTAGCAATCGATCCAGCCATTCTCCAATGCCTCCTCTGTGCCCAGCCCTCTTCTGGGTGACACTGGGACGAACCAGGTCCCTTCTTCTCAGGGCTCATAGGACCCAGGGGTCAGGGCTTGGCTGTAGGGGAAGCAGAGGAGGCCGTGGGAGCCCAGGGAAGCCTTCCTGTAGGAGGAGCCATATTGAGACCTGAAGAAGGAGCAGTCAGGCGGGGTATTCCAGAGAGAGGATACCCGGCGAGTCCCCTGGAGCAGGGCCTCTCAGACGTTACTGTGCACCTGAACTCCTGGCTGTCCTGGCTACAATGCCGATGCACCCCCAGCAGGCTCCGGGGTAACTGCCCTGGAGGAACGAGGAAATGCGTGCCCTGGCTCGAGGGCAGGTGCGGGCAGAGGCGCCCCAGCCTGGGTGCTGGGACATGGCGGTCACGGTCACGCCGTGCAGCCTGTGCCCCATCTGGGGATTTGAGCAACGGAGGGACTTGCTCAGAATTAGAAAGCCACCTCTGACAGCAGGGGTCTCTGAGATGGAGCGGGGGAGGGGGGACAGGGCCCAGTGGGCAGTGCCCCTGTGGGACCACCCAGAGATGGGCTAGGGAGCAGTTGCTGACAAAGCCCTCCGCAGACCCAAGGCCTGGGGCCCTCTCCACTGGTCCTTGTGCTACCTGGCCAAGGCCTCTGGGTGGCTGGGATACCCCACTTCCCACCCCCCAGGTCTGCTTAGCAAGACCCTCCCCGCCTTTTCCAGTTTAAAAAAGCCGTGTGACACTGCCCCTGAGGACCTCAGGCCTGACAGATGGCCAGACAGGCCTAGGCAGGGGGAGCCGAGACGGAACAGAGCTGCCAGATTGATCCTGTCCCAGCGCTGTGCCTAAGGGCTGGGCCCGAGCTCACGCCCCCTTCTCTGAGCCCGTTCCCTCCCCTGCAAAGCAGGCACCCTCAACCTACCCCGTAATGAGCACAGCAGCTCCCGGTGCTCACCACGCTCCTACGTGCGGGTGCAGGGCTGTGCACTCCACAGTGTCCCCACCTCAGGAGAACGCAGAGGCCCCAGACACACCGCGGCCCACCCAGGGCCTCAGGCAGCAGAGTGGGGATCTGGGGGATGGGGCCCTAACAGGCCGGCTCCAGCACCTGTCTGTGCCCGTGACTCCAGCCTTCCCAGCGTGGGCTGCAGGCCAGAGGGATGCTTAGCCTCGCACACTGATTTGCTAAGCCAGGGTTCACCCAGGGCAGCCTGAGTGCCAGACCCTGTGCCAAACAGAACTAAACCCAGCTGGGAAGCCAGCACTCACGGGGCTCAAAGTCCAGTGCAGGAGACCTAGAGCTGGGCGGAGCTGCATCCTTGTCCATCTGCGTCTTGAGCAGCCTCGACACGTCTGGCCCTCTGAGGTAGCATCCAGGCAGCTAGCTATTCCCAGGAGGTGTGCACAGCCCCTGGCCACCTCCAGCCCCAGGCTCTGCATCAGCCTTGAGGGAGACACAGGTGGGGCAGAGCGGGGAGGAGGCTTCGAGGTGAGTGGGAGGGCCCAGGCAGATGAGACTGGAGGTGGGTGGGGTTGGGCCAGCACCCTGCTGAGCCTGCTGGCCCCTTGTCCCTCTGCCCCAACCCCATCTCCCAGGTGGTGAGGGCTGCAGCTGATGGAGACAGAGACCGCGTCCTGCAGAAGTCGCGGGATCTCCGATTCCTCACAGGCTTTGAAACCAAGGTCGGCGCAGGGGGCTGGGGTGTGTGTCTCGGGGGTGGTGTGGGGGTGGAGAGATGCTGGTTTCCACCGAGACTGGAGGAGTGAGTGCAGCTGCCTCCTGGGGGCCCCGGAGAAACTCTGGGGGGGGCTCTGGGGAGGAGGGGGGTGCAAGCTGACTATTGGGGATCCCTGGGGAAATGGGTACCACTCACCGCTATAGAGGACGGGGGCCTGCTGCTTGCCTGTAGGGGGAAGTGAGGGGCTGTTTATGTGGGGCCCTGGCAGCAGGCAACCTGCTGGGCTTAGACCTGGGGGTTCAGCGGAGGACTCCGTGTCCACCTGGGGGCATCTGCTGTTCCCACCCTAGGCCTTCTCAGATGCCCACGTGGAGGCAGTGATGATCCTGGGGGAGCCGTTCGCCGCCCAGGGCCCTTACGACTTTGGGGCGGGGGCCACTGCCCACCGCATACAGGGCCTCATCCCTGTGCTGCTGCGGCACCGGCTGCGCCCGCCGCCTGAAGAGACCTACGCCCTGCACCGCAAGCTGGCCGGGGCCTTCCTGGCCTGCGCCCGCCTCCGCGCCCACATCGCCTGCCGGGACCTCTTCCAGGACACCTACCACCACTACTGGGCCCGCCGCCAGGCACAGCCGCTGCCGCCAGCCTCCTGACCAGGAGGGACCTCCCTCAGGCACCAGCCCCCCCCCCGCCCCCTCCCTGGCAGCCCACCCGCTGCTGCTTGGTGCCTCCCAAGCCTTCCCACTCTGCTCGGGGCCTGGGGAGGCCCCCGGCTCCCAGTCTGGCCGTGTTCCTCTCCATGGGCCAGCAGCTAAGGAGGTCCCACCTCAGAGCTCCTGCGCACTCCACTGGGCGTCCAGGGACAGCTGAGCCAGGATGGACCACCTGCAGGAGCCCCCCTGGCGTGCGTCACGGAGATCCAGACTCCTCCAGAGGGGCAGCCCCTCACCTCTGCTCGGGCGCCCACGGTCCCTTGGCGATGGAGAGATGATGGTTGGCGGAGGCAGCCCTCACCTGTGCCTCCCGCCCTCCTCCTCCTCCACCAGCTGCCGTCTCCCCGGTTCCAGCCTCCGTAGTGGAGGAGTGTGTACCGCGGGGGCACTGAACCTCCCATCTGAATAAAAGCAGCCTGCCCCTTCCCCAGCTTTTTTCTCCGCGTGGAGGGGGAGGCGCGCACGAGGCCTGCAGGTGCAGATGGCGAGCCCCCCACCCCCCAGCCCCCTCGTCTGAAAGCCCCAGCCTTGCCTGGGCCCTTTTGTTCCGGGAACCTTCCCCCCCCCCCCCCCCCCCGTGCTGACCACCTGCTCGGAAGGGCTGTGGCCGCCGAGCAGGACTCCCCACACACACCGCCCTCGGCCTCCGGGCTTCAGGCTCCCTCCCCTCATCCCAGCAACCCTGCCTTGGCCAGTGGGCCCTACCGCCCCTGCCAGCTGCTCGGCCAGACCCTCAGGACCGGGACAGGGTGGAGGGCGGGCGCGCAGTGCAGCCAGAACCGCGCGCCCGAGCCCCCGCCGGTGCCGCCCCCACCCCTCCTGGGCCACGCGGGCCGAGCCTCAGGACGCCGGGGTCTGCTCATTCCCCTCCCCTCCCCTTCCCTGCAAAAAGTGCCTCGTCACCGCTTCCGCCCGCCCCCGCCGGGCCGGGAGATCTGGGGACGTGGGGCGGCGGGGCGCTTCCCGAATACGTTTGGGACGCGGAACTGGAGGGGGCCTGAGGTCAGGGGGTCCCCGAAGGCGAGGGAATCCGAGCCGGGCGAGGCCCGGGGTAAAGCCTTGGCGAACCTCCTGTGCGTGCCCGGCCAGTGGGCGTGGCGGGGCGGTGGCCGCTAGGCGGGGGCGGGGTCACACGCGTGTGGGCGGGGCCCGCGGCGGGCGGGGCTTCTCGCAGATACAGCAGGCGGCGGGCCAATGGGCGGGGCCGGGGCGGGGAGCAGAGGCGGGAGGGACGCTCCCCAGCCCCCGGAACGGAATCCTCCCAGGAGCGGAGCTGGCTCGCGCGCGTGCATCCCGCACCATCCCCCGGCCCCGGGCCGGGCCCGCGTCAGACTGAGCTGCCGCCGCCGCCGCCACAGCAGCAGCCCTCGGGTGGCCGGGCCCAGCCGGGGCCGCGGGAGGCGGGGGCGCCCAGGCCCTGGATGTCCCGCAGCGCGGCGGCCAGCGTGAGCGGGGCGGGAGAGGGGGGCTCGGGTCGGGGGCGGCGCCGCTGCTGATGTGGCGGAGGGTGGGAGGCGGCGGCGGCGCCCGGATGGAGCGAGGGTGCCAAGGCTGGAAAAGGTAGTACTGGGTGGGGGTCCAGGCGCCAAAGCCTGGGAGGTGGGTTTCTGGGGCTCAGGCCGTCTCTTGCCAAGGCCCTGAAAATGGGGATCCGGACGCAGACACCCCCCGCCACCACCGCCAGATCAAGGACAGGGGAGCAGAGAGATTCTAGGTTCAACTCCCGAGGCGAGGTTTTGCGGATGGGGTCTGGGACACATCCCCCATATCCAGCCAAGGCCTCCCGGGGGCCATTCCAAGCACCATCCTTACCCCTCCCTGCTTGCGGGGTGGGGGTGGGGGGTTCAGAGCACGACAGCCCCAGGCCAGATCTTGAGGTTGGGGTCTTTGGGTACAGGTGTCCTCCCCTTCCTCACCGAGCCAGGGCCTGGGGCGATTCCCAGCACTGTCTGTCCCCAGGCCTCAGAGACGTCTGGGGAACAGCATCCCCCACAATCCCTGGGCGGAGTCCCGGGCACGGCCCCTTCTCAAAACAAAGTCCCTGTGCCTGGGACTCCAACCCTTTGCACCCCAGCCTGAGTAAGATATAGGGAGTTCCAGGCAACCCCCAATCCACCCCTCCCCCCACTTGGCCAAGGGTCCCAGGGCACTGGTCTCTAGGCCACCCCCTTTGTCCGTGGGGCTGCCCAGCTGTCCGAGAGAAGCCCCACCCGCAGACAAGGCATCGCCTCCCCCTCCCAGCCCTGGCCCCCCAGGCTCCAGAATTCAGGCTGGGCTGGGGGCGGCTCCCCAGGGGCCCGGTGCTGCCCTGTCTGTCTGCAGCCTCAGCGGTAACGGCGGCTTTGTGTGTGGTACCTGGGGGGAAGGGGGAAGCAAGCGATGATGGGGAGGTGGCTGGGACCGTGACCCCATGTTTGTGTGGCCGGGGCTGTGTGTGTGCTTGTGCTGCAGCTGGTGGCTGAGGGGTTGTGTGCGTGTGTGTGCGTGCGTGTGTAGCCCCAGAATTTGTGTGACAGTGTGTGTATATGTGTGAGATAGCAGCCCCTGCGCATGTCTCTGTACTTCTGTCTGTGTTTGGGTGTGTGCCTGGTTGTGACTGGGGTTGTGTCTGTGATGTCTTTTGTGACCCTGCGCTTGTGTGCCTTGGTGACCAACCGTGGCCGGGCATGGGACGGTGAGTGCGTGGAGTGTGTGTGTGAGCAGTGTGGTGTCCACCCGCCTCTCCCGATGGCCGAGGTTTATGGTTGTGTCTCTGATGTTGTCTGCCTGTGTGGCACACAGCTGTGTGCAACCCTGGATGTGGGGCTTCCCCCGTATCTGGAGGCAACACTAAGCCTCTGGGATTGTGCGGTGGCGCCGTGTGTGAGAGTGCTGGTTCCTTGCTCTGTGTGTGTGTGTGTGTGTGTGTGTGTGGTATCGAGTGGTTGTGTGTATCTGCAGTCTTTCTTCTGTGACTCGGGTTATGTATTTGACTTAGTTCTGAAACATGAGCTATTAAGAGAGGCTATTTAATGGGGTGGGACTCCAGCTATGGATGTGTCTAAGTGTGTGCGTGTGCAGCTCCTGTGTGCAAGTTGTTTGTCTGTGACCCCTGTGTGCTCGCCTGTGAGAGTGTGGATGCACCCGGCTCCTGGTGTTTGAACCTGGGTGACATGCTGCTGAGGTGACTGGTCCCCGCCTGCCTCCATGGCTGCCACTCAGGCCGGATAAACCCAGCCGTCAGTGCTACCTTGGTCGGGCTCCCTGCCTTTCTGTGCACGTGTGGTGGAGGATATTGAAACTATGTGCTAATTAATGTCTCTGCTTGTGAAATTGAAGGCAGGCAGGTGGGCGGTGACTGGGTGCCCCGTGCCCAGGGGGCAGGGTTGCATGCCACATACCACGTCTGCCTGAAGAGACTGTGTGATGGTGTGGCATGGAACAGCTGTGGCCAGGACACTGACGCTGCGCGCCCCTGCATCCGAGAGCATGCCTGGAATGCGTGAGGCCGAGTAGTCTGAGCGTGGCCATCCTTGGAGATAGTTGTCTCTGGGAGGTGGCATGCTGTGGTTTGTACACACAGCGTCCCTGGAATGCACAGGGGACCGTCCATGTAAGTGTATTTGGCACAGAAGGCTGTGTGACTGATACGGTGATCAACCATGAGCACCTTATGATTGGGGCGACTGTGTGACAGCACATGACAAAATATGTGTTGATGTGATTGATACACTTGGAGCTCAATGTTTGTGTATGGCCATGTGTGAAGCCACATGTGTGCATCCATGACCAGATGTTGTGTGCGGCAGTGGGACACGTGACGAGTGTGTGTGGCTCTGATCATGCTCCTGGGTGACCAACTGGGTGGACCCTGGCTGGGGGACCTGTGACGTGGTATCTTGGGCGGATGCCTGAGGAAGCGTTACTGTCACTGGGTGTGGTCGCACATGTGCCGCTCTGGTGGGCGTGCCTGGGCCCAGCACTTGGTATGGGGCTGAGAAACGGGAGTGACCAGATCTCCGAGGCCGGTGTCCGTGGTGGGGCCTGGGTGGGCTGGGACACTCCGTGGAGGCGTGCGTGTCTGTGGACATGAGCGTCTGACCACATGCGGCAGCTGTCTGTGTATCTACACCAGCGAGGTGTGCAGCTGTGACCATGTCTGTGACCAAGTACAGAACTGTGGCCAGCCCTTAGGGACAGCTCCAGACACGAGTCGGCTGCATGTGTGTGACCGCCTTTGTGGGCAGCCCGGGCCGGGTATCTGAAGGATACGGCCACTCTGTCCTGTCTTGGATGCTCAGGGCCTCCTGGAGACCAGCCCATCCCCAGCCGATGTCCCCACCCCCGAACACACCTACTCGTTCCTGGGCCCTGGGATCCAGGTGGCTGATCTCCCTAGTAACAGTCGCTGTGACAATTAGGGCTCTCATCAAGGAGCCTGAGATGGAGGGGGCTGGCTCAAGTTCAGAGGGGGAGTGAGTTGAGGGACCAAGCCCTGTCCAAAGCAAACTTCTCACTTCTTCCTCCCTCCCTTGGGCAGGGCGGACCCAGGAGGCCTGAGCAGCATCTGTCCCCAGCCCCTGGTGGGGCCCTGGGGCCCCCCGAAATCTCCAGGACGGAGCCAGGTGAGTGTGCAGCTTGGGACAGGGCAGGGGCTGAGTGGGCAGGGGAGGGGTCTACCCGGCTCATTCCCACAGTCACACAGCCCTGGTCGCATTCAGGAGTGGACACCCTCAACACCCTCCCTGCATACCCTCAGACTCGCACCCCCACTCGCAGATCTGACCACTGCAGACTGTTACACACACACACACTCACACACACACCCTGAAGACATCCCGTTCACACCTTTCCGATGCACACACAGTGTGTGCTTAAATAAACACATTCATCCGAACCTACAGGCACACGCATGTTCACGCAGATGAACACGAGGACACGTGTTCATCCAGATTCTCTCACACAACCACACTTCCACACACAGACTGCCAGATGCCACACACAGACCCACACTTTTTAAAAAGCTTATTTATTTATTTATTTGAAAGGCAGAGCAATGCAGAGAGAAAAAGAGAGTCTTCCATCTGCCGGTTCACTCACATGCCCACACAGCAGAGGCTGGGTCAGGGCAAAGCCAGGAGCCCAGAACTCCCATCTGGGTCTCCTAAGTGGGTGACAGGGGCCCAAGCAGTTGAGGCATTGCCCACTGCCTCTCAGCACTGCACCAACAAACTGCCAGACCAGAGGCAGAGCAGCCAGGACTGGAACCGGGCACTCTGTATGGCCGCGGGCGTCCCAAGTGGTAGCTGAACCCGCTATGCTACTGCACCCCTGCACCGCTGCATGGCCACACGCATGCACGCTGTCACGCAGCCCTCGGACCTTACGGCCGCGCGCACCCTCACACGGCCCTCGGACCCACACAACCAGGCTCTCACAGGCAGCTGTCTCACACACTCACACACACACGCACACACGCACGGTCCCCGTCTGCTGAGCTGTCCCCTCGCCTCCTGGGACGGTCTCGGGAGACTCCTCGGGGCAGGCCACCTCTCACCCGCACCCCGTACACACAGAGCTCTCCCTGTGACTGTCACACCCCCAGAGGCCTTGCCTCAGACTACACACATTAGCAGAGGGGCTGTCAGTGGTCCACAGCCCCTCCCCTCCCCCACACCCCTCAGAGTGGGCTCCCACATCTGACTCCCGTACCCCTGACCCCCACATCCTGTGCCCTGTGGTCATCCGATCCCCGCACCCTCACGGCCCTGAATTCCTTGACCTGTGACCCCTGACCCCTATGCCCTCTAATGCCCGTGCCGCCAATGCCTTCACTACTGGGTTTTGGACTTTTCCCAGCCTCTGACCCATGCCCCTGCCGCCTTCCCCAATCTCAGATGCCCCTGCTTCCCGGAACGACGTGGCTCAGTAACCCCACTCCCATATTATCTGACTCCATGCCCCCTGAGCCCCGTGCCCTCTGACCCCCGCCCCGGGCCCATGCCACCGTCCTGTGTCCGCAGACGGGGCGGGCACCATGAACAAGTTACGGCAGAGCCTGCGGCGGAGGAAGCCGGCCTACGTGCCCGAGGCGTCGCGGCCGCACCAGTGGCAGGCGGACGAGGACGCGGTGCGCAAGGGCACGTGCAGCTTCCCGGTCAGGGTGAGTGGGGGGTGCGGTGGGCGGGGCGGACGCCGGCGCGCATGCGCACCCTGAGGCCTTGCCGGGCCGCCTACAGACAAGGGCCCAGCGGCCAGGAGCCGAATCTCGCGCCTGTGTACAGATGTTCTTCTGCACCAGGAAAATACTGCCTGAGGGACGTCCTGGCTATGGGGGCTTTCAGTTTTCCATTGAGAGGTCCCAAAAATTCAGTAGCAGGTGCAAAGCTCTCTATTGTGTTAAGGGCTTTCTGAGACAGCCGGGCCTCTGCCGCGGTCGCTATGCCTTAATTCTAAGGGAAGCGGCGGGGTGCGGGGCACGGGGAGCAGCCGCGCCGCCCCAGGTGCAGGAGCCGAGCCCCTGTAGCCCCATGCCGCTGGTCATTACTGACCAGCGCACTTTGTGCCTGCGCGGAGGGTGGCCTGGGGCGCACGGGCAGGCGTCCCTGCTACCTGCTGTGCTGTTTTCCCATCTGTGCACCTGGCCTAGGACTGGGGCCCCACCTGGTAGAGTCGGTGCCTTAGCGCTGGCGATGTCCTGGATGGTGGCGGGGGCGTGGCTTGTCAGGGCACACTGGGATGGCTTGTCACTGTCCTGCAGTACCTGGGCCACGTGGAGGTGGAGGAGTCCCGGGGCATGCACGTGTGTGAGGACGCCGTGAAGAAGCTGAAGGCGGTGAGTGAGACGCCGCGACCGAGGGCGGCGGAGGGCGGGCGCGGGTCAGGCGGAGGCGGCGGCCCTGACCTGGCTCCTCTGTCCCCGCTCCCGCCCCAGATGGGCCGGAAGTCGGTGAAGTCTGTCCTGTGGGTGTCGGCGGACGGGCTGCGAGTGGTGGACGACAAGACCAAGGTAGGGGGCCTGTGGGGGTGGGGTGGGCAGCATGGGCCCCCTCCTCACCCGGCTCACAGGGGCCCAGGACTCTGGGATGTCCCCTGTGCCACGTGCTCCTGCGACCTGTGGCCTTCCTTAGGCATGAGGGCCCGGCTCACTCCCTCACCAGCTGGGGGACCCAACACAAGATTTAGCCCCTCCAGGCCTCAGTTGCTGCATCCGAAAAATGGGGCTACGAACAGATGCTTCCGTGAAAGGAGGTAGTGTTAAAAACGGCTGCTCATGGAGCCTGCCCCGTGATGGTGCCCTGAACTACACAGGCAGCTCTCCCGTGTGTACTGCCAGCCAGGCAGGGGCCAGGAGCTGGGAGCCCGCTGCCCAGACTCTCTGTGTGAATGACGGAACAGGAACACCACGTGCACACGCAGTTCCCTCGGTCTGAATCCTGCTCCCTGCCCGTTTGCCCGGCTCACACCTGCTCCAGGAAGTCTTGCCTGCCTCCCTCCTAACAGCCTGGCTGGGCTCAGGGCCGGCCCTACCTGATGTCCCGCCGCCCCCGCCCTGGCCTTGGAGCCCCCTGTGAGCATCGCGAGGCCAGGGGCTGTCTAGGGACTGCAGGCTCCCCGCCCTGTTAGGGGCAGGATTCTGAGCGCGGGCTCAGGGAGCGTTGACTGGACACAGGACAGAGAGCTCGTGCCCCACTCCCGGCCCCCCCCCGCCCCCCCAGGACCTGCTGGTGGACCAGACCATTGAGAAAGTCTCCTTCTGCGCCCCTGACCGCAACCTGGACAAGGCTTTCTCCTACATCTGCCGCGACGGCACCACGCGCCGCTGGATCTGCCACTGCTTCCTGGCCCTCAAGGACTCGGTGAGCACCCCGGGCCCGAGCTGGCCGGCCGGGGCCTGCGCCCTGAGAATCTGGGGCCCGCAGCTCCCAGCTCGAGGCTTTCTGTTGAGACTGGAATGGGTTAACACACGGTGTTTAGAACAATGCCTGGCGCCCGCGTTACGTGTCACCATCACCCCTGTCACCCGTCGCCCGCGCAGCCAGCGCGAATTCGGCAGAGTGCACAGATGGTCCGGGCCCGGCTCTGCGAATTGTCACTTCTGTTTAAACCTCACCCACTCAAGTTACAGAGAACTTCATGCCCCTGAGGGCTTCGGCTCATTTCTCTAAGTTCTCGGAGGTGGGCAGGGCCCTTCTGAGAACCTGAGGAACGTGGCCAGGGCCCCTCCTCTGAGGCCATCGCACTCGGGCTCCGGAGGCTATGACAGGCCCCCATGGTTTCCGTGAGACTGAGGTGTGACTGTGGAGGAAGTGCAGAGGCTGGCGGGCAGCGCTGGTGCCTGTCAGGGCCCTGGTTACTCTGCGGCTCCTGGAGGTACCTCTTCTTCTCCTTCACCCATGGCGGGTGCGTATGCTCCAGCCCTCACCTCTTCATTCCAGCCAGCACCGAGGAGGGAGGCCCTGGAGGGGAGTCCCCACTCTGATGGAAGGTGCATAGCCCAGACTTTATTCTGCCCTGACCTCGGGCCCCAGACCAGTCTGGTAGAAGCCACAGTCTCCGTCTCCTAGGTCAGCCGGTGGATTTGTTGGCTGGTAGCAGAGAGTAACGTAGCTAACGTACAGCCAGCAGCAGATGGACGGACAGACGTGAGGGGTCTCAGGACGCCGAAAGCAGTCGGCGGCATCGCTGTCCGAGAGCCCAGCAGTGTCGGGGATGTGTCTAAGGGGACACTCTGCAGCAGCAGCCTTGTGGCTCAGCGGGTCCAGCCCTTGCTTGGGAGGCTGGCCTCCTGTATCCGGAGTGCTGGGTTCCGGTCCTGGCTGCACGTTGCATCGATCCAGCTCCCTGCTAACGCGTGTGGGAGGCCGTAGACGATGGCCCAAGTACTTGGGTGCCTGCCACCCACGTGGGAGACCCAGATGGAGCTCGGCTGTGGTGGCCACTGGGGGAATGAACCAGCAGATGGAAGACCTCTCTCTCAGCCTTTCAAATAAATAAATACATCTTTAAAAAAAAAACCACAGTTCTAACGTGAGGGCGTGGGTTGGCCCAGCAGGGGCGGGGTGGAGCACCTGGAATGATTTAGTCAGTGCTGAGGGGGAGTTTGCCAGAGAAACCCCAATCTGGTCTCCGAAGCAGGGGGCGGGGCCGGGCAGGGACCACCCGCCCCAGCCACGCCCCCTCGTCGTCCCCATCGGAGTCTGGGAATTCCCAGCCCTCCCGGCAGGTGGCGCTGTGCTTCGGAAGCGCAGTCACGGTTTCTGTAGGTAGGTTTGGGGTGCTGGCGCCCCCACACCATGTCTGCAGCGGCAGCTGCAGGACCCCTGGAGCCGCCAGGGTGGCTCAGGGGTCCGAAGCTCAGGGCAGAGGCAGGGAGAGCGCCGGCAGGCATCTGGGAGGCTGTTTGGGACTTTGTGGCTTAACCCACCGCACCACAGTGCCGGCCCCAAAATAAAACCTTCAAAAAATAACACTAATAGTGAGGCTTCCAGTCCATGAACATGGCACTTTCCCATTTCTTGTTTATTATTCATTTCTTTCAGCAGAGTTTTGTAGTTTTCAGTGTATGTGCCTCGCGTCTCTTAGGTTATATAGTCTTTTTTCCTAACCATTTTATCCTTTTTTTTTTTTTTTTTTTTTTTTTTTTGACAGGCAGAGTGGACAGTGAGAGAAAGACAGAGAGAAAGGTCTTCCTTTTGCCGTTGGTTCACCCTCCAATGGCCGCCGCGGCCAGCGCGCTGCGGCCGGCGCACGGCGCTGATCCGATGGCAGGAGCCAGGAGCCAGGTGCTTTTCCTGGTCTCCCATGGGGTGCAGGGCCCAAGCACCTGGGCCATCCTCCACTGCACTCCCTGGCCACAGCAGAGGGCTGGCCTGGAAGAGGGGCAACCGGGACAGAATCCGGCGCCCCGACCGGGACTAGAACCCGGTGTGCCGGCGCCGCTAGGCGGAGGATTAGCCTAGTGAGCCGCGGCGCTGGCCCCTAACCATTTTATCCTTTAAAAAATTATTTATCTATTTGAAAGAGTTACAGGGAAAGGGAGATCGTCCGTCCGCTGGTTCACTCCCCAGATGGCCGCAATGGCCAGCGCTGGGCCAAGCTGAACCCAGGAGCCAGGGGCTTCAGGCCTCATCGGGGTCTTGCATGTGGGCGGCAGCAGTCCAAGCACGTGGGCCCTGGTTACTCCACTGCATTTCCCAGGAACACTCACAGGGAGCTGGACCGGCAGTGGAGCAGCCGGAACAAGAACCCTATGGGGTAGCAGCATTGTTGCAGGCGGCAGCTTTGCCCACTATGCCGCAATGCCATTTCAGTCTTTTGCATACTCATCTAAATGGGATTGTTGTCATCCTTTTGTTTTGGGTTTGCTTGTTGCTAGCGTGAAGAGGCACAGAAGATTTTGGGGTGTTGCTGTGTTTCCTGCAGCTCCGCTGAGTTTATCTGTTGGCGGTAGCTGTGGCAGATCTGTTTAGGAATATATCATATGTCATGCCGGCTGCAGAAAGAGATCATTGTATTTCTCCTTTTCTCGTGTACTTCCTCTGGCTTGAACGTCTAGTTCAGTGTCATGGGGAACAGAAGAATTGGACATCCTTGTCTTGTTCCTGGTCTTCTAGTTCCTGGTCTTAGGAGGCACATCTTGTTTTTTTCCATTGAGGATGATGTGAGTTGTGGGTTTTTCATAATGGCTTATAGCAGGTCAAGGAAGTTCCCTTGTATTCCTAGTTTGTTAAGTGTTTTTATCATGAACGAGTGCTGGATTTTACCTCATGCTTTTTCTGCATCAGTCAAAATTGGTATGTGCCCTCCCGCAGCCCCACTCAATGTGGTCTGGTACAACGGTGGATTTTCATGTATTGAACCGACTTTGCATTCCTGGGGTGGATGCCGCCGACCATGGTGTAGAGTCCTTGTGACGTCTTGCATGGTTCAGTGTGCGGTGATTTTGTTGAGGATGTTTGTCCCCAACTATATATATATATATAGATAGATAGATAGATAGATTTATTTATTTATTTTAAAAGAGTCACAGAGAAAGAGGGAGAGGCAGAGGTAGATCTCCCATCCACTGGTTCACTGCCCGAATGGCTGCAACGGCCGGGGCTGGGCCAAGCCAAAGCCAGGAGCTTCATCCGGGTCTCCCACATGGGTGACAGGGTCCCAAATACCTGGGCCATCCTCCACTGCTTTCCCAGGTGCATTAGCAGGATGCTGGATTGGAAGTGCAGCAGCTGGACACACAACGGAGCCCATATGGGATGCCAGCGCTGCAGGTGGTAACTTAACCCTCTGAGCCACAGCGCCAGCCCTGTCCTCAATGGAGCTCTAACATTGGGCTCAGCATCTTGGCTAGGAAACAAGTCAGGGGCATCTCATGTGGACCCCACTCTGACGCACTCACTAGAGCAGGCGTTACCCGAGTCCCGCTGTTTCCGTCTGTTCCAAGGATTCGTGGGCGCCCCCCTCCTAGCACTGTCGGGAGGATTCTGGGTGCATAGGTGGCCCACACTCCCGCCACACCCATGGCGCTCTCTGGCCGGGCTCTGTGCTGGATGCCCACCGTGTATTAATTAGCGCTCCTGACTCTTGCCACGACCCCATGAGGTGGGTGCTGTTAGGACCCCCCGTTTTATAGTTGAGGAGCCTCTGCTGCCCACAGGTAGGAAGTGGGAAACCAGATTCAGTCCCAAGACCAGTGGCTGTCACTCTCCACTCCCGACACTTCGTTATAAAGATTTTCCAAGCATACAGCAAAGCTGGAAGACTTGTACAATACCCAGCCAGCTACATACCAAACACCCAGACCCACCAGGAATGTCTGTGCTTCCTTTTTTGTTTTTGTTTTAAAGATGTATTTATTTATTTGAAAGTCAGAGTTACAAAGAGGGAGAGAGAGAGAGAGAGAGAGAGAGAGAGAGAGAGAGAGAGAGAAAGAGAAAGAGAGTCCTTCCATCTGCTGGTTCACTCCCCAGACGGCCGCAGACGGCCGCAATGGCTGGAGCTGTGCTGATCTGGAGCCAGGAGCCAGGAGCTTCTTCCGGGTCTTCCACGTGGGTGCAGGGCTTGAGCCATCACTGCTGCCTCCCAGGGTGCGCACTGGCGGGGAGCTGGGTTAGACGCGGAGCCCGGCCTGGCGCCGGGCTGTGTGATGGGCGGCGTCTTCACCGCTGGGCCAGGCAGCGCCGGGGCTGGGCCGCTCTCAGGGGTCCCTGTGTGTGTTTTCTGATGCACTTCCCAGTCCCAGGCACCCAGGCCTCCCCGACCTCTTCAGGGCGCACGCTGCCAAGCGGAGCTCGGACCTGTACCCAGACGGTTTCCCTGTGGGGTGGAATTCAGGCCTCGGTCAGCGGCTCAGGGGGCTGCAGCCGAGCACCAGGGAGGGGGTGGCTCCCTCTCCCGGGTTTGCAGAGGGCCTGGCGTGGCAGCGGTGGGGAGGGAGGGTCTTCTGTCTCTCTCAAATTTTCATTTCTGTATGGGAGCGACAGAGAGGGAGACAGAGCCGCCATGTGCTGCTGGCTCACTCCCCAGATGCTCACGACAGCCAGCCGCGGTAGCCCCAGGCCTCCCACAGGGGCTGCGGGAACCCAGCCATCCCTGCTGCCTCCCAGGGCGCACTCAGCAAGACGCCGGAGCCTGCAGCGGGGCTGGGAGGGGGACACACACAGGCCTCCCGCTGGTGGCTTTTCATGAGGAGCTTATGAGGAGGCCCCCTGGGCCACCCTAACCCCAAGTACAGGCCCCGTCAGCCGTGGGGCGCTGTGGGGCCGGCTGCCCTGCGCCTGTGTAGCCCCAACTCCCGCAAGAGCCCCGGCTCCGCTCCCGGGCAGCGCCCACGCGCACCGCCGGAGCCTCCGGAACAGAGCACGGGCCACCCAAGGGACCAACAGCGGGCCAGAGCAGCGGGCAAGGGGACCCTCGGGTGTGCCCCCCACCCCACCCCGCCGCCGCGTCCGCACAGAGCTCTGACCCCGGCCCCACCTGCCCGCAGGGCGAGAGGCTGAGCCACGCCGTGGGCTGCGCGTTCGCCGCCTGCCTGGAGCGGAAACAGCGCCGGGAGAAGGAGTGCGGGGTCACGGCGGCCTTCGACGCCAGCCGCACCAGCTTCGCCCGGGAGGGCTCCTTCCGCCTGTCCGGGGGCGGGCGCGCGGCCGAGCGCGAGGCCCCCGACAAGAAGAAAGGTGGGTGCTGGCCCGGGGCGGGCGCGGGCCGCCCGGTGTGGGGAGGGGCACCGGAGCGGGTTACGAGCTGCCCAGACGGTTCTGCAGGCCGCAGGTCACGGTGTGTGAGGGGCTGCAGGGCGCGCGGGCGCAGAGCCGCGTCGGTGTGGCGCACGCCGCGCTGCCATCCAGGGAGTTTGGAAAAGCACCTGGTGAAACTCAGCCTTTTGGGTAAGCGGTTACTACTGTGCAGGCTCAAAACCTGTAGTTTTACAATGTCACCACGCACAGGTTCTTCCTGAAGTGCATGCGACGTGCGATTCAAAGACGTTTATTTGGTGCAAAAAAAAAAAAAAAAAATTGAAATCCATGCGTACAACGAGCTTCAAAAAGTTCATGGAAGTGTGTCCCATGAGAAAACTAATTTCAGGTTTTTTTCTGCACCAACATAAACTTACCTTTTGATCTTGTTTTTCTACAAACTTGCTAAAGGACCCTTGTATGTGTCTGCTCAAGTCACGGTGTAATTTTCCAAAAAAAATTTTTTTTTACTGTCAATTCTCGTTTTAAATTTTTTGGAGAACACTGCTTGGAGTATCCCAAGAATTGGGAACCGATCCAGGTTAAGGGAGACGAAGGAGACTTGAGCGGTGATTAATCACGCATGCAGACTGTGCTTCCGGGGACGGGTCCCGGGTCGTAGGAGGAGGAGACGGACGTGGGGAGCCGGGGACTGTGGACTGGCTCGTGGTTCTGTGTCTGTGTTCCGTCTCCCCAGCTGGATTGTGCCGAGGTCTGTAGGGGAATGTGCTTGTTCTCCCCCGTGTGTGTGGTGTGCATGTGTGTGTGTGTGCTGGGGGTTTGAGGGTTGATGGTACCAAAAAAAAAAAAAAAAAAAAGAGAGAGAGAGAGAGAGGCATCACTTACCCAAGCAGATAGTTAAGAAAACACACACACATCCCTTGTTCCACTGTCACAGTTTTTCCATAAATTTAAAGATTTCCAAACAGAAAGTGAAACAAGGTGTGGCTGGGCGAGCCGAGTGTACAAAGTAGGTCTCCTCTGCAGGTTACATCCCGTGTCCAAAGCGCTTTGCCACTGGCAGCTTCATCGTTAGGGTTCTACCCTGGGCGGGGCCGGACTCTGCAGGGCGTGACAGCGGATGTGGGGTCTCCATCGGGGCTCCCACGTGGGTGCAGGGGCCCAGGCACCTCCCAGGCGCACCTGTGGTATGTGGTGTCTTCTCCGCCCCCGAGGGCCGTCAGAGCGCACAGAGCACCATGCTGAGCGCAGCTCCACACGGGGCTCTTGGCTGTGCTAAGGTCTTTGCTGCTGGCAAAGGAGAATCTGGGTCCCAGGGACCTTGCACTTCCCTGGCGCTCCCAGGGCCAGGCCAGCTCCGCCTGGCTGTGCTGCAGCCGGAGGTGGTGCACTTCACACGGCTCCCGGCGTTGTTTACCCAGCTTTGGTTGGATCCCAGAGCAGTCACCACTCGCCACCTAAGCTGACCGGCACGGGAGGGAGGCCTCTGCCCCGGAGGCCGCGGGAGGTGGCAGAGGGATGTTTATCCCAGGCCTCTGGGTGGGAAGCTGGAGCCCAGAGATGGGAGCCGACTTCCTGAGGTCACACAGCGAGTGCCCGGCTGTTCCCACTGCCCCAGCCAGGATGCCTCTCGGCCTCGGAGGAAGGGGCAGGGCCGGTGGCAGCACCCAGGTGCCTCTCTGGGCTGGGTTGGGTTGAATTTGCTGGCTTTGGGCTGCGGCTCCCGGGAGACCCTGGGTGGAGGGAGGGCGTGGGTGCGTGTGTGTGCATGTGCGCGTGTGTGTGTGTCACTGAGTAGGGGACCCTGTCCTTGAAGAGCCTGTGTCTCATGCCGAGTGAGGATAACACAGTCCCAGAACGGAGGGCGCCAGGGCCAAGGGGCCCGCACAGTCTGGGGAGCTTCCCCGGGAGAGTGCTCCACCGGGTCTGGGACGACGTGGCCACTGGAGGGCGCTAGGAGACGCTGAGCCGAGGACATGGGGGAGGCAGAGCAGGGAGCGGGCCGTGCGGGGGTGGGGGGGCCCGGCCAAGGCGGGGACGGATGAGGGCAGCTGTCAGAGCGCAGGCGCCTGCCGGTGTCGGCCTGTCCACGCCTGGCAGCGTCACTTGGGCAAGTCGCTGCCTCTGCTGGGCCTCAGTTTCCACGTCTGGAAAGCTGGGGTAGCATCTACCCTGTGGGGAGCTGTGTGGATCCAGTGAGTTTACATCTAATAAGCTCTTGAAACAGTGCCTGGTGTATTGTTCAAGAAACAAAGCAGTGTTTGTTAAATCATCAGGAGGGGCTCGGAGGGCCCCGGGGGAGAAGGTGAGGCAGAAAGCTGGAGAGACAGGGTCAGCTGGGGGTGGGGGGTTCCCCAAGGGCTTCTGCGCAAGGGGCTAGGGATGTGGCAGGGCTCCCAGCCGCTTGTCCTGAAGGTGAGAACCAGGCGAGAGGCCTGGAAGGCCAGGTGAGATTCTGAGCGCCTGTCTCCCCGTGTCTCCAGCAGAGGCAGCAGCTGCCCCCACGGCGGCTCCCGGCCCTGCCCAGCCTGGGCACGTGTCCCCAACGCCAGCCACCACATCCCCTGGTGAAAAGGGTGAGGCGGGCACCCCCGTGGCTGCCGGCACCACTGCGGCCGCCATCCCCCGGCGCCACGCCCCGCTGGAGCAGCTGGTCCGCCAAGGCTCCTTCCGCGGGTTCCCAGCGCTCAGCCAGAAGAACTCGCCTTTCAAACGGCAGCTGAGCCTGCGGCTGAATGAGCTGCCGTCCACTCTGCAGCGCCGCACTGACTTCCAGGTGAAGGGCACAGGTAAGCCCTGGGCTCCGGGGGAGGCGTGGCAGAATCAACTGGCACTATCTAATGCAGCCAAGGGATAGAGAAGTGATGCACACTGATTGATTAGCACTAGTCTGCCAGGAACAGAGAAGAAAGAAGTGATACACACTGTGATTGATTAGCACTGTCTGCCAGGGACAGAGAGAGAAGTGTAACACATCGTGATCAATTAGTAATGCCCGCCATGGACAAGGGATAGGAGAGAAGTGGTGTAAATCATGATTGATTAGCCATGTCTGCTACAGGTAAGGGACAGTAAAAAGGCAGCACAAGTCATGAATTTGCAGTTTTCACCGTGGTTAAGGGAAAGGAGAAAGATGCCACACACCGTGATCGGTTAGCAGAGTCAGCTACAGGTAAAGAACTCTGCCGCAGACAAGAGAGAGAAAGCACAGATGCCCTGTTTTTGCTCAGGAGTGGACGGGAGCACCGTGGGCTAATGTTCCCTCCGAGCATTTGGCCAGCAGAGCCCAGGGGAAGGTCCTTGTCACGCTGGGTATGACGGATTAGCAATGGCTGCCCTGGCAGGGAGACTTGAGCCATGGCATACATCATAGTCTCCTTGCACGGTCTGCCATGAGCCAGGAAGAGCAGGTGTGCCACGTCCATCAAGGGCAAGGGAGAAAGGAGAGCAAAGGGGATGTTTTCACCCAAAGGGGAGACTTACAGAGCTGGACGGTGGGAACCTGGGGCAAAGGCACATGTGAGCAGAGTGGTGGCTCAGTGGCGTTGGCTATGGACAGAGGCAGTGACACCTGGAGAGGAAGGAGGCGGCACATCGTAATTGATTGGCAATGTCTGCTGGGGGGCATAGGAGAGAGGTGGTATAAGTGTCCCATTTCGTGTGGAGAGAAGAAAAATGGAGATACAAGAACCTGTTGTTCACAGCGTTTGGCCTGTGGAGCCATTAGGTCTGGCCAGCTCAGGGGTAGAAGAGCTCGGTGTGGGGAAAGGATCGTGTTTGATTACTGATGTCTGCCACGGGTCAGAGAGAGGAGAGAGGTGGCAAGGGTCACATTTTTGCCACGCGGGAGGGGCACCTGCCCCCCCAGCAGTGGGTGAGGCTATGCTGTGCAGCCCCCTCTCTCACTTCCGTGTACCAGACCTGGGGCACCACTGTTGCTGGTGGCCTTGGGGCTGGTGTGGGAGTTGTGCTGTGCCCAGAGCTACTCCAGAAGCTCACACACACACTGATGCCAACACACACACTCGCCACACGGCCTCCAGCGCCCTTGACTGTCCCACGCTCTAACGGCTGCTGTCCCCGTGCAGCCTGGCATCGCGTCCACGCCCAGGGCCACCACACTGTCCCTGGGCCAGCTGGATGTGACTTGACACATGGAAACTCTATAGAGACCCACACAAGTGTCACATCCATGCCACACACCCCGCTGCACACAGATTCACACAGATAAACTCATGGGCCACACGGGCAGATCCACTCCCGCCTGCGAGGGAGCTGCAGCCCTGGACCTCCGTCACTGTCGGGTGCCGCGCCTGCTTGGGCAATCACACACCGTCCCCAGCAGGGCCCCCGCAGCCACTTCCTCTGACGCGCACTGGAGCACCTCACACGCTCTCAGCAGTTGCCGAGACGTGGACATTTGTCACGTACACGCCGGTCCCTTTGCCATGCCTGCTCCATGGCACAAGCGCATCTCATTTGCTGTCGGTGGGGTGGCCAGGGCCCCGCCTCCATGCAAAGCAGGGCCCACAGCCCCCAGCCAGCAGCAGCGGTGTGGCAGGCGTCCACCTGATGGGACCATGCCCTTGCTGTGCACATGCAACGACCTCTCCGTGCCCTGGCGTCCCTGTCACCCTCAGTCATCAGCTACCACAAGCCGCCGTGGTATATGGAGATGTCGCACACGCGTGCATGGTTACCTTCGCGTCCATGATGATTCAGTTACTCTAGAGTGGACCCCACACACAGTGGGAGGTCTGCTGAGGGCACTGGGGTCAGGAGAGGGCAGTGGCTGGGTGGGGCTGCTGGCTGACCCCTGTCCTCCCCCCCCCGCCCGCCCAGTGCCTGAGATGGAGCCTCCGGGGGCCAGCGACAGCGACAGCATCAACGCGCTGTGTACCCAGATCAGCTCGTCTTTTGCCAGCGCGAGCGCACCAGCCCCAGCGCCGCCATCCACTGCGACAGGTGAGCCTCCCCCTGCTGCCCGCCAGGACAGGCGCCCTTGCAGACCTCCTGCCTCTCCCCCTGCACGCAGGGGGGCCCCACAGACCCTCCCCAACTGCAGGACCCTGGGGCCAGGCTTCACGCTGGGTACCCAGCCTGCCTGGGGTCAGCCCCAGGCAGGACACCTGATTGAGTTCGCAGCTCCCAGCTTTGGCCCAGCCCCTGCCATTGCTGGAAGTGGATCAGTGGATGGGATCCCTGCCGGCCCCACTCCCCCCCCCCAATTTTTTTCAAATGTAGACTTCTAGAATCTTCAAAAACACCCACTAAGTTGTTGGGCCCTGCTCAGGGTTAGAACAGCACACTCTGGGGGGATGGCTCCTCACACAGGGCATCCAAGCATCAGCCTTCACGGTGGTGGCCAGATCTTCTCCCAGCAGGGGCCCAGTGCCGGGCAGGTGCAGGTGCAGGGGCGCTGGGTGTCGGTCCTACCCAAGCCTCTTCCATCCAAGGCCACAGGCTCCGGGGGTTGCATGTTCTGGCCCTGCACAACCAGAATCTGGTCCCGAGCGCTCAGCCACCCGCCCCCAAGTGGCCATGGCCAGAGGGGCACAGCGCTGGGGCGCAGAGGCTGGCGGCCAGGCTGCCGCGCCTGCGCTCTGATCCCGGGGCACCGCGATTCCCAGCCTGCAGTTCTCAGTGCAGCCCGTGCCCCTCTCTTTCTCTCCAGGCGCTTCTGCCTGGGGCGAGCCCTCCATGCCCCCTGCAGCTACCTTCCAGCCCGGGCACAAGCGGACACCTTCAGAGGCCGAGCGGTGGCTGGAGGAAGTGTCCCAGGTGGCCAAGGCCCAGCAGCAGCAGCAGCAGCAGCAGGCGGCCGCGGCCCCCCTGCCCACCTTGCCCCCCGCCCTGCAGCCTTTCCCCGCCCCCGTGGGGCCCTTCGATGCGGCGCCCGCTCAGGTGGCCGTGTTCCTGCCGCCCCCGCACATGCAACCTCCCTTTGCGCCCGCCTACCCGGGCTTGGGCTACCCGCCCATGCCCCGGGTGCCCGTGGTGGGCATCACGCCCTCGCAGATGGTAGCCAACGCCTTCTGCTCAGCCGCCCAGCTGCAGCCCCAGCCCGCCACCCTGCTCGGGAAAGCCGGCGCCTTCCCGCCCCCGGCCGCACCCAGCGTCCCCGGGGGCCAGGCCCGCCCCCGCCCCAGCGGGACCCCCTGGCCCCCAGAGCCAGCGCCCGCCCCAGCGCCCGCCTTGGACCCCTTCGAGGCCCAGTGGGCAGCGTTAGAAGGTAAACCCGCTGCAGAGAAGCCGTCCAACCCCTTCTCCGGCGACCTGCAGAAGACCTTCGAGATCGAACTGTAGCCCGCCCCGCCCCGCGCCTCCCCCCAGCCCCGTGCCCCTCGCAAGCCCTGCGACCACCCCTGCATCCACTACGGAACCAACGCCGCCACGGGGCCGCGCGACCCCTCCTCCACCCCAGCTACAGTCCCTGTTTCTGTGTCGACCTCTCACTTTCTAGCGCTGGGCCGGACAGCGGAGGGACGCCCACCGCGGGGCCCCCAGGTCTGGCCGCCTCCTCCCCCCACAGCACAAGCCAAGGGCGGCCCTCTGCCCGCAGCCGCGTTCACTGCCAGTGCTGTGCCCGGCCCTGCCCGGGCTCGGGGCTCATGGGGTCCCAGGAGGCGGGGCGGGGAAGGGGAGGAAGATGCTGTTACCTCACGTGGGTGCCCGCTGGGGAGGGGTCCGGGAGGCAGGGGAAGGGGTGCCTGGCGGGTACTTTTCTATCTTTTATTTCCAGATTTTTTTTGTATCTAAACTTGCAGATTTGTATTATATAAGGACAGCCAATAAAGGAAGACTATAACGGTGCCCTTGGGGAGACGGTGTGTGTGTGTGTGTGTGTGTGTGTGTGTGTGTGGAGGGGGCACGCGGTGGCCGCAGCCTCTGAGCGCAGCCCAGGGCGCAGGTGCGGCAGGCCCGGCGCCTGGCAGGTGGGTGATGCGGCCGGCCAGGATGAGTCACCTGATTCCCTGACTCATGGAGCCAGAGCCGAGGTGCGAAAAAGACGAACTATAAACTGCCGATCGGTTCCTTGTCAACACTTTTAATCAGACGGCGCGGGCCTGCCTTGGGAGGGAGCTGCCAAGGTCTCGCCTCGCCAGCTGCGGGTCTGGTAACCCAGGCGGTCCCCCGGACGGGGCGGCACATGGATCTGAAGTCTATTGTTTCTTGGGTTCCTTGACAGAATCTATAAAACACATTTTAAAAGGGAAACATCCTATGTGTAATTCTTTGTAGCTCGTTAAAATGAGGTGACCAGTGCTCTGGCCCCAGGTGGTAGATGGGCAAGTTGAGTCACTGGCCCAAGGTCACGGTCATGTTTGCGGGGGGAGCTGGGGGTCAAATCTCGCGTCTGGCTGACTTCCGGGACAGTCACTAAGCATCAGGCTGTGAGAAAGCAGCCTCGGGTTTGGAAGTGGGCGCTCGACCCCGCCGTTAAGACGCCTGCCTCCCACGGCACAGGGCTTGGGTTCAAGTCCTGGCTCCGGCTCCGGCCTGCCGGGGAGGCAGCAGGGGCGGCTCCAGTAACCGGGTGCCTGGATTGAGCTTCCTGCTCCCAGCCATTGCTAGCATTTGGGGAATGAACCAGAGGAGGGGGAGCTCTGCCTCTCAAATACATAAAAAATAACGTTTTTTAAAAAAAACGCAAAAAGGGTCGGTGCTATGGCGCAGCGGGTAAAGCAGCCACCTACAGTGCCAGCATCCCATATGGGCGCCGTTTCGAGTCCCGGCTGCTCCACTTCCGATCCAGTTGCCTGCTAATGGCCTGGGGAAGCTGTAGAAGATGGCCCAAGTCCTTGGGCCCCTGCACCCGCGTGGGAGACCCGGAAGCTCCTGGCTCCTAGGTTTCCAGCTGAGTGGGGGGCGTCCCTACCCCTTGGATCCTGCAAGCCCTGCCCACCCAAGGAAGCTGCTACCCAGCCGCGGGTCTGTGCTCCGGTGGGCCGGGGGGGAGGGGTGGGGGGCTCTGAGCTGCCTTGGCCTCCTCCTTCCCGCACAGCCAGGGCCAGGCAGGAAGAGGGAACCCCAAGCGCTCTCCTCAAACTGGCAGGAAGACAGGGGAGCAGCGCCCTGGGGCGGGGACAGAGGGCCCGCGCTGCTGGGCAGATGCGGCGCTGGGACCGCAGCACAGCCCGGACCACCCACCCGGCCCGCCCTCGCCCTGACCTCTGCGCAGCCCCCACAGACGCCTGTGGGAGCCCCCAGCCCCCTTGGCCAGAAGGACTCCCCACTCCTGGTGCAGACTCCGGTCCTCCGTGGAGCGCCTGCCTTCCCGGAAGCCTCAGACGGGGAGTAAACCTCACGGAAGCCCGGAGTGGACGCCCTCGTCCTGCGGGCGGCCCGGGTCCCACCTAGCGCCACGTGCCGCGCCGCCTCCCCAGGCCCCAGGGCCGCTTTGTCCCGGCTCAGGGCCCCGCCCCGCCAGAGCCCCGCCCCCAGCTGCCCCGCCCCCTACCCCGGCGGCCCACGCAGGGCTGCGGCCGGCGCCAGCCGCCCACCCACCGCGCCGCGCGGGGCTCCCGGGGCCGCTGCTTCCGCCGCCTGCGCGGGGCCCGGGCCACCCCTGTCGCCGCGGGCGCGGGGACGGCGGCCCTCGGGTCGTAAGGGGCCACGCCCGCGCGTGACCCACCGCCCCCGGCCCTGCGAGGCCCTGCGGCGGCTGGAGGCGCGGGAGAAGGGCGCCCCCGTGTGGCCGCGGCTGAGGAGAGGCGGCGGGGCGGGCGGAGAGCCCTGGTCAGCCCGGGGTCAGCCGCCGCCCACGCTGGGCCGGGATGGTCCCGAGTCGCCAGCGCGAGCCGCGCCGTCACTGCCTCGTGCGTTCGCCCCTGTCACCCTGAGATCTGGGGAGCTTCGGCGCCCCTGCAGCCCTGCAGCCGGGGCTGGGCGCGGGTCTTGTGCCCACATTTTCTGGATGTGCAGTGTTTGTCGGAGTGGCAGAGTTAGGGAGAGGTGGTCCGTCCACTCCCCAGATGGCCGCGACAGCCTGGACTCCACCCCGGGCTCCCACGCGGGGGCAGGGGCCCGGGAACCGGGCGTCCTCCGCTGCCTTCCCAGGCCACAGCAGGGAGCTGGGTCGGACGTGGAGCAGCGGGGCTCGAACCGGCGCACGTGGAGGCGGGCGTCACAGCTCAGGCCCAGTGTCAGCCCCGAGTGCTGCCGGCTCTGCCCCCGGAACCAGGCCCGGCCACGCTAAAGCGTTTCACCGAGCAGCACTGTGTGCCGGCTCCATTCTGGGCCCTCGAGAGCCCGTGGTCTCTGCTCTGCCGGAGTGGACAGTCCACGGGAGGGTCACACAGACCCAGATGGGAGGGAGTGAAAGCAGGCGCGGGGCGGGGACACGGGCGCCAGGGGCACCGCTGGGAGCGGGCAGGCAACTCCTCCGACTGCGGGGTCAGTCCGGGGCCTGGCCCGTTCCCGGGAGCAGCGTCCCGTGCAGGGGCACAGGCAGCCAAGGAACCTAGGGATGGGGGCTCCGGTGCCGTGGGGACCAGAGACGGCCAGGGGGAGGCAGAGCGCGGCAGGCCAGAGCGGACCACCCAGAAGTCAGAGAGCTCGGCAGGCCAGGCCAGACCAGGCGAAGTCAGAGAGCGCGGCAGGCCAGGCCAGGCCAGAGGAGGTCAGAGCGCAAGGCAGGCCAGGCCAGACCAGACCAGGCGAAGTCAGAGAGCGCGCCAGGCCAGACCAGGCGAAGTCAGAGAGCGCGGCAGGCCAGGCCAGAGGAGGTCAGAGCGCAAGGCAGGCCAGACCAGATCATGCGAAGTCAGAGAGCAGCGGGCAGGCCAGGCCAGGCCAGACCAGACCATGTCAGAGGAAGCCAGAGAACGCGGCAGACCAGGCCAGATCAAAGAGAGCGGGCAGGCCAGACCAGAGGAAGTCAGAGAGCGGAGCAGACCAGGCCAGATGAGGTCCGAGAGAGAAGCAGGCAGGCCCAGATGAAGTCAGAGAGCCGGGCAGGCCAGAGCAGACAAAGTCAGAGAACATGGCAGGCCAGACCAGCCGAAGTCAGAGAGCGCGGCAGGCCAGGCCAGGCCAGTTTGCCTTCCGTTGGGGAACGCCGGAAGCCCCTGGCCGGTTCTCAGCAGAGGGCCATCCTGGGCTTTCCTCGGGGCCGGCGTCGTGGTGCAGCATAAAGCCACCCACTGCCTGCAACGTCCCCGTCGCTTGTGAGCGCCGGCGCGTCCCAGCCGCGCGGGTGCCCCCAAGACGGCAGCGGAGGACGGCCCAAGTGCCCGGGCCCAGGTGGAGCCTGGCCAGCCCGGCGCATCATAGCCATCTGGGGAATGAACCAGCAAATGGAAGATTCCCTCCCCCTCTCCCTCTCCCCCTCTCCCTCTCCCCCCTCCCCCTCCCCCTCTCCCTTCCCCCCTCCTCCCTCTCCCTCTCTCCCTCTCCCTCTCCCCCTCCCCCTCCTCCCTCTCCCCCCTCCCTCTCTCCCTCTCCCTCTCCTTTCCACCTCTCTCTGTCACTCTGCTTTCAAATAAATAAAAATGATTTTTAAAGTCTTCGTAGAGCTCGCCCTGGGCGCTGAGGAACGCAGACGCCAGGGAGGCGAGAGGAGCCCGGCGAGGAAGCGGGGACCAGGGGAGGCCCGGCGGGGCGGTGCCGGGAGGAGAGCACGTGAGCGGCAGGCAGGAGGAGTCAGACGCCCGCGTCTGCTGAGTCTCGGTCTCCCGCACAGTCGCTCCCTGACGTGGCTGGCGGTGCTGGGAGGGCGGCCCGGTCTCAGATCCGCGGGGTGAAAGGTCGCAGGGGCTGCAGGCCGGCCTCAAAGTGCACCTGTGCATGCGAGTGTGTGTGTGAGTGTGAGTGTGAGAATGTGTATGTGTGTGAGCGTGACTGTGTGAGAATGAATGTGAGTGTGTGTATGATTGTGGAGTGATTGAGTATATGTGAGTGTGTGTGAACGTGTGTGTATGTGTGAGTATGTGTATGTGTGTGAGTGTGACTGTGTGAGAATCAATGTGTATGTGTACGATTGTAGAGTGAGTATATGTATGTGTGTGTGAACGTGTGTGTATGTGTATGTGTGTGAGAATGTGTGTGAATGTGATTGTGAGTGTGTGATTGTATAGTGTGTATGTGAGTGCGTGTGTGAGTATATGTATGTGTGTGAGCGTGTGTGTGAATGTGAGTGTGATTGTGTGTGGGAATGTGTGAGTATATTATGTGTGTGATTGTGAGAATGTGTGTGTGTGTGAGAGAATGTGAGTGTGTGTACGATTGTAGAGTGATTGAGAGTATATGTATGTGTGAGAATGTGTGTGAGCGTGTATGTGTGTGATTGTGTGAGTATTGTATGTGTGTGTGAGAATGTATGTGAATGTGATTGTGTATGTGTGAGTGTGTGATTGTAGTGTGTATGTGTGAGTGCAGGTGTGTGTGAGTATATGTATGTGTGAGTGTGTATGTGAATATGAGTGGGTGTGTGTGAGCATGTGTGTGTGTAGCGTGTGTGTGAGCATGTGTGAGTGTGTGAATGTGAGTGGGTGTGGGTGTGTGTGAGCATGACTGTGAGCGTGTAGGTGTGAGAATGTGTGTGATTGTAGAGTGTGTGTGTGAGTGCGAGTGTGTGTGAGCGTGAGTGTGGATCAGAGAGAGCGCTCTCAGCGGTCCAGTGCTGAGTGGTCCCAAGGGGCAGCTCCTTTGTAGGAAGGAGTCTGAGGGGTGACAGGAGTGCGGGCGGCGCCCAGACTCACCCTCCAGCTGCTCCCTGGAGAGGCCCGGGGAGCTGCGCAGCAGGGCTGGGTCGGGTCTCAGCGCTCCGGAGGCCGCGGCGGTCGGTGGCATCGCGCTGCTCTTGGCGGACACTTCATCCCGTGCTGTCGCTGGACTTCCAGGCTGACCTGGACACCACTTAGGAAAGCGCTGGAGCTGCGGGCGAGTGCAGGGCACACGGCTGCGCTACCGGTTTAACAGTTTAAAACTGTAAAATGGGACAGGAGAGGGAGTGAATGAAATCATTGGCATCTGAAAAACCAAAGAAGCAAACCAAGCCGGGGCCCGGTTCTGGCGCAGCGGGTGAAGCCACTGCCTGCAGTGCTGGCATTCCCCGTGGGCACCGGTTTGAATCCTGGTTGCTTCACTTCTTTGATTTTTTTAAAAAAAGATTTTATTTATTTGAAGGAGTTACAGAAAGAGAGGGAGAAACAGAAAGAGAGAGAGAGGGAGAGAGAGGAGAGAGAGAGAGAGAGATCTTCCATGCACAGGTTCACTCCCCAGATGGTCACAATGGCCTGGGCTGCGCCAGTTCAAAGCCAGGAGGCGCCAGGAGCTTCATCCGGGTTTCCCACGAGGGTGTGGGAGCCCAAGCACTTGGCCCACCCTCCGCTCCCTTCCCAGGCACATCAGCAGGAAGCTGGATTGGAAGTGGAGCGGCAGGGACTTGAATGGGCAGCCATATGCGTCGGCAGCATCCGAGGCGGGGGCTTTTCCTGCTGTGCCACAGTGCTGGCCCCTGGGATAATTGTTCAAACCCATCACCCGCGGCCTTTTGTGACAGCCTCACAACCCGTGTAATTAATCCGTGACGCTCAAGACTTCAGCGGGCTTTGCTGTCAGCGGCGCTGCAGTGGCGTCCCTGTTGCTAGGTTCATCTGAACACACAACAACCCACCCCCGGGGTGCCTTCCCCCGGGCTTCCGCAGCTCTGGGAGCGAACCCTGCCTCGCCGGGAGGCATCTGGCCCCGCAGCGAGACGGGATTGCACGAGCCCTGCAGAGAGCGAGGCCGGCGCAGACCCTCCTGGAGCGCACGCTGCAACGTGCCGCGCGCTGAGCCCAGCTCACGCGTCACACCCGGCGAGCCGGTGCTAGGAAGATCTCCATCCTCCCGACGAGAAACTGAGCCGCAGAGAGCGTCCGGAACGTGCCTGGGGCTGGCACTGGACGAAGCGGCTTAGGCCACCACCTGGGACGCCGGCATCCCGCACCCACACCCGGCTGCTCCGCTGCCCATCCGGCTCCCTGCTGTGGCCTGGGAAAGCAGCGGAGGATGGCCCGCGTGGGGCACCCGGCTGCAGCTCCTGGCTCCTGGTTCCCCGGCCCTGGCCACTGTGGCTGTCTGGGGCGTGATGCAGTGGATGAACGAGCTCTGTGTCTCTATAACTCTGCTTTTTAAACACGTGATAAATCAATCTTTCATTAAAAAAAAAAAATGAGTCTGCTGAAAAAGCAACCTGGAGCGCTGTGACACAATCAGCAGCCGGCATTTGAGCGCTGTGATGCGCTCGGTGCTACAAACACCGCTCCAGGAGCTCTGCATTAACTCATCCCCCAGCGGCAGCCACAGGCCGCCGCCGCCATTGCTGCCTTTGTTTTATTGGTGGGAAACGGGCAGAGGACAGCAGGGATTGGCTAAGAACAGTTTGAACCCGCCTATCAACCGCTCACCTATAGAGTAAGGAACACGTGACTCGGCTTAGCCACTCGGGGCATTCCTTTTTATTCCCGCCCCCAGGCCACAATGATTGGCTCCGGCATAGCATGTGACCTCAGATGGCCCAATCAGAGTCAGCCTCATGACTACAATGGGAAATTCGAGCCAAAGGGGGTGCCCTCCTCTGCTTGTGGGGTACCGAGGAGGTTCCCTCTGGCAGGAGGCTGGGGACACAGCCGCCTGGAAACGGTGACGCGGATCCTCGGTGACATTGCTGAGCTGTGGTGTCGACTTTGGCAGAAGCCAGCCCTAGTGTGGATTTTCCAGCTACAAGTCCCTTTCCAGCTGGCGCCTCTTGCGCCTAGGCAGAGCAGCGACACAGTTAACCCCCAGTGCTCCGGGCACAGAGCAGTCCGAGGGGCAGGGCCGCGCCAGACCCTGCGGGGGAGGGCCCAGGGCAGCTGGGGTGGCCGCGGGGCGACGCCTGTGGGGCTCCTGGCAGCAGGATCCAGCAGCCAGGGCAGAGGCGGTATAATATCTGCACAACCTCACAGCCAACGGCGCTCCTGCACTGAATACAGGGACCCCCCCCCCACACATACACACACACAATGTGGTTTTGCTTTTCTCCCTTTCAGTTACCCAAGGTCATCCACGGTCCGAACATATTAAGTGGAAAATTCCAGAAATAAACAATTCATAAATTTTAAATCGCGTGCCATTTTTTTCCCTAAGTTTGTGTTTATTTATCTGAGAGTCAAGGAGACAGAGAGAGAGAGACGGAGATGGATGGAGACGAGCTCGCATCTGCTGGGTCACCCCTAGATGCTCCCGGCCTCTGGGGCTGGGCCAGGCCGAGGCTGCGAGCAGCGGCAAGAACCCGGTGACCTGAGCCGCCGCGGCTGCGTCTCTCTCGGGCTCCGTATTGGCGGGAAGCTGGAGTCCGGAGCTGGAGCTGGGGTTGGAACCCAGGGGCCGAGCGATGGGGAGCAGGTGCGCGCGGCTGCACAGTCGCTGCCCGCCCTGCTAAGCGGCGGGGTGAAGTCTCAAACAGGCCCGCTCCGTCGCAGCCAGGACGCGGGTCGGTCGCACCTGCGCACCCACGCTGGTCCCCCGTGGCCCCTTCCTCACTCAGCCGCGTGGCTATCAGGGCGACTGCCCCGTGCGGCAGTGGTCTCAGCCATGGTGTGGGGGGGTTCTTAAACCACACACACCCCCGATGGGGGGACCCCGTATTTAGCCTTCCCTGCTGACGGACACACTGCTTCGGGCTGAGCTCGCGTGAATGGCTCTGTGTTTCCCGGCCTCAGCTCCTGAACCCGAATCATGAATCAAACGTGGAAACCGGATGAGGTCATCCTGACATTGGGTCAGGCCGAGATGCTGATCCGGAGCTGCCAAGGGGTCCGCACCCTTTGGCGCAGGAACCCCGCCTCAGGCCGCCCGGGGACGTGCGCGGGGCCTTATTTATAATGGGAGGAAATTGGGAGCAGCTTCCACGTCTGGCAACGCTGCCCCGCTGAGTAAACAGAGCGCAAACATTGGAGGCTGTGTTTACGGCCCGGCTTCAGCGGGAGAGCAGCTCACGTCTGAAGCTGGGGTGAATCAGAGCTGCAGAGACAATTCGCTCGCGGTTATGTAAGAGGCACACGCGCGCCCTTGGGAAGCCCCCAGACAATGGACAGGGCTGGGTGCTGGCATGGGTGGGCAGGGGGAGCTTTGTCGTTTCTACTGCGCTGTAGTTTGCAAACTGTGCCTCATGAACACGGATTCTCTCTCTCTCTCTCTCTCTCTCTCTCTCTTTTTTTTTTTTTTTTTTTTTTTTTTTTTTTTTTTTTGACAGGCAGAGTGGATAGTGAGAGAGAGAGACAGAGAGAAAGGTCCTCCTTTGCCGTTGGTTCACCCTCCAATGGCCGCGGCGGCTGGCAAGCTGCGGCCGGCGCACCGTGCTGATCCGATGGCAGGAGCCAGGTGCTTCTCCTGGTCTCCCATGGGGTGCAGGCCCAAGCACTTGGGCCATCCTCCACTGCACTCCTGGCCACAGCAGAGAGCTGGCCTGGAAGAGGAGCAACCGGGACAGAATCCTGCACCCCGAACTGGGACTAGAACCCGGTGTCCGGTGCCGCAAGGCGGAGGATTAGCCTACTGAGCCGTGGCGCCGGCTACACGGATTCTCTTTCAAAGATTTTGTTCTTTTTATTTGAAAAGCAGATTGGGGGAGGGGGGGATCTTGCATCCACTGGTTCAGTCGCAATGGCTGCAAGGGCCAGGCAGAAGCCAGGAACCTGGCGGCTGCATCCGGGTCTCCCACGTGGGTGCAGGGCCCAAGCACTTGGGGCGTCTTCTGCTTCCTTCCCGGGTGCATTAGCGGGGAGCTGGGTTAGAAGGGGAGCAGCCAGGACTCCGGGGATGCTCGGGCAGCCTCACCTGCTGTGCCACAACGCCAGACCCCATCCTTCAATCTTTCAATGAAAATCTTAGAAAATAAAAGAGAAAAGAACAAGGTATCCTTGCGCAGCCGCGGCTGCCACGAGCAAATCTTACAAATGGACAGAATTCCCTTAATGCCGCCAGCCGCCCAGGCAGGGCTCCGTTTTGCGTGGCCTGGAGACGGAACAGCGGCTGGGTTTTGTCTGGATGGGGCCCAGCCAGAGTCCGTTCCTTCCCCTCGGTGCAGGCGCTCAGGCTAAGCCCACTCAGGATTTTAGCTCTCACATTTGTTTTTAAAGATTAATTGTATTTATTTGAAAGACAGAGTTAGAGAGAGCAAAGGAGAGCGAGCAAGCTTCCAACCATGGCTCACTCCCCAGATGTCCACAGGGGCCCGGGCCAGGGCCTGGAGCTCCATCCGAGGTCCCAGCGGACTTGGGTGGTCACTGGAGCCATGGCCACTTGGAGGCAGCTGGGATGGAAGGGGCCCGCGCGGAAGCCAGGCCCTGCAGTGTGGGGTGCGGGCGCCCGAAACACCTCCCCCTTTCCACGTTTCCTTTAGAAATAATTTCACATTTTCACCAGTGAACGCTTCTGCCTCACTGACTTCATCGACGCCCTCCCCTCTCTAGCACACGCATGTGTGCGCGTCTGTGTGCGTGTGCACGAGTGTCTGTGTGTCTGTATGTATGTGCATGTGTGTCCTGCGTGTGCAAGTGTGCAGGTGTGTCTGCATGTGTGTTCCTGTGTGTATGGATGCGTGTGCATGCGTGTACTGCGTGTTCACATGCAGGTGTGTGCATGTGCAAGTGTGCATGTGTGTCCGCATGTGTGTTCCGGTGTGCATGGATGCTGTGTGCAGGTGTGTACTGTGTGTTCGCATGCAGGTGTGTCTGCATGTGCACGTGTGCACGTGTGCCTGCATGTGTGTTCGTGTGCGTGCATGAATGTATGTGGGGTGTGTGCGCATATGTGCATGCATGTATGTACAGCTGTGTACTGTGTGTTCACGTGCAGGTGTGTCTGTGCACTGTGTATGGGTGTCTGTGCTTTGCACTGTATACATGTGTGTGGGTGTGCGTGTGCGCCTATGTGCATGTATGTACTGTGTGTGCACGTGCATGTGTGAGTGTGTGCATTTTTCCTTGACCCGTTGGAGGGTGTTCCTCAGGGGACTTCGAAAAGTCCATGGAAATGGGTTACCAGACGTTTACGATGGTGCAAAAAAAAGCTTTAAAAACCGCCTTTTTCTCACAATATGT